CTTTATGGAGCGCTTCGTAACGCCTGAAATGGGATTCGCGTGACGTCATTACGGCACGCACACTCGATTGGTCTACATACGAGTGATATCAGTAGGGAATTGTTTGTGTTTAGTAATACCCGTGACACACGGGCAAAGGTAAAGTACTTTGAAGTAAACCCCTTTTGTCGCCTAAGGGGACCATTTGCAGAAAGGAGTGGAGCTGATGACACACGGCACCGGACTACTGCTTTAGGCAGTGCCTCAGAAGAACGCTGCAGAAAAAATGGCGCTGTTTGTGGAAGCAGCAAGATTGGAAATATTAAAAAAAGTCTGCACATGTACATCACATTCAGCGACGCCGGAGCATAAAACCGTTTTTTTTTATTGTCTGGTGGCTTATAATGCGCATACCTGTAGTTTTTTTTCGCTTTTTTGCGATTTTAGCAGCAACTTAAGTTCGTCTGGCAACTGTGAACAGTCATTGTTTTGCTGTCTTTGTTTGTTTTTTGTAGTGCTTTTTACATGGCTGCGTCCAGTTGGGTCAGTGACGGCGTGCCGCGTTTCATTGTGGTCCTGCGATGTCTCAGCGCAGAGACAGAGATAAAGCAACAGTTGAGGTGGGCCTGACTCTTGTTGCCCTCGGCTCCATCGAAGATGACCTAAACGCTGCGAAAGCAAGAGTGATGAGCCTCAAACAAAGACTCGTCATGAACAGCTTCATTTTGACTGCACATGCTTCCGCACTGTCACTTCGAGCCATCAACCGCGAAAGTTGGGCCTACGTGCGCAACGAAAGCTGGTTCGAAGACACATTGCCGTTATTAGGCGACGGCCACTTTAAGCAGTGTTTTCGAGTGAGCCCGACACAGCAACTGCCGCTGCCAACCCTAACATGATCGCGCTAGTGACGTAATGCTGGCGTTTGAGAGTATGGACAGACTATAGGCCTTCACTTTTGAACAAATCGCATTGCTGCTGAAAATGAAAACATTTTCTCAGCGCAAAAAATACTGACAGGGCACCGCAGTGTTGCGACACGTTTTCTTCTATTGATAAATTATGCACACTGTATGCGAGAGTACTCCCTTCCTGCCAGAAAAGTAGATGCAGGATCTGCTTTTGCGAAAAGGATCTTTGCCGGAAAGGTGTTACTCCTTCGTCGTGTGTCACTGTGCCCGAACGCCTTTCCGAAAGATGTCCCCTTGTCTAAAGGACTTCAGGGTGCCCGTGTGTCAAGGGCATAAAGCCGTCCCGTGGGGCACAGTCCAACCATAACTGTGTCATGGTTTTGGGACGTTAAACACTTACTTTATTATTATTATTATTATTATTATTATTATTATTATTATTATTATTATTATTATTATTATTATTATTATTATTATTATTATTATTATTATTATTATTATTATTATTATTATTATTATTATTGCACTGTACCCGTGCCTTTTGAAGAAGTACCCGGCGAGTACAGGAGATATCGCCTTCACGAAGGGTAGTGAAGGGGAGATAGAAAACACTGCCTCGTCTTCAGGCTAGACGTGGTTTAGGGTTCCTTTATATAAAAAGCCCAAATACCAACAAACCTTTAAACCTCGATCCCATACACACGCTCGTATACGCGAGGTGTTACACTACTATTTTTTAAATTAAATGTATATAAGGAGAGGTTGGTGGCAATGCTTGGCGCCGGCTACTCCTCTTGTCTTGCACACAAAAGTCGACATCGCACATTTCGTAGCAAACACGAGGATATATATACACATGCACATAGCACGACACTCACACAATGAGTTGACGTTTTTCAACACTGAGTGTCCACACAAGACAGAAATGTGTCCACACAAGACAGAAATGTGTCCACACTGCATAGAAATGTGTGCGCACCACACAACAGAGTTTGTAAAAAACACAAGCATATCGTGCACTCTTCTTTTCCATGCACGGGTGCGCATTCCGTTCTGAACGCCGAAATCCCACGTATGCATGGCATATCGAACAGACCCGTGGTGCTGTTTATATTGTATCACTCTGTACATGCGCGCTCCCAGGAGTCACGTGACGGTTTCGTGGAAGTGGCTCCTCCGAGTGCACTCGCAGCCACACGAGGAGTCCTTAACGCGTACTCACTCCGCATCGGTGATCATCCGTCATGGAAGAGTGAGTGAGTGAAACAACTTTATTGACGATCCGGCATAAAGGGGGAAGGGGGATTAAAGCGAAACACTAGCAGGCTCGGACGTCCCGGAGCGGCAACCTACTCGCGTCAAACCCGTGGGGGCGCCGCTTTCGGCCACTGGCGTTCCAGGATGCTCCCAAGACTCGAACACACAACGAAGGGCCATCCAGCGGCTTGAGGAGGCACTGGCAAAGCAGACGAGAAAGGGAACCGACGCCCCGGACAACGGGAGCGGAGGAGCCCGAGTATCCAACGCCTAGCCAGAGCACAACGTCCTCAAGATCTAGGGCCCAGGACTATAGGACTATGAGCCATAGTCTTTAGATAGGGAATACCCGCGCCCTGCGCGGCCGGTGACTTCCCGCACGCCGGATGCGCGAAAAATGTTGTTTTTTTCTCTCTCTCCAGGATTCTAAGCACGTGCTGGACCACGTCATGGAAGAGGAGACTCGCGTTGCACGGCAGTCGGTGGTGCGTGCATTCGCCTTCTGTTATTTGCCTCGTTCGTGTGTTACTACGGGCCAAGTGAAGCGTCACGGAAATACTTGTTATTGTGTATGTATAGCAACAGGGCTAATTGACGAATGGATCGTGAGGCGCAAGTCAAATAATCGTACTACGTCGTATAAGTCTCCTCGCCGAGTGGTGCCCCGTCCTCGGACTCCTTCGATCTTGTCCCGATCCTCGTCTTTCTCAATCTTTGCTTTTCACTCTGTCCTTTTTAACCCCTCCTTATCCCATTCCCTCGTGAGCTACTGTGGAGGTGTCGCACTTCTCTTGTCTCGCCGCCTAGGAGATCCTGGCTCATACCCACCAGGGGGATTGGCTACTCTGTACCTTATAATGGAAATTTTTAGCTGCAGCCAGTTGTGGGGCTCACTTTTCTCCCATTTTAAAACCACTGCCCCACCTCACTGTTGGTAAAATTGAATGGGCACGAATGAGTTGTCTGACAACAAAACGTTCAATGTCTAAAAAAAAAACAGAAAAGAAACAGTCACTTGACTCCGTTTTGGGAGTCCTAACTTGCCACTTATGTGACTCTTCTTGGATGGATGGATATTGCTGTACCCTTTAGATCATGTGATGGCTAGCGCCACCAAGCCGTAATACCTAGTGCACCAAAAACCAGATTTATTTTTTCCCCTTAAATAGTGAGGTTGGGGATTCGTACTTTGCTGTGAAGGGTTTAATTTTCACTCGTGCTTTGACTTTAGCCACCAATCAGATAACCTCCTTCTAGTTAATTCTACCCGCTTAAAGTCTACTTTGCCCTCCCTGTCCCTAAACCCCAGTGCTTTGAAAAACTCTGCGCCATCGTCCTGAACTATAGGGTGAAGCCCTTTACAGAACATTATCAAGTGTTCGGCAGTTTCTTCTTCCTCTCCACACGCACTGCATACCGTGTCTACCTCTTCGTATTTGGCCAGATATGTCTTAGTTCGCAATACAATGACGCGACTGACCAAGTCCCTCTGGTGAACATTATTACTCTTGTCGAGGAATCACGTGACCCGAGAGAGAGTTAATGCACCTCTTTAAAGGGAGTCATACATGTGGGGCCAGTCAGGACTCTGCAAACATTCGCCACTACAACGTGATTTTATGTCAATATAAGCACTTCCTTGGCACAAACATATCACTACGAGGTTTCTGGATCGCTATTTCAACGATCAACGTCGACTTAATCATTTGCCTTTAGTGTGTCTTTAAACCCCTGGGTGTGTGCACGTGGTGTGTGCGTGCTCCACTGCATCAGTGTGTGTGTGTATCAAGATGTCTACTTGCGTAAATGAACTTCAAACTTTGATCACAATTCGTCCTATGTCGCTCAATTAATATAAAGCTGCTTCAACCCGTTTCCCCGTTGCCTTACTACCCTCACAGTTGAATAGCTATAACAAAATAGCGTGTCACAGATAATTTGTGCAATGCCGTTATTTTTCTCCCGCTAACGTACGCGGAGTAATTAAACTTCAATATAAGCAATGCATTTAGTTATTTTGGTTTACGTTTCCTGCGATAAACATGCCCATGTAAGATGAGTTCGCATCCATTTGTCTTATTCATTTATTAGGTATATGTTGCCGTTCAAGTGGGCATAACAAAAGTGGTCAAATGCAAAATTAACGAGCTATAGTTACAGGTTTACACGGAAACAATCGGCTGCGTAATACCACACTTGGTTGAGAAGGCTGATGCTTGATATGTGGGGTTTAACGTCCCAAAACCACCATATGATTACGAGAGACGCCAGAACAGGCTGATAGTACAATTACCGTATTATTTATTGTAAATTAACGGAAAGCATTGCAGAAAGTCAAGCCTTGAGACTACTAAATGTCAATAAAAATCACTAAAAAAAACGCAGGATGAAGGGGGGGGAAGGGCAGTGGGAATGGAGGATAACCAAATAGCATACAGGGTACACGATGGCTCGTTCGATGAATACTGTTGATGTTTCTGCATTTACATTTCATAAGGACGATCTCCGAGCGATGACCTTGCCTACTAAAAGCAGGAGAGCGGTGGCGGAATTTCTTTTCGCAGCATTTATTGTCTGAGTTGGCAAAGTGCATGTCATTTACAACACTGGCAACGACTACGGTGTCTGTTTTTTCCTTTGGGAATGGCTGACTAGTGGACTGCGCCTGAGAAAGGAGGGTGTTTCCGATTCCCAAAGGGGCCGATAGCGGAAAAGAACGCCGAATAAAACGTACTCCGGAAGCCATCTGTGCTGGCGGTGCGGAGAGGCGCCGCAAAAGAAACAGGAACAACGTAACAAGACGAGCAGAAAAAATAAAAGCTGTTTCGCGAGTGCACGCCGCACTACGCGCCGTGGCGCAGCGGTCGCACCAACTGCAGCGCATGCGCCGTCGGTCTCTGTTGGAGCGCGTTTGATGTCATCAGCGGGTGAAAATGGCGGAGGGAGACCTGAACGTAGACAGCATAATTTCCAGGCTCTTAGAAGGTGAGAAAACCTTCGATTTACGCTCGTTTCACCACTCGAAGCAGTCAATGTGTGTTCGGAGTCGCCGTTGAGCGGGTTCGAGCGTTGTTTCACGCCCAACTAGGCTCTGATTAGGACGCCGGTAGGCGCAGGTTTTTTTTCTCTGCCTTGCATACTGTCATTGTCACTGGCTGCAGCGCCCGTTGGAGCAGGTTTCTCTCATTTGTAACCGCGCGACGCGGCTTCAGAAGCGCAAAATGACAAGGTTCTGGCTTTCTTACGAGGCTACAGTTGGCAGTAACCGTGGTCACACCCGCGTAAACGTTCGTGGAACCCGCTTCGAGAACGCGAGCACCCTACTTAGCGCTGGTCGGGGAGTGGAGGGAGGGGGAGAACGGTGGTACGAAAGAAATGGCCGATGCCTGGGGCTCGCGTGCGCGGGATGTGCCTGTCGCGATAAGCTGGGGCGTTGTTTTCTCGCTGTCCTCTATTCGCATGCAGCGTTGCGCTCGCTATGACGGATAAAGCGCACATCGCGTCGCACTGTCGTTACTGCGCGCCAGGCCCCCCGTCATGCTCACAACCTCGGGAGTTGCGGGGCCGCTGCCAAGGCTCGTCTCTCGCCATCCGTGAACCTGCCCCTATTTCCGCAGCCGCACCTTCGGTCCGACGCGACGCAAAAAAACATCCCGTGCTTTCTTTCCCGTGACGCATCGCGCGTCTAAAAGCCTTTTCGGCGCGCGGCGAACTCTTTGTCTACGATAGTTTTCGCCGGTGCGACCTTTTTGCGGTGTTCGCTTTTTTGCAGTGCGCTCCCGGCTGCAGCTCGGTCTCGTGGGTAGGCTTAGCTGAATCGCCACCGCCTAGCCGAGAACAGCTGCGTGCTCGTTCTCAGCGAGCGTGTCGCATCGGCGAACGGGTTCCAGCTCGCGCCCCGACAAATAAAAATAAGTAAGGAGATAGCGCGAGATAAAACTAGTCGCCCCGTTTTCTTTTTACCGCCGCTCGGCGATGTATGGGGGCGAAGTGGTTTTTTTTGGTGAACGCGGAGATTCGCTCTGAGAGGAGCGGCCACCTCTCGCCCCCCTCAGCTTGTATTTTAACCTTGAAAATCTCGTGGGCATTTACTGGTGAAGGCGCGGGTAAAGCACGGTTGTCCAGCTGGCTCAGGTGCCCCGCCTCGGCTTGTACTGCGTGCCGTTGGTAGGATGGGAGTGTGTGCGGGGGTTGGGGGAGCATCGGGGCGAGGGTATAGCGGAGGGGCGCTCATGATCCCTGTCCCGTCCTTTTTGCTAGGGTTTTTTTTTGTTCTTGCGCAAAATCCGTCGCGGCCCCGAAGGATTTCGTGCGTCGTAGGGGATTACCCCCTCCGTTCCTTCGTGCTGCCCCATCCCGCCGCTATTTAAAATAAACACGAGGTAATCTATGCGGCCAGGTTAGACCGTTTCCGTCCTCTCTTTGGTGTTGTGAAACGCGGAAATCGACCGACTCGCCGTCCGGCTCTTCCGTTTTTTTTAGTTTTTCGAGACGGGACGCAGATGCGCAAAGCTTGGATTAGACGTGACCCTGTGCGATCGCTGTTGTTACAAATTCGGCCCACACGCGAAATTTTCGTGTCTGTATGTCCTTTTGCGCTACGATTTTCGTCTCGCCTCGGGAAACGCAGTATCGCTTCACGGGTGTTTTCTTTTTTTTTTTCTCGCGAATCGACTGCTACAGGGTATTTCGGTTTCGTGAACGGATAACCTAATAAAGCCTATCGAAATGAGCGCTGCGTCTTTAGAACATGTCTGGTGCAGCACGGAAAGCTCGATTCTGCATTCATCGACACCATGAGAAAAAGAAAATAAGAAAGTACATTAAATCAGTGCATGTGTTTGTAGATATGGAAGGCTTCTTCCCGGGGCGGGTTTGGGCGACGACCGTCTCGGTCGTTTGAGGTAACCCGATTGTCGCCGGCGCAATGCAACGGGGGCGACCGGTTGATGAATCGTCCCTGGCGCTGCGCGCTCCATTGTTTCTAATTGGCGAGGCAGAACACGTGCTGCGCTGTCTCTCTCGCCCGTGTCACTTTTATTTTTATTCCTTTGCGTCTAGTGCTCGCAGGACCCGTTTTTGGAGCCTCCCAGTACATACACACATACGTCTCGTGTCCTACGACTCTTCTTCCTCCACACTTCTTCGTAGTACATGCTAAAGTGTTGCTCATTTTGGGTTACGCTACGACGGGTCTCCCGTCGACTTTGTCTCGGCTTCTGCGATGCCCCCCCCCCTCCCCCCGTAAACGATTTGCCGCGGCCACGTGAGGGAACATTGTTCCAGGAGTTATTTGTTCCTAAGGTTAAAGCTTGGGCGAGTTGGTTCAAATACATGATTAAAAACACAGCGCAAACAACGGCAGGAAGAAAGGAAGAGACAGGACAGAGCGCTGCGCTCTGTCCAGCGCTCTGTCCTGTCTCTTCCTTTCTTCCTGCCGTTGTTTGCGCTGTGTTTTTAATCATTTATTTGTTCCGCCTAATTGGGGTGGAAGGTTTTGGGCGAAGATGGGGGGGGGGGGGCGACTCGAGCGAGGCGCTGCGTGCGACTTCGGCGTGTACCGTAGCAGACGCTGGCCCCGTGTCTTTCCTCTTCTAAGGCCCCTCTCCCTTGTGTTGTCGTCGTTTTCATTTGTTGAAGTGTGCTCATCATTTGAGGAGGTCTGGAGGGGGGGGTTGGGGGGGGGGGCACGCGCGTGCACGAAAACCGGAAAGACACTAGCTCTTTTTAAGAACCCTGTAGTTTTTTTTTATTTCTTTCCTCTACAACACCCTTTCCTGCAGTTAGGTATAGCTCGGAACAGCATTGCATCACGCAATAACATCCTTCTCGAGGTTTGGCCTTGGTTTGTGTGTGTGAGAGAGAGATTGAGATTTGGCTTTGGTTTGTGTGTGTGTGAGAGGTATAGGGAGAGAGGCATTGAAGGAAACCTTTCGTTTTTGCTAATGAAGAATTGGAGCGAGGTAGACATCTCTAAATGGTTGGAGCAGGGGGCAGAGTGAGTGATAATGGTCTGTGTTTGATTCTTTTGTGGAACAACAAAGCTGAACTGTAACAAAAAAAAAGGCTTGGTAAACACAAAGCTCATTTCTATTTTGTTGCTTAGTCATTTGTTTAAATACTAGATGTATTTACATTGAACAGAATGCGTGCATCCGTTGTACGAAACTACTGCAACCATTACACCATTCAGATAGTTGGTGTTCACACATCCAAGGCAGTGTTGTGCACTCTGCCCGTAGTGCTTTCGTGCAGTGCAGCAGAGAAAACTGGGGTGCGACTCTAAATATCCACCTAGTGGATCCTCCACGGTGAAGTGCGTTCAGTTACTTAAAAAAAAAAAAAAAGGCGACAATTCGGGACATCGTGGTACTCTTGACCACATCAGCGCACCGAACCCCGCAGCACTTTGCTAGCATTAAAGAAAGTGAATTGCTCGAGGCCATGTCGTGTCGCTACGAATCGGGCGCCTAGAGAGGTCCTTGATGTAAGCTTTCTAGTGGAAATTACACTGATGGGATGCAAACTGTAGACGTAAGCCAAAGCAGGCCTATTACGTGGTCCTGAATAAGACTGAAGACTGAACATAGAATAGAGGCTCTTATACAGCAAAGTGGTTTATGGCCAGGTAAAACCGAAATTGTCAGTCTTGTGTACGCAAAATCTTCCAGTGTGCATGTCCTCAGCTAATTAGGTAAATCCAAGTACTCAAAGTGTAGGGAACACACAAGGCGACACAGTTATGATTTCAGGACAGACGTAACCAATAATTGAGGAAGACTAGTGAACCATTACAATTGACCCAGTGATAAACATTGGGACTGAAAGTTGGTTTGCTGGTAAATCATCTGTAGGAAATGTTTGGGCAGTCACTTTTTTTTTTTTTAACTTGCTGCTGGTCTGTGGTCCAGTGTATTTTGGTTCAACAATGTGTCTGGCAGATTAGTGGACGATGACATCCTGGGAGGATTTTTTTATCCTGTCACTCCCCCTTTTTTTTATTTATCAATGTCACTCCTATAGCCATACATTGAATGCTACATTTTCATACATACATCCAGAGACAAAAGAATTACGGACACTTTTAACTCTTCTTTGACGTTCCATGTGCTAGAGTTCGTATATTGAGCAATGACATGATTGGTTAAAGGCACACTAAATTAAAACAATGAATTGCTTTTGCCGTGATAAGTTGTAGTCTCTCTAATGTCATTATTTTTGCAGTCATAGATTTACTAACAGAGGTGAAAATCGAGATCAAAGCTTCATTTTTTAATTTTGCCCTGAAATTACCACACGTGACGTCACGTTTCAGCGTTTCTCGTATTTTCGCGTTATTGGCTCAACGAAATTCCCTGCAATTTGGTGTGACAAGTCGACAGCTCCGTCAGAAGACTTGTGTAGGACCTGGTAGAAGTCTTCAAAACCAGTGACGGCATAGCATTTGGTGCAGGAACTTGCAACGCATCTTCGCCAGCTTTTTTTTTTTAGTTTTATTTCGCTTGCCGAGTGTCTTCTCACACCTGGCGTGATGATTTTGAAATCGGAGAGTAGAACTGAAACGTGGTCGAGTTAGAACTTATCCGTAATTGGGCAGTGCAAAAAAGGAAACACAAAAGGGAAGAAAACAGGACAAGCGCTGGTCTAACAACTGAAGGTTTATTTGAAGGAAAGCATACATATACGTGTGGTGCATGATTTTCTTGTGTGTGTGTGTGTGTGTGTGTGTGTGTGTGTGTGTGTGTGTGTGTGTGTGTGTGTGTGTGTGTGTGTGTGTGTGTGTGTGTGCGTGCACGTGCGCTTTCCTTCAAATAAAATTTCAGTTAGACCAGCACTTGTCCTGTTTCTTTCCCTTGTGTGTTTTCTTTTGTGTGCTTCCCAATTATGTATAAGAGAGCAATATAATAATGAGGGTTTTTTTTAAGCTTTAGTGTCCCTTAAAAAAAGTGTTCCTAAGAGCATCACTAGTGCTGACCCAAAGATTGCAGGTTCGATCTCAGCGGTGGCAGTCGCATGTTGATCACAGCGCAATGCTAGAAAATCGTGTACTGGTGTGATGACAGGTCGTGTTAAGAAACTCCACATGGTGAAAATTCCCTAAGCTTTCCACCACTATGGCATGCCTCATAATCATGTGGTGGTTTTGGCACGTAAAACCTCGTGTAGTATTATTTAGAGCATCCGAAAAATGTGACCCAAAAGTTATATGGGAGGTAACAAGTGCTGTGTGGACGCTCAAAAAAAAAAAAAAAGAAAAATGTAATTGCGCATCTAGCTGATGTTTTGTAATCCTGCTTTGTGCTATCTGCTGACCTTTACAGCTTTTGTATCTGTGCTCATTGTTTCCGGAGACGCTTTTGTTAGCTGCCACGGGCGTAGTGTGGCTACAGTGCTCTGCTGCAGCACCCGAATGGCGCAAGGTCTATCCTGACAGCGGCGGTCCCATTTCGGCGGAAGTGAAATATGGGAGGCCTGTGTACTTGTATTTGAAGTGCTCATTAAAGAACCCCGGGTTATTGAAATTTCTGAAGCCTTTCACTATGGTGTGCATGCCTTATAATCACGCACGAGTGTTGTTGCATTTGTTACATTTAACACCTATCGAAATGCAGCTGCCATTACCGGTGACCTGAAGGTTAGCAGCACAACGCTTCTAAGCTACCGCGGCAGGCTGACAACTCCGTACCGGTAGTTTCCCTGAGGCGCGATACTCGTGGAGACGAATTTGCAGCTCAAACCTGACTGACGATACAGTCTGACATAATGGGTTTGTGAGCAAAAAAAATGTTACACAACATTGCCGTTATGACATTTTAGTAACTAATGAAAGGGATTTGGCATCTGGATTCGAGAAACGTATTGATACCGATCTCCCAAAGGACTGAAATCTGGGCGTTGATTCCGAATTGTAGAGGTGTTGTGCAATGGTTACTATGTCTGGAGCCTTGTAAGAGGGAGTCTTGAGACCAGTTTCACCCCTGTAGCTTACCTGAACAAAGTTCTGTTAATTTCAACAGGTGTGTAAATAATGCGAATGCCATGTATGTAAGCTGCGGAAATGTTTTATGTAAAGTACCGGGGGTTTAGTGAAACGTACACAGCGTGCGTCTTCAAGACCCCTGGTATATAATATCGCTCTTTGTTGGGGCTAATTGGTGCATTGCATCGGGAAAACACATCCAGCCAAAAAATGAACGTATACAGGAAACGGAGAAGACGGTGAAGAGGTTAGGCTACCGACTGTTTATTCACAAATGCGAGGCTCAAGCATATACACCCATGTGGTCACATGGTCATGTCACAATCACTGTATTTAATCATCGCACTACTATTCACTCAAGATTTAAACAGTGGTCTAGCCTCTTTTCTGTCTTCATCGTTTCCTGTGTATGTTCATTTTTTGGCAGGATATATTTTTTGACCCCTGGTGTATATTTGGACAAGCTTAGAACTCTTGTATGACTTTACAGTGACGGGCGTGGGCTCGTGCTGTGCCACAAAACGGGCGGTGTGAAGCTGAAGTGTGATGGTTTCTTCTCGTACGCTTCCATCCTGCAGTTCGGGGATGCCGCCCAGGAAAGACTGTGCAGCTGACGGAGGCGGAGGTTCGCGGCCTCTGCTTAAAGTCGCGGGAGATTTTCCTCAGCCAGCCAATCCTGCTTGAGCTCGAGGCACCGCTCAAAATTTGTGGTGAGTACAAATTTGTTCCGTCGTAGGGTGCACATTCGATCTGACTGGTTAATAATTTGCAGTATAGAATGGCACTTAGCAAGACTGGACAAAGAGAGGACACAAGCTACGGTTCTGAGGGACAACCGTAATGTGTTTTATTCTGCCGGGTCCACATGTGTATACATTCGCACCCTATAATAATGAAGTTGCATCTTAATGAAAATAAGTTCATATATATATATTGCCCAGCCTTTAAAGCAGTCATTGGCAATATGTTCAAGTGCTCACATACTGCTGAGTGTGGTGCCGTTTCATGAAATCAAAGCGATAGATGATGCCACATCTGTCAAGGGCATGTGAGCTCTTTACCGACAAAAGCCAGCTCATTCAGTCTGCCACTGGAAGGCATGCGGACAACAGCAGAGTGGTGTTTTTCGAGACATCCGTCATTGGTCTACCGGGCATCGACAAATCGGGAGGGAGAGGAAGCGAGGAGATGCTGTTGGACAACCGCGACAATCTTGATGGGGCATCAACAAATTGGGTGGGAGAGGAAGCGAGATGGAGATGCCGCTGGACAGCCGTGACAATCTTGATTGGGGGGGGTGCAGACACGTCCGACCTCGCTCGCACCCATTGTCTGGTCATTATGTAGACTCCAGGCGAACAACCGAAAGGTGACAAAGTACCACAGCAAATGGCATACGGCCGGCACAACCATGCGACCACGACAAAACAGTAAGCGCGCATTAACTTGAGCCATCATCAGCGGTATTGCGAACCAGACTACAGGGCGTTTGAGAACTGCGACTGTTGCGTCATAGCCAGTGCCGGACGCCGTAATTATGCTTGACAAAGATCCCAAGTGAAACTCGGGATCGCCAAGCCCAGTCAATCTGAAATAACCGGTGCCGTCCACCAGGCATACACAAATGTTGATTTCAAGCATGACGCTTTATATAATACTACACTTCTAAATGAACTTGAACAAAAGTGCATTCACTAGCAAGAAGGGGTGTACGTGATTGTGTACAAAGCATCTCGAATGGTTAAAGCTCGGGGATCAAAAGTTCTTCTTTTGCTTTCCGTGTGCGTGCAGGTGATATCCATGGCCAGTACACGGACCTGCTGCGGCTCTTCGAGTATGGTGGCTTTCCTCCCGAGGCCAACTACCTTTTCCTGGGCGACTACGTTGACCGGGGCAAGCAGTCGCTGGAGACCATCTGCCTGCTGCTCGCCTACAAGATCAAGTACCCCGAAAACTTCTTCCTGCTTCGGGGTAACCACGAATGTGCATCCATCAACCGCATCTACGGCTTCTACGACGAGTGCAAACGGCGCTACAACATCAAGCTCTGGAAAACGTTCACCGACTGCTTCAACTGTCTGCCCATCGCCGCCATCATCGACGAGAAGATCTTCTGCTGCCATGGCGGTGAGACGTGCTTTGCATTTAGTTTTCTGCACAAGAGCAACTTAACCATATGCTTGCGTGCTCTTCGTGGTTATTAGAGTTACTGTGGTTACGTGCGCTTTGTAAGCTGTACCGTCGGTACTCGTAACAGTGCACCATAATAACCGAGCTGGGAAAGTTTGCTGTATCCAAAGTTTATTCTATTTTAAACGAGACCAGCTTCAGGTAGTGTAAGGACTGAAACTTGCTTGATTTGCTGTTTCATCATTTGCAGCCTGAGGCAAAGCAGAATTGGGTGGGTGTTTGCATCGCGTGCTGGTTGCCAAGAAATGGCGATATCCTGTCGCTGTGGCTTTTCCAACGATATTCGGCCTATATATTGTCTGTTTAAAGGTTAGCCCGTTTAAAGTGTAACTTGTTTGATAATTAATATTTATTTAACGAGCAACTTACATAAATATTATGTGAATAATATTTGTTTAATTTTTTCGTGTAGGCAGTGCTAAGTGTAGGGAATGGTCCTGCATCTGGAAGCATGTTGCATAAATGATGCAGCTGTAAATGATGCAGCTTTTGAAATAGAATTGTAGAAGCATGACAGTCACAGTTGTGGAGCTTTACGAGCTGTTGCACAAGGGTGTTTTCTCAAAGCTGGCCCTTATCGTTGTCTTGTGTAATGGGGTTATTGGCCAGCATAAATACCTGAAACAATCTGTTTAGTCCTTAAACATTCATGGACATAAACTGTTTGAGACGGGCGACATTTAAGTTCCTGTTCACTTCAGAAACTATTTCAAATTATGTATATCTGTCATGTCTGAGGTTGAACACTGCTTCAATGTGTATTGTTACCTTTAGTGCATTGTCGTTGCTCTGCTTTTTGACTTAAAGTGATGAGTGGGAAGGGGGCTGTCGGGCATTCCACTAGTGCTAAGAAATGGCACGTTGTCACCACTGCAGGGCTCTCCCCTGACCTCCAGTCTATGGAACAGATCAGGCGCATTATGCGACCGACAGACGTTCCGGACACGGGTATGTTGCTTTGCCACCAATTCTGTTGTGCCTTCCCATTCCCATTTGTTAGCTTGTGCTTGGTGTAAAATCTAAAACTGGTGTTTCTAGTGGCAACGTTTTGATAAGAATTTACGTAGACAGTGAAAGAAGTTTAATAATGTGCTCGCAAGTGTGTAGCGAATCGAAACTAGTCATCTTAGTTCAGTGATCTATGTAATTGCTTGTAATAACTGCTTTGAGTCTGCCAATCTGGCCTCTAAAGTGCAATCTTGGTTCTCATGTAAGCATTCTCGTCTGTACTGCACTGATGCATCATGAACTGGAGATGGTGGGAACAAGAGTGCGGTAAATTACTCCACCCAAAACTGTCAGGTTTCAAAGCAAGTAGTGCAGCAAACAAACCCCGGATATGCAGGACAGAATGTTACTTGTTGAGTATAATGTTAAATATGGTGCTTATGCCACACCCATTTGACAAATCACATGGTAGGCCAAACATGCTGCTTATAGGTCATGCAGCTTTGTTTCCCAGTTCAACGTCATGAGCTTGAAATTTGTAACACTTACTTTTTGACTTAGCACTATTCTAAAACTATCTCCAACATAACACAACACTGTGTCCGAATTACAGAAAGTCTGTGGCTGCAGCGCTCTTCTTTCGAAGTGCGTCACTCTGCATCAGCACGACAGAGCGATTCTTAAGAAACATGGCAGCTTAGGCAGAGGGGTAGCACTGCGCTCGCTCAACTGTTGGGTCAACATCAAGTCAAGGATTTTGTGAGGATGCAAGGGTTCCTGCTGTCGTGTGGGGCGGTCCTGTTTTTGTGTCTTCTTCCGTGGTTGCCTGTGTGCTGTTTGAGGTGCTATCTTGCAGAATGGACGTGCTTCAAGTCTCTGCCTCGTCTGGAGTTGGGTTGTTGGGTTTGAGAAATGGAAGCAGTCGTGTTGCACTTCGCTGGTGGGGCAGTGCTTGCGTAAGAAAGCGGTGGTGATTGCGAGCTTCCCGAGAAGCAAGTACGCATGGTCATGGAAGGACGGCTACTGGAACGTCAGCGCTCATGTTTGACACTTCCAAGCTGGGGCTAACTGCTTTCCAAATCTCTGTATGCAAATCTGTTCGTTATATGCATGTAGTTTTGCACCAATCGGCATCCTTCTTATGACACTATTGGTGTGCTCATTAAGCCATTTAAAAACAGCAGTGGTTCGGTGTACTTCAGCTAAAGGAGCGACGTTTGTTTAGCTATTATGGCCCAAATCATTACATTATATACAAGAAAGTATTTGGCAATCATAGGTGCAAAGCAATGCTTCTAACTGATTTTGTGACAAGTAAAGAAAAAAAAAAGTAGGCTCTTGCAAATATTTGAATATTCGAACCATAAATACTGAATTTGAATTTGCTTCGATTCAAATATAAATTAATATTGTTGAAAATTTTGGAAGTATTCGAAATTAATAAATAAATGTTTGTCTGTAGAAACCCCCTGTAAAGGTTGTTTAGCTGCAGTAGGGGGATTCTAAGCCGTGAAATCACCTATCTAAATTTATATAATTTGCATGCAACCCACTGCAAAGACTGGAATAAGCTCTGTACAGAGCATTTTACGAAGTTTAGCGGTGTTTTATTGTACCTTGCAACTTTGTCCAGCAGGATGTGCTGGTACACTTAATCAGATTTGGTTGCTTGTATTATGAAAATTGGCAGGAAATTACTCATTTACAGCTTTGATGAGTGAGGTGTCAGTTTACTGAAGTCGTACCCTCTTGTAGGAACTAATTTGCATTTATGCAAACACCTCACACTCCAGTTATGCTCTTGTCTTGCATCCATCACCACACAGTTGCAGTAATGGCTTTGAAATGTGCCAATTTTACTGTGGGGTTATCCTCGGTTCTGTGATGTTCAGTAGACGACTTGCCGCAAGGGTATATGTTTTGGTCCGAGGCTTTTTGTAGCCGTGCAGGTGAATCGCTTGTGGCGTGGAGGCCTTCCTGCATAATTTTGCCAAGCGTGTGTCGTCGCTTACGAGCCCCGTGGCTTGGTTAACGCAGGTCTCCTGTGCGACCTGCTCTGGTCGGATCCCGACAAGGACGTCCAGGGCTGGGGCGAGAACGACCGTGGCGTCTCCTTTACGTTTGGGGCAGACGTGGTCTCCAAGTTCCTCAACAGGCACGACCTCGACTTAATATGCAGAGCTCACCAGGTGAGTCGGAGGGTCGTAGCTGGGCCACTCGGTGTTGTCGGTGTTAAGAAAATTCGTGTCTCGTGTAGCTGAAAGGCATTGCTTTAGAAGCCCTTGAGGTGGTAAGTTCGATTCCAGCAGCACTTTGACTGAGGCAGAAGGCTAGGAGCCCGTGTAATGTACGATGTCTGAGCAGGTTACAAAACACCAGATGCTCCAAATGTCCCGAATGTTCCACGAGTGCCTGCATCATTATCATGTTGTGGTTTTGGGCATTAAAACTCCAGTTCTAGTGTTGTAGTATAAGCTCTCAACTCAACTGCTGTGCTGTTGCATGTGTTAAATATTCAGATGTGTTTTATGATTGGCGTTTTTAGTTCTAATAGCCACAACTCCCAGAAGACTGGTGCTTAGGATGTGCTTTATTTAGTGAAACAGGTCTTGGAAAGTAGTTTTGCTGAAAACCAGTTAGGCCATGTGAAGTTGTGTTGGGCATTATCACAATGGTATTGGAACGTGATAAGTACTGACGGTAGCTGGAAAAGGGAAGGGGGATATTTGTTCACAGTGACGTTCGAGGTGCTGTGGGCAAAGTTTTGCATTATGTAAGCGGTGGGATTAACTGTGAACTTGTGATGACGTCTTCCTGTTGCTTTAGAGGCTACTCCTTTTCTTCCAACATGGGTGCTAGCCTGAAATTTAAATCCTTAGGTACTTATTTAATTTAATGTATCGACCTTAATTTACAAGACCGTATATTGTTGTTTGTTGGCCTTTCTCTCCCAGTGGGCTGCAGTGTCATGCTTGTTTATTCCGCAGGTCGTTGAGGACGGGTACGAGTTTTTCGCCAAACGCCAGCTGGTGACCCTCTTCTCAGCGCCAAACTATTGTGGCGAATTCGACAATGCTGGTGGCATGATGTCTGTCGATGAGACGCTGATGTGCAGTTTCCAGGTGGGTTGGCTTATGGACGAAAAGGCCTTGCTGTTGAAATCAATGCACAAAGAACTAGAGCAGAAAGCAAGGATAAGTTGGCAAGATGTTTTCATGTCTTTCGCTTGTGCTAAAGTAGGAATGTACTTGTCAGAAAAGATGTGGTGAGACGCCCCTTGTCGAAAGCATATGGGATGCATTGTTTAGGACTGCCTTGCAGACAGTGCTAGAAGTCTAATAATGTCAAACAATGAACTAATTCGGATTGATAAATCATGTGCTGAAAATTCTATTAGTGCAGAAAAGTCAAGCTAGTGGTTTCATTTCTAATTTTCGTTGTGAAATCTATGTGCGTGACGTCACGGATTTCAAAGATTATTTGGAGTGTTCAGGGACAGTGGCCTGTGGCCCCTTCGGAGGACAACACTTCATTTCATTTCATTTTATTACCTTATAGGTCCCCAGGGGGACATTACATAAGGGGTGGGGTTACAAAAAACGTACAAAAAAAGCCATGAATTAGTTTGAAAAATGGCTTGTAACGCTATGCATAAATGTTGGACAGGTGATTGCTGCAATATGGTGGGGGAGGTCATTCCAGTCTTTTGCTGCACGAAGAAAAAATGAGGCAGCAAAAGTAACGGTGCGGGAACGTTGACGGGCAACTTGAAAGACATGGCCAATGCGACATGGCAATTTCTATTGGTTCGGAACTATTTAGGACAGAGTAGATACTACCACCAAAGTCCAAGCCGTCACGACAGTTGGTGCGGGAATTTCAAAGTGGCATCGGCACCCACCTTCTTTTCTTGCATGTCGTTTCGTTTGCCGAGCGTCTCTTTGCTTGCTTAGTGACTTCTCGCGAAAAGCGGGGTGATTTTGGAATTACAAAAGGGTAATTGACTGTTGTGAGAGAAATCGTTTTTCTCTCGGGTGTATCTTTAATGGCAGTCCTGCGGTATGCTAGAAGTTTTTGTGACTGTGGTAAACTGAATGGAAAGAGCTCCCGCACTTGTCAAACGGAGGTCTGGACTGACAGAAACGCAGAGGACGCACTGTTGTAGCTTCGCCGGCTAGGCTTGTCGCGCCACTTACCTTGAAGGCACAGGTTCTTATCCCAGCCGTGGCGACCACATTTCAGTGGGTTGAAGTGCAAAAGGACTGGTATGCTGGAGTTCAGGAGCTTGCCATTTTGTCTCCTGTTCTTTGATGACTCATTGCACATGATCAACTGGTATAGTGTACCTCATAAACGACTTAGAAGAAAGGAGTTTATCTTCAATACATGCATTCCTAATACCATTGCCCCTGGTTCTCATGCAGATCCTGAAACCCTCCGAAAAGAAAGCGAAGTACCAGTACGGTGGTCTCAACTCCGGGCGGCCCGTGACACCGCCTCGGGGGCCAGTCAAGAAGAAGTGAACGCCAGCTGTGGGAAAAGGGGTGATGAAAAAAAAAAAAAAAACATTGCAAAAGAGGACAGACAATTCGATTGCAACAAACAAGTGGCTCTATTACCCTCCACCACCGAAAGCAAGAGCTACATGCCCGCCTCTTCCTCACTCCTCCTCTGTTTCCACGTTGCTTCCGCCTCTTTCGCTGCCAGTTCGGCCGAGTGTCCTACGGATCGTGCAGGCGCCCGCGGAACAACCCCGCGCTATTTCCTGTCCTCATTTGTATAAGCTCGGTTGCCACCCTTAGGTCTCCTTTTCGATGTGTACGCCTCTCTCATCGCGTCATTGTTTCTTGTGTAAAACGCTCATCTTGCACCAATGTTTATTTTTTAATTTTGTCATCTTGTTTGCATTCTTACCGTTTTTTTTTTTTTGTTATCCCGGCCCCGCCCCTTCTTATTTTGGTAGGACATATTACAAACGCTTTAGGCATTGAAAGAGCACACACTGCAAGAGCGATATTAGTGCCTGAAGCGGTTATGATATGAATCGATACAAGCTTTCCCGACTCATTTTGTTGTAGTTTCGCGAGTGATGTCGCTTGGTACGCAGAGCATGAAATGTTTTGGACTTCTTATGAACAGGGTAGGGAGGGGGCTTGAACCTTTTGGTAACCAGCCTGCAGGGAGAGCATATGTTAGCACAGACGTAATGATGCCTCGAAACTCGTTTCCCTAATGTGCTTTCTTTCGTTTTGTCTAAAAGCTCCACTATCATGGAGGTGTTACTTGACAAGACCTGATCTGTTAGCGGAGAGGTGCATATTTGACTCTTCTTGTGCTGAGCTAGTCTACAAGAAACTTTCCTAACTTTTCTCTTGCATGCTTTGACCGGTATAGTTTGAAATGTTTATATAGCGAGCACACTCTGAAATATGTGCCGCCATCTGTGCTTATCCTGAAATTCATTTTGGCTATTTCTAATGGTTTCATTGCTGTTGACAATCGAGAGCTGTCAACATTTTGCCAACCACTGTGCTGACTAGGAAAGCGTTTTATTAAGTGCATTTGTGGCCGATTCTTGTGTTGCCCATTCTTTTTGTATTAAAAGAGAGAGCCTTTCCCGCATTCATTTTTGTCTGACTTAGTGTATTGCCCGTAACTTTTGCTGGGAATGGAATTGGGATACTGGGGAGGTGGCATAGTTCTCACATTTGCCAGTTGTGTTTTAGTTTTCTGTGTGCGAATCAGCCTGTTCGGACAGTCTAGTAGTCGAAATTGATGCTTTTCGCGTAGATGACATCTTTCTTCGGATGCGTTTGTTTGCATGAGTCGCCAGACTTGTTCCCACGTCATTCGCGCACCTAGTCTGCAGTCTTGGCAGCAACGTGTCGTGTGATAGACTTAACATCACGATGGGTTGCAAAGTGACATCTATGCTCGCACAGGCTACGATAAAGCGTCTTTTGTGCGTTCGAAGCAGTTGATTGTCGCAGAGAGGCAGCCGTGAATCTGCACCAATGTCTAAGCTACCGAACATGTTTCGGTTTGCCTGCAAGTGTGGTTTTTCGTGGGATAAAAGGTGTGCCCTCTATCTGCATTGTACACGCTGAAAATCTGTTTGAAACTTGCATCGGTAATGTGACAGTGACTTGCTGGGCAGTGAAACGGGTTTCAAGAAGCTTTCCGTCAACGCTCTCTTCTTATGCAGCCACTCTTTGTCGGGGTTGTCTCGTTTGCAACAGTTCCTTGTAAACAAATTGCACTGAACTGCCTCATTAGGAGTTCACTCTGAGGCGGTTACAGTGTAATTTCGTATCGATGAAATGTTGAAAACGAGCTCCCTCTTCATCTAACCACAACATAAAGCTCCACTGACGGAACGCTAAAAACGGCAATTAAAACGTGGCACTTGTTTTCTGTATCTTGCAGAGAAACGAATCGACCTTGAAGCTGATGTAGTAGATTTCTATTGTATGCACTCGTAGATTTTCCGTCGGACTAGCCCGTTCGTTCTTTTGAAAGCCGTTCGTACTAGAAGTCGTAAACCGCCCTGTAAAATATCTTGCTCTTGTTTGGAAAGGCGCTACTATCACTGTTGGTGTACAGCTCTAGTGGGTTCTGATAACCACACCTGTTTAAAACGAAATCTGCCATGTCTGCTTCGCAGGGATGGGGTGAGAAGGGTTGGGGAGGGACGACAATTAAGCTGGCGTCACGACTAGAAAGAGCCCGCACTGTTACTTCGCGGGGAGGAATCTGAGAGCGCGCGTTTTCGTCTTCGCCGGAGCCTGCGATGTCGCATGGCCATTGACGTTTCGAGGCTCGTTCGCGGCAACGAAGCTGTGGTTGTGTCTTGCTGTGCTTCAGCGCGGGAAGGCCAACTTGCGGTTGTAGATTTTTGCCATCTTGGCCGCATTGAGGATTTGCATCGATTGAAGGCGGCTTGCAATGTGTAGCGGCCGCTTGAAAGTTTCGAGGTTGTTAATAGAGGCATGTCTTTCTCCTTTCAAAACAGAGGTTAATAAACAGTTGGGAAAGAAATTACGTTTGCACTGTGTTACTTTTGTCCACATCAAGTGTGTTATGCTTGAGGCTTGATGTGTTGTGGAGTTGACATGCAAGATTGATTAAGTGCGACTTGGCTAATGTTTGCCAAAGACTCTCGGTAAATGGAAATCTGTTTAACGGAATTGCTGCTTAAATGGAACGAGTGCTTCTGCAAGACTTGTTCCATTCTTCTATTCTGCACCCTTGGTCGTCTCTCGGTAAACGGAACTCCTGTTTAACGGAACATACTATTTCCCTGGTCTCTTCAGGTTCTGTTATTATAGAGTCTTCTGTAATTTCATTCATTGGGTAGCTTAATGTGCTATAAAGGAAAGCATCTTTATACCACTAAAAATTTAGTGCTAGCGAGAACATATAGCGAAATTTTCAATTACCTCTAGCCATGAGTGTGCTGGCCTCCATTGAAATGTTTGTGCCCTTTAGCATCACTTTTATCGGAGAACTTCATAATGCCCCCTATTTGTTTCAGGCACGACCGAAGAAAGCTTATGCAGACGCCCTACTGTTTTGTTTATATTACTACTGTCACAATCTGCTTCTGGCATACAGGGCAGGTTCTTGTGGAATTTAATGCGAGACTCTACGCTGTGCCTAAGAAATGTGGGCTGTAGCGTCAGTGTGCATGAAATTGCACATTGTAGGATGGTGCATCTGGAACTTTTTGCAACACGGAGGAAAAAAGATTCAAGACTACATGAAGGATACGTATGTGTGCACACTCGCTCTAAGCATACCTAAAATTCTTGAAGATGTGGGCATTACTGCCCTAGCGCTAATTTAGACTCATTACATGTAGAAATCTCGACTCTACACCTTCAGGTAAAGTCGAGAGCCATGTCAGTAGAGCTCGCAAGCATACTCCCCTGCCACTGCTTCATAAACACTACTCCTAGAGCATTCTCAGTTTGCAGTCGGGTCGACCCATACCTGCTGTGCAAGTCTGTCAGCACAGACTAGAATTTACTGATGTAGTGAACTACATATGAGCAGCAGCTCTCTAGTGCACCACACTTGGTATCGTATTGCCTCGGAGATTGCCCCACCCTTGTCCGATCCATGTTGCTGACGATGTCATCACAAGACGTCGTGCAGTGACGTCATCATGCAATTTTATGTCGCAAATTGTGGTGATCATTGTCATGTGATGTCATGTATTGTCACTATGAGAAGGTCACATGTATTTTTTGTACGTGGATGGATGCCCCAAAGTTAAGTAGGTGGACCACTTTGCCGTTACAGTCGAACCCCTTTATAAGAAACACTGATGTAAGAGACAAATATGTATATGAGGCACCAGCGTGCCTACAGTAAAATACGAGGGATAGGTATGCGCATAGGAGGTCCCCTGCTTATAAGAGACATTATAAAAGACAAGAATGGCTGCCCGGGGCATGCCTCTTATAAACGGCTTGAACTGTATATGCTGTCGAAGCATGTAGCTTAGATTAAAGGTTTCTTTACCTGTCAGGGTAGCATAGCTAACGTCTGAGAAACTGTTCGAGTCTTAAAACTTTCAGCAATGACCATCACTCGAGAAGAGCAATGTACTTGCATGTTTCACATTTTTCATTCACAATGCCATCTCGAACCTTCCTACGTAAATGCAGGCTCCCTGTGCATGTTGGCATGCAGCCACTGGCAGTGAATGGTGCAGAGAAACTCCCAGGGTTAAACATATGAAGGCCGCAGAGTATCACTAAGCATATTCTTACGAGACGAGCACACGTTAGTAGTTACGACGTCAGCGTCGGTCCCAGAGAGAGAGGATAGGTCGTGTGCTTTTCAGACACGGTTGTTGCGGACATCTGGAGGGTGCGTGCTTCCTGCAACCTAGCCAAGAAACACTATCACTTTAATATCCTGAGAGTGTGTATGGGACAACTTCCACTGCGATAGCATAAAAGCGAGTGTGCTGCAGGATTAGTGTGGAGGTTTTAGGTTGTACCCCATTCGTGGAATGTAACTGCATGCCCCGTCTTTTTAGAATGGATGCTTTCTGTAAAGTTATTCGTACTGTACTCTACCGCTTCAATTTTCCTCGATCCCGTGACTGACTGCCCTCTTCAATTTTTCACCTCTAATACATGTACCCTGCTCATGGATTCGAAAACAGCATTCCATTCTTTAGTGCAACAACTTATATGTGCAATTAGTTGACGTAACTGTATCACGTCCCAACGAATTCGGTCTCTTGGACAATGTTGGCTCTTATTTGTGTTTGAACTGACATATGACACCGATGTGACCAGAGTTGGAAACTGTTAATTATTTATTTATTTTATTTACAAGATACTGCAGGCATGGAGCCCAAGCAGGAATGGTACAGGCAGTAAGCAATCAAGCCAAGCATCACACAGCATACAATAATCCAATCATCACACACATACAACAATAATGCAACCAAGCTTATCATAACAGCAATGAATTAACTGGGATTGTGAGAATCTCATTTTTTATTTTTTTTATCAAAAAAAAAAGGGAAAGCAACATGGCACTTAAAGTAAGCAATCAACAAAAAGGATCAGTGAATAATAAAACTGCAAATCATTTTTACATCCTCAGGAAAACATGTGCGTCAATAGAATCTGTCGACAGCAGGACGGCAAACGGTAAATTGTTCCACTCACAGATTGTGCACGGGAAAAACGAAAATTTGAAGAGATTAGTTTTGGCGAAATACGGAGTTAGGGCAAGGGAGTGTGAATGACGACCGTGCCATGTTTCCAGGCGACTAATATAGGGGCTGTGATCAAATAAGAGCTTCCGGTTAACTAATTGGTAAAGTAATTTTAGCCTAAATAATTTACGTCGGGATTCTAATGTTGGGATACCATGTCTTTCCATCAGGGCAGAAACGGAGTCTGTTAGACCGTACATACCATAAATAAAGCGGACGGCCCTTCTTTGAATTCTTTCGAGGCAGTCGATATTGGTTTTAGTGTGAGGATCCCAAATAACGCAGGCATATTCAAGTTTCGGTCTAATTATAGAAGTATATGCAAAGTATTTAACCTCAGAGGGAGCGGTTGTGAGGGCAGTGTCTTACCTGTAAATTACCCTGCTTCAATCCATGCATACAGTAGTCCTGTTTAAAACTGCAAACCACAATCTTGTAACATAAGGCTGAGTTAGTTGGGATGTATTCAATCTTAAAGAGAAGGGCATTCAAACACGGACACAAGAAAGTCAGTAGTCGGGACACCACGAACCCTTTATAATGACTGCCACTAGCTTTAGGCCCAAAATGCTGTTCTAAGCCAAATCTCAAACCAATAGATGTTTTAACTATGCCACATACTATCACTAGACTATTTCCAGAGGAAGAGCCCTTACACTGCATTTCAGACTGCGTTGCTTGTATCAAGGAATCTGGTATGCATCTCAAATGTCCCGATGCTATTCGGCCTTTGGTTGATTATTGTGTAGAGAAGGAACTCGGACCAGTAATTTTAAATAAGGAAGAGTATTTAGTTATTATGCCGGACAGTAGGTTCTCGGAAAAAGCATTAACAGCCGTGAAAAAGAATTTTGGGATGCCAACAACGCTTAAATCATTGGTAGTAAGGCAACATGCTCTTGACCTTTCGTTAAGACGTAACCTTGAGAGCATAGCTTGTAATGTTAAGAAGGCAAATTAGCTTAGAATAGATTTTTCAGTAAAAGCACAAACTGCTTAACGAGTTTTTCATCCCCTTTTCATATACTTAATTCTCGGGAGTTAGTTCATTTCTTTTCTCACAAATATCCCAGCGGCTGTAGAGCTCTTGGTATGAATATTGAGGACCTTTATTACAGTTTGCCACGTGAGGACTTGTTAAAATGTGTTAATGATGGTATTAACAAACAAGGGCATGAGACGGCTTTCATTGATATGTGTGGTTTTTATACAGAGATTTTTAGAAAGGCAGCATTTATTAATTATTTCCATGTATGTAAAGTCGACACTGGTAGCTTGGAAGGAAGGCGATTGTATATAGAAATCTAGAATATGTATTGGTTCTAAGGTTGCTCCCGTTCTTAGTGCTTTATACCTCAGCAAGGTTGACAAATGTTTAAAAGGCAATTTTGGTAACTATATTGAGGCTTTTTTGTTATGTGGATGGTTACTTGTTTTTTTTGTTTGTTTAAGGATTTTGAAACCATGGTAACCTTAGTGAGCGAAGATTTCCAATTAAATGGAGGAGGGCCGAACTTTACAAATGAATTGCCTCAGATTAGTGGAATAAAATTTCTAGACATTGCCTTGACATTTCAGAAGAATCACGTATGCTGGGAGTACTTTCGGAGATCTACAAGACTGATGTTAAATTTCTCGTTCAAGCACTCAAAAAGTTGTAAAAAATAGTGTAGCCGCGTCTTGTCTCAAGTTGGCCTTTACGAAGTTTTGCGAGCACAAAATGGGTGATAGGTTTAAAACGCAGGTTACGGGCCTTATAAATGTAGGTTATTCCATTGTTGCTGTGGCCACGGTGGGTGAACGTTTGAAGTCTGTTATGTTGAGTCCGAGCATGCTTGCAGAATGCGATAGGAGTAAACGTGTCGTAGATATACCGTACATTGATTCGGTATCTCGCGGGCTTGCATACTCAAAGTAGGAAGTAGATACGGTTTTAGGGCTGCCAACAAGCTCGGTAAGATTTTGCTGCTGTGCAGAGGAAGAATGAGAAAGTAAAAGAACAAGAAGCGAACTGATATTTGTTTCGTGAAACACACCAACAAAGTCACCAATTTCCGTACAAATGACTTCAAGGTCCCCTTTAGCGGTGGCCGCTTATAGGTTAAACAGACAAGCCAGTGCATTAACTAGAGATTATAGGAACACAAAAGATTGCTACCAGGAGGCTTGCCTTCTGTTATTTCTGTACATTGTCAAAAGTGTAAGTGCGTGCCTAAATTCAATGAATGCAGTTTTGTACCAGCATAGGATTGAAGAAATGCGTCTCATGATTGAGGCACGGGGTGTATCGACTATAGTGGTAGTGCACGCGTGAGCCTACCACCAAACTACTTGCATCAAGATGACATCAAGTGCCTTAAAAGTTATCTTTCACATGGACCACCACGCGTGCCAGATTGATGGGTCCATATATGGGCATGCGCAGATAAGTTTTTGTGCCTTCTTTCTTTTTCGTTGTGTACATCTTCAGTTGTTAGCATCTGCGGTGTCCCGACTTTTTTCTTGTGTACTTGTTTAAGGCCCTGTCTTTTAGAATGAGCACAATCTTAAGCATTCTTTGGCTTCATCATCTGTAAGTCTTCGTATTGAGAGAAGCATACTCGCACCGAGCAACTACACACTGAACTGCACAGTTTTATATCACATCAGGCATATATACAGAAGTTGTACACGCGGTTGTTTACGCATTGCAACTTTGAAGATTCGGATCAGCTGGCTGCCTCGCGGGCTGCGAAGTGTGCGGAGACCCAGGCCAGTCCCCACTTGAGATTTGTGAGCATGAACTTGAGAGCCTTGGTCCACTGCTCTTCCGAGTTGAACTGGATCTTGATGGAGCACGACTGGCCAGTGTTGCTGTCCTCGATCTTGCCCTTGTCTATCCGGTAGGGAAGGCAGAAGTTGGAGTCCATCTTGCTCACCTGCATTGATAGAGAACAGACATGCTCACGTCGGGACAGTAATGCATTTATAATAGGCTGTCTTCACAGCTCATTTGCTCTTTTTTTTTGAGGTTTCATAAAGAGGCAATTCTGTCTATAGTTGGCTACCACCCACGGTTACATTTATTCTCGTAAAAGCATGATGTTTAACTCGCCTACCCAAATCTGACCCGTCCCTCATGTATATGCAATGTGTCTGCTCTGCGAGAAGTGCAAAACCTTACGACAAGGATTTATGTTAGATAAGTATGATGGGTTTCAGCAATCTTATTATTTTAAGCAGAAGTACAGCGTGGCTGAAGATACGACACCCTGCTATCATCTGTAGCGCTACGAACTACAACAGAGGTGACTGCGAGATAATTGAACTTAATTTGTTTAGTATGCCCTGGGTCTTGCCCCATGAATACGTATTAGTCTGTGTTATGCCTCCTGTAATATGGCAGTGCAAGAAATTGTCTTCTTGTGGGTAGAAAACTTCAGCCATTTTTCAAAAAATGTATTCAAGCAACTCACCCCTATCACACATTCGTGTAAGTGCTTCCTGGACTCCCTTGCCCAGTTTAAGTTTACATGTCATGTTTCTCGTTTGTGCAAATTCTTTATGTATCAACGAAGTTATGCTAAGCACACCATGAAGTACAGAAAAATCTAAAGAGATACATTATACAAGCAAAAAAAAAATCACGAGTTGTCTCCAAGTACAATAGTGCCTTTCAGTGAAGATTCTGTTGCACATTGAAACAATGCTTTTATGTCAATAGTACCTGTGCTTCTGTTTACTAACAAGTCCTGTTCCGACTTTCCAGAGGTTACTCAGCTTTCCATATGACATCACTTGTCCATCCTGCTGTACAATATTGTCGAGCATGGCCATTTTGTGAGGATGAAATTGTGTTGGCCTTTTGTAGTGCCAAGGACACTCCCAATCACTTGATTTGGAGCGCATCCCGACACCTTTTGACAAATGAACTTGTACCACAGCACAGCATTAGCGCAGGCTTTGTGCGATCACGGCAGTCTTTCTGAACTCGAGTATTGCAGAAATGATGTCTGCTGTTGTTTACAAACTTTGCAGGAGCGAAAGTGGCAGGTGTGAGCAATCAATACAGTTACTTGTTCTCTGCTAGCGGGTCACTAACAAGAAATGCACAGGGCAAACGGGCGGGCGTCAGTTTGCCTGTGTGCGTTTCATTGTCTTGTTCTTGTGTTGCTAGTAACGCTCCAGCACAATAGGCAATCGTCTGTCCATACATGCTTTTTGTTCCTGTACTTGTCCTTTGGCAAGTGACATGCAAGTGCACACTAAACAAGCACACAGAGTATGAACTAGCCTCTTTCATAAGAATGTTAATGCAATAGTATAATAATAATATTAATAATAATAAAAATTGTTGAGGTTTTACATCCCAATGCCCGGATGAATATGAGAGACCTCGCAGATGACTCCAAAAATTTTGACTACTTGTGGTTCATCCACGTGCACCCAAATTTGCGTACATGGCCTTCAAGCATTTCGCTTCCATTGAAATGAGGCCGCAGCAGCCAAGCACCATAACAATTAGACCACCACGACAGGTTGGCTAGTGCTCGTAACAGTGGCCGATCAAGCCGCGCTGACCTGCTCCTTGAACTGCTGCAGGCAGTCCAGGAACGCCACCATGGCGTGATCGAATTTGGTGTCCCACAGGAACTTGAAGCCGCCGGCGAAGTACAGGGGCAGTTCCCGAGTCGGGTCCTCGAGGCACATCAGGTACGAGTGGTTGCCGAAGGGTACCAGCCGGTACCTCAGGAAGGTCATCTCCATCTTCTCGGCCAGCGAGTGGAGCAGCAGCACCGTCTGACCCCAGGCCATGTTGATCTCGGACCACTCCACGGGCACGTTGGGCAGCCGGCCCAGTCGGAAGTTGTTGATGGTGCCGAAGTGCCCGTTGTGCCAGATGTGGAAGGTCGCGTTGAACACGTTCGTCTTGTGCAGCTGACTCAGCTTGCTCTCCGAGTACCTGAGCTGGCGCTCGACGCTGGCGTGGTCGTCGGAGCACTGCATCAGCTGGCGGTTCAGGTCCGAGTACTCGCGCCAGTAGCGGTCCTCGTCGGCGCGAAGTCGCTCCAGCCGATCGGCCAGTTGCCTGCGTTCGTTCGCCACGTCGCTGCGTTCTTTCTCGATCTTCTCGACGGCCTCTAGGAGCTCGCGTTCCTCCCGTTCCAGCTTCCGGAACTCGGCGTCCAGCTCGTCCAAGTTGACCACCTCGTCCTCGCCGTTGGTCAGCTGTTCGAGGTACTTCCGGTAGTCCTTGCACTCGTCCTCGGCCAGGTCCAGCTGCCGCTCCATCTGGTCCAGAAGGTTGTCCGTGCACTCCTCGCAGATGGGGTAGTCGACCGCCGACTGGTTCGTCATCAGCTCGAACAGGCGCGTCTCGACGTCCAACTTGTGGCTGATGGTCGTGTCCACGACGGCCGCGCTTTCGCCGACCAGCATGAAGCCGTTGCCGCTCTCGACGAAGCGTATCGGTTCGACGGCGCGACGCGAGACGCCTTCCTCGGGGACGCGGTAGTGGACCGCGGGCGAAGGACCGCATAGTTCGACGGGGTCCGACTGACTCAGCATCGGCTCCGACAGTTCCGAGAGGGTCTGCTCGTCGATGGACGAGAAAGACGCGTCCAGTCGTAAGGGCTGACAGCATCTCTGGCAGGTGAAGTTCACCGGGAACGTCCGGTCTTTTGTGAGCGTGACCGACAGTCCTGCCATGACTGCTTGGTTCTGGGCTCACAGCTGCTGGATCAACGAGACGGCAGCGACTTCGCGAGCCTACGACATTACGTAAGCGCGGCGTTTATACCGCCATAATAGTTCCGTTTAGATAGTGACGACGGATCGGACTTATCCGGGATTACCAGCGGGTATTCGCTGAGCAAACCTAATTCGCATGTGAAACTCCGACGGTGCCGAAATGGTGAAAAACACCAGCAACTTGTTTTGCTTGGTTTTGATGGCAACCCTTCTGCTGAATGCTTGCGAAACTGTCGAGCTTTGCGTGCTTTACATGATGACTGAATTAACTCAAATATTTTATGGCTGTTTTATAAACGTCGTCAACATTCACCAGCATAGCAACGTACAGTATTGTATAACAATAGTTTTGTATCAATTGCATTTGTTATAATTAGAAACATGCGCTTTATTGTGCACTCTTTAGTTTCTGCTTTCAGGTGCTGCAATGCGGCTAGGGCTTATCAATTTATAAACAGCTGATCGGCCCAACACGCCTGCTCGCCTGCTCGGCAAATCGATATTTGAGCTCCGGTAGCGCTAAGTGCTTGGCACATTCACTCGTGAAACTACCGTTTGCAGCAGCTTGAAACCATGGTTTCGTTGCTAAAATCTAAGCCCGTGGTTTTGCTGAGCGCGGTCGGCACCTGGAGTCGGGGCGGTACTGCTCTTCAGGTTAGCCAGCTTCTCGCGAAGATGGGACAGCTTAGCGTATTCTACATGCTCTGCTGCATCCCCAGTTTCTCAGCAACCCGTTTTTTTTTTTTTTCAGGGAATATTACGTGGGCGGTTGCCGCTACGATGAGGACAAGAAACTGGACGGCAAGCTTGTCGTAATTACGGGTGCCAACACAGGTCTGGGCAGAGCGGCTGCTAAAGAGTTCGCCACTAAAGGTGAGATCTCGCTTGCGCAAGTTTTACCCGAGCCATACGCCTTCAATTTTTTTTTCAGGCGCCAGCGTCATCATGGCTTGCCGGGACCTGACCAAGTGCCGACGGGTCAGGGCCGAAATCATGACGCAGACTCGGAACAAGCGAGTTGTCTGCGAAGAGTTGGACCTCGCCTCCTTGGAGTCGATACGCAATTTCGCGGCGAGAATTAATGAGAGTGAGTTTACCTTGTTCACTGACGTGGGCCTTTTGAACGCGTTAGTTTAAGCGCGCAACCTGACGAAAACGCCTAAAACACGTGCGACACACGGAAGCTAGACATCCTGGTTGCGGGTGTAACATCCTGGCTGCGAGAGTTGGTATTTTACCTCGCAAGCGAGGTAAAATACCAACAGTAGAGAGAGAACGTCTGCAGAGAACGTCTGTAGGCCCCCACTATGGTATGCTTCGTAATCGTATTGTGGTGGCGTGTTAAATCTCAGCTATTATGATTAACTGGCGTATCCACGGATTAAGTTAGCCCAGTAATCAAGTCAAGTTCCTTGAATATGTGGCGCACACTCACGCTGGGAGATAGGCCAATAACCGGTTAGTTTTAATGAAAGGCTTTTATAATAAAAGGTTGGCGTTGGTCTATTTATGAGAGAGGCAAAATATGAAACGGGACAAATTTGATAATGGAGTAATAAACTGCGTCGGAATACAATCAAGTGGTGCATTCGAAATAAAAATGAATTTGTAAAAGTAAAAAAAAAATCTAGCGAAGATTTATTTCAGAACTTAAACCTGTTTGAATCTTTGATGAACTCCTGCAATGCGTTGGCAATCTTCTCGTCACTGTGGCCAAGAGACAAAGCCCCAAAAGAAAGCACATTTTATGCATTTAGGTCTATTCTAAGGAGGCAAAAAAACAACACCCAATGTATTTTTGCTAAGGCGGAGTATTTATTATAGGAAATGAGGTAATGTTCGGTTGACTCGTTACACCGCAATAAGAACAATGAGGCCCGGGAGGCTGCTAGACCAGCTCTGTTTTAATATAAATTTAGCTGCAGACTCTGACAATGCAGTCTAGTGATTGAGTCTTTCATTACTCGAATTTGACATATTTTACTATTTCAATGATACGCGAAGTGCTTGAATTCTGATGTGGCCGTTAGTGAAGGTGCATAAAATTCATCCAACAGTCATTTCCTTCTTAATCTAGCACCTATAATAAATTTGGACGCCGGTAATACCTCAATTACAGACCCATTTAAAGATGACTTTGCCAGTGCATCTGCCATTTCATTCATAAATAGTTCCTTATGTCCTGGATCTCAAACCAATTTGATCAAATGGATAAGGGGAAGGGGGGGGGGAAATAATGCTTTGAAAGCATTTGGACCATGCGAGTTCTCATTTGCAGTAAAGGAGCGACATACTGATAGTGAATAAGTGAAAATTGCTGCTGAACTTACTGACGCCGTTATTTTACCGAGATCTAGAATTATTGCAAAAAATCAAGGTACTTACCCAACGTTGTATTCTTTTTTTTTTCGCTGATTTCATATCAGTGATCGTGTTGCGTAAACCAGCTCCACAGTCGATGCTCTTCAAATCCAGTTGTATATTTCTCTTTAAATTGAACCTTAAGAATAAAAATTACCCTACCAAGTAACGTCTCTTTGGGATGATTAACTTCTAGAGTTATCGTGGTGTCTTACTGATTATGTAAGCAAAATAAGAAATGAAGATATCAAAGCTACATTTATTAATAATCAGCTTTAGCTACTGATGTTTATTAATTGTCTTAATTAACAATTGCATTGCAATGATGTGAAAATTTACAATTTTTTATATTAATAGAATTTTATTATTTTCTGCAGGTGTGAAGCAGATTGACATACTTGTGAACAATGCTGGTGTCATGAGGTGTCCAAAGCTGCTGACAAAGGATGGCTTTGAAATGCAGCTTGGTGTAAACCATCTTGGTAAATGTGCTTGCACTTCATTGTATACTTATCGTAGCTGACTCATACTAGACTTCAATTTTCAAGACGAATATTGATCAAACCTCGACATTATGAACACATGTCACATGCTTGGATACATGATCTGAAGTGTTTCTTGCAAATATGTGCATGCAGCAAATGAATGCTCATAAATAATTATGCTTATAACAAAGGTATTGCAGTGTACCAACAGGTCCTGTATTTTTGAATGCCTGTGAAACTGCAGGCTTCTCAGTGAACGCCGCTGGTCTACTGTAGTTCAAGTAGTTATCATAGTATAAAATCCCCCAAAGGGTATGACTGGGAGCACCACACATGCTTGCGAGCACGTCCCAGATTACTTAGATTTAAATGCGCGGATAAGAACCCGAGATTGTAAAATTTTCAAAGCCCATCTTTAAGGCATCCTTCGTAATCATATCGTGGTTTCAGGGCATTTAGCCCCAACAATTACTATTATTGCACCATTAAATCAATGGGCCCAGCTTCTGTGATGTTTGTAGAGACTAAAATAAAGTTTCTTGATAGCTTTTCAAAAATTAACTGACGCAGGTTTGATTCCTACCCTTGGCGAGTGCACTTAGATAGGGACCAAATTCCAGAGCACAGATGCACTTAGATTTAGGCGAATGTTAATGAAACTCAGGTGGTCGAAATTGATCTTCGGCTTCCACTACCATGTGGCCCTTAATTACATCTAATGAAAACACATAATGAAGCTAAGAAATGTCTGGGAGTTATGACTTGTATGTTCTAAGTCTAGCACTGTGAACTGTAAATGAACGGAAATCCAATAAACTAAACTGCCTATAGCATGATGATTGGTTTCACTCTTGAATTCCACGCTCCCGTTCTTCCCTCCCTAAACGGAAGTCCAGTTGAAACATATTTTCCTGGTTACTTCAGGCTCCATTTAATGAGTATACTGTATAGTAATGATGATAGTGGATGTTAGTGGATGTGAAAATGAACTTGTCGCAGGAATGGACCGAACTGGACGTGTTATCCGAAGATTGTAGGTTCGGTCCCTGCAAGCGGATTTTTCATCGACTCTGATTCGTCTACGTTTATGGTGTAATTAATATACTGCAGTTAACAAAAGCTGGGCAATTTAAGGGCTCGTTTTCTGTTACACGCAACATTGTTTTCTCATATTTTAAATTTCAGGAAGGAAGTGGGGTTGTTTGATTGATATTTTATGGTAAACAAGTCTGTTTCAGAGGCCAGTCAGCATCTCCATTTTCCTATGATGAACTAGGACACACTTGTTTTAATTTCGCACTTGCCTGGTTGTGCAGTCCACCACCAGACGGCACCACCCGTTCCATTCATTGTAATTAATACAACAGTCAAGCCGTGTCTCTCTTATCCTCGCTAGCTTCATTAACGCAATAGTATTAAAGAGCTTGTTTCCTCAAAATCCTGGTGTCAATATCATTTGTTGTGAGCAAAAAATTTAGAAAGACAAATAAAATAATTGATAAAAAAATTCTAGGTCTGAGTTGAGATCAAACCCGGGTCGTTTGCGTGGCAAGTGGGCTTTCTGGCACACAGCCAGGCCTCTGCTTGTGAATAAAGGTCAAATAACTTCCTCTGCTTGGAAATGCAGTGAAAATAACTTTCATGCTTTACAAGCATATGCGTCCTGTATACATGCTTCATAATACGACAGGGAATATTGCAGTAATAATACGTGGTGGAAGTGTACATGGCTATCGAGTGTCAGAACATGGGATTCTCATAATGACTTTCTGATTTAAAGCCAACCACCCACTACAAGAGGCACGCACACTACTGGACCTTTAAGGCCATGTAGTGGGTGTATCACAAATTTGAAAAGATTTCATTCACTAAGTGTTTGAAGTATGAACTAGGAACAGAATATCGCTATTGCATTCAACTCTCATAGGCAAAGCTTAAGGGTGCCCTAATTTTTTTCTCTTGTTTTCATTAGGTTGTGTCTAAAAAAAAAAAATGAGCCCATAACATATCCTTCTTTTAATCATATGGTTACGTGAATGACGAGACGCCTGTTCAACGAGATTACGAACAATATATATTCAAAGTAGCGGTTGCAGCTCCAACCAGTTGAGCTCAGCGTGCAAGCGGGGATGGCCGTTCATCCTCGTGGTCGGGCACACACGCACATGCTCCCAGACATTGGCAATATGCATGTAGAATGATTCCTGGCAACAGAGGTGCCTTCTTGGTGCATCTAGATGTGAACATCACCGGGAGAGGGTCAGATCTTCAAGCGTGCTGCATTTACGGCATCACTGAACCTGTTGGCAGATGGGAGCAACGGTGCGACTGGGACAATTTCATATTTCACCGGAGTAACTGCACGAAGCACTCTATATGAACCTGTGTGTTGAGAAAGCAGTTTTTCTGATAATATCCTCGTTTTGGTGCATGAAACATGGTAAACTGCCGTTATTATTAACTTGTTTGTCATTTTAATTAACCAACAGGTCATTTTTGCCTGACCAGCCTGCTTCTAGACAAGGTCAAGGCTGCAGCGCCAAGCCGTGTGATAAATGTAGCAAGCACGGCTCACCAGAGAGGAAAGATCAACTACACTGACCTCAACTCGGACAAGGAATATGATCCTGCCACTGCCTACAACCAGAGCAAGCTCGCAAATGTATTGTTCACTAAGGAACTTGCCGAGAAACTGAAAGGTAAACAGCAGTTTGTGGCTCCTTGCAAATGCATTCAAAACAATGAATCGCACCAGATATAAAATACAAGTTTCTTGTTGTTTAGGCACCTAGCTTTGAATGCTTGAAAGGTGTACAATGTAAATTAAAAAATTTTCGTTTAGTTGCTCTTCACAAAAACTGTGGTGTTGAGAACCCCCAAAAAAGTATTGTTGTGCCTTGGAATGCACTGAATACATTTTATTTCGCTGCATTAAAACTACATTAAAAACCACTTTTGGTGTCAATATGAAGGCAGTTTAATGGTGATGGGTGAATGCAATTTGACGTAGTTCAATGTCAAGTCATGGCATACTAGCAGCAGCTGTGGCTTTGAGTGTCAGTTGGACGTGGCACACGTAATTTATGATTAGTCAATTGTCGTCTAGCGTTTTCAACCTGATGCAGGACAAATTCGCAAAACCAGTGAACTGCGCTGACCCCGTCTTTCTAATGTCCATTGTGGTGAGGTTCGCTTGCGAATGCCGGGGCTCGGGAACTTTAAAAACAAAACTGCGTGAGGAGCTTGTTAACTGTGTCAAAAAAATGAAAATGTCCTTTTTACAATGCTGTGGAATATTGTACTCAATTAAAGGGGCCGAAAACAATCTTGAGTTGAGTGAAGCAATGCCCATAGGTGGCTAAGGCTCCCGCGAACAAATGTGCAGATACCATTGCGCAAAGAATTTACAGTGTTGTGTCGAAAGCAGCCAAAAATCATTTGATCCCTCATGGACTTGTCTTCACCAGTTATGCAGTAAGTGGGTGCAATATGTATTTGTCTTCCTTTTCACAGCCTCCAAAAACATTGCTTGCCTGTTTTTTTTCTCCTCCAGGTACGGGCGTATCAGTGTTTGCGGTGCATCCGGGAATTGTCAACACGGATATCACGCGCTACATGGGAATCGCGTCTTCGTGGACGGCCACGCTGTTTGCCAAGCCGTTGCTGTGGCTGTTTGCCAAGACTCCACAGCAGGGTGTCCAGGGCATCATGTATTGTGCTCTAAGTGACGGTATCGAAGAGCACAGTGGGAAGTACTTTTGGTAAGGACACAACACTGCATTTCGCATCATGTTAGTTATTTGAGATGGGACCTAATAAAGACTGTTGGTAAATGCCTTAAACTCACATAATGAGGTACCCAAAATTCAATTACAACATAATGGGAAAATACCAATGTACCTTGCTCTGTGTGTTTTACAGTTTTAAATATAACTATTCTGTAAAATAAATATATATTTATGCTGAATTCATTAATGTTCTATTTTTCTATAAATGGAATCAAATATCAGGCTAAAGCTATAGTGGAAAATGATTGACAGATACCTTCATTACGAATTAGAAAAAAAAAAAAACATTTTAACTGTACAGGATTCACTGCAATAATCATTATTGCTGTGATAACTAACTTTCTTCTGCTATATTTGGTCCTGGATAAACAATCTTTCGATAAGGAAATTTACCTGTAGCTACCAGCTAATTATTATTTGCCATTTTTTCATTATGCAAATGACTTAATCTGTAGCTCCTAAGGCTGTTCACAAAATGGCATCTTAATTTTTGAAAAGGCTGGCATGAAGCTGGCTAGCTTATGTATAGCATTAGGTCTGTGGCATTGGCATTAGTATTGATGCTTTGGAATGGCTGTTACTGAGTCAATTGAGAACGCTATAACATGAAACAAAACGAAGAAGCGAGACATGTGAAATGAATGTTGGGCTCATTTCACGCGTTAATTGCTTGTTTTCATAGATGCCTTAGCTTTCTCTATCAACAGCGCACTCTTGCGATATTCCACATGTGTTGTGAATTTTGAATGTATGAAATGTGCAACATGCTGAATAATTCAATCGTAGGAAAATAGGTGTGAATCTGTTGTGTTAACTTGTCCAGCTCTGTCGGTGTTACAGAGTGTATGGACTTTTCCTGTCTTTCGCCCAGCGACTGCAAAGTGACAGCACCAAATCCGATTGCCGAAGACAGGATTGCCTCAAGTTGGCTGTGGGCTGTCAGCGAAAAGTGGACTGGCGTGTCATAGACGTGCCTGCAGTGTGGCATGATTCATCCAGCTCTATAGCAGGTGTACACAATGTAAATAAATTTATTGTTTAGGTTTGCGAGCATCTTGCGATTGTGTTGTGCCTTGCCCGGCAAAGAACAGGTACGTAGCAAAAGGAACATCAAAACTTAACGGAAGGCTGCTTTAGAACAGCACAAGAGTGTTCATGGCCAAGTCGACACAAACTGTGGCCCTCTTGCTGTTAAACGTTGGTATTTTCGTTTCTCTTCTATGATAAATCACCCACTAAATTAGTGGACCTTGGTGAGTGATTTGCACTCTAAAGAGCTGTCGTACATTTTAGGCTAATAAGCCGTGATGAAGAACATGACGAGGAACAGCACAAGAAGATGCATGCATTGTTCTTTGAAATTTCCATATTTAGATTGTTTCTTCCCGTTTGCTGGCCGTTATGTGGCACTCCTCGCAACAACACATCTTGTGATGCATTTTTAGCACTCGTTCTTGCTCCTACGTTTGCTATCAAACTTGCGAAATTGTGCAAAAAAAAGACAAAATTGAAAGAAAGCATGCAGTTTCGGTTTCGGTTTCATATATATTGGAGATTTTGTAAATCTAGTGTATGTGTTTTAGAAATAGCTTTTCTCAATCGAAACTTACGCCACAAGTAGGCATATGTGCAACCACCACTGCTCGGATTGAAATATTCGCTTATTCAACGGAGCAAGCATGGCGCGCTCTCTTGATGTCGATAGCGTTCGTCGTCAACTCCGTTTCGACATGGCGCCGAATAGGAGCTGGAACCAGCAGCAATCGGCCCATTCCCAGGCGCTCACCGCCTTCTTCCAGGCCAACAGCCGCGTCAAAGATTACCAGGCACACTCGTCGAAAGTTCACTCCGTCAACTGGAGTTGCGATGGCCGCCGCCTGGCCTGCGGCAGCTTTGACAAGACCGTCAGCATCTTCGTCTTGGACAAGGATCGCATGGCAAGTAGCGTGAACGGTGGCGTTTCGATTCTGCACCGTGTCGTAAAACTGTACTTGGTGACAGAGCCTTACCCCGTATTTATTATATGCGAGGATGAAGCAGTGTTTTGCGCTGAAAGACCTGACAATTAATGTTTCTTGTGCCTTTCGTGCTTGGGGCGGGCGCACGAGTTCGTGCAAAGGCAGCGTTCGAACTCGCACTGGACCGATGAAACGGGGATGCTCATTTTTTAATCGATATTTAATGCTGACAGCAGGCTTAGGTAGAAAATGAATAGAATTCTCTTTACAGCTCTCGGAGTCAAAAGTGCTTGCTTACTTGAACTAAACGCGCACACGGACGATTGATCAACACGGCGATCTCCGCTACTTGCGCAAGGCCAACTTGGAACGATAGTCTGATCTCCAGAGTTACAGCACGATGACGCGGGGTCGAGTCCCGGTCACATTACGATTGTAGTGCAAATCGAAAGTGCCCGTGCACTTCGGTTTAGACGCGCGTTGAGAAAACCTGAGTTTTGATAGTTGATCTCAATCCCCCCACTACGGCGTGCGCGCCTCGTAAATGACTTGGCTTCGTTGAGTGAAACCTCGGCTTTTCACTCATTTTGCAGTAAACGTAGCTTGCGTTCTGTAGAAAAAGTGCTGCGTTTATTACCCACAGTGGACTGCTGACCCGACGCTTGTAGGATGGAATCCCGGCTGCATTGTGATGCAAGCAAAGCGCTATAGGCCCTTGTGCTTAGAGTTTGGCGCACGTCAAAGGACCCCAGGTGGTCCAAGTTACCGGAACCCTCCCCTAAACCCCCCAAATTTTCATTACTTAAGTCTACTGCAAGTGCCAAACTGGAAGGTAACCTCTCTTTCTGCATACCCTTGTCTAGGCGAAGGACCACGTCTTCAAAGGTCACGGAGACAGCGTCGACCAACTGTGCTGGCACCCTTCGAACCCGGACCACTTGGCAACGGCAAGCTTGGACAAAACTGTCCGGTTGTGGGATGCACGGACACAAAAGTCGATAGCCGTGGTTGGCACTAAAGGTGACCATTTTTTCAATCCCCTGGCCTTCCACCACTTCCACGAAGTAATTCGGTTTACATATCTGAGAGGGCTCAGATTTCTGTGATCAGGACACAAGTGCATTTGCTTTGCCTGGCAATAATTTCTGAATTACTGGCACTTACAAACACATTTAGGTTCAGGTCATATAAATAGGAAGGAGATTTTTCGTCTGCTATAATTAATCCTATTAACTACATTACAGTTAAAGACAACAAACATCCGTTATGTTTCCCCGGCCTAATTGTCCTTTGGATTCATTAGGCTGTCTGACATTGATAGACATGTATGCTCCTTCAACTGGTTAGTGGAAAAAATGTCATCCACAAATGTTTAACTTGAGCCTACAAATGAAATCTGTACGAATTTCATTGAAAAGACGCGTCCGAACTGGTGAAAGATCGTCAACTGGCCTTTGCATTTTTGAGCAAAAAAAAAAAAAAAAACTGTTTTAGGCGAGAACATCAACATCTGCTGGGCACCCGATGGGCAGACAATTGCTGTCGGAAACAAGGAAGACTTGGTGTCCTTCATTGACGTCCGATCTCACAAGGTCCGCACGGACCAGCAGTTCAAGTTTGAGGTCAACGAGATCTCTTGGAACAACACCAACACACACTTCTTCCTCACCAGTGGCCAGGGTTGCATCCACATTCTCAGGTAAGTTCTAGGTGAAGTTTCTTTAGGCAGTGTGATTTCGAGGATGGGTCGGGTTGTCATTAGGTGTAGAATTTGCATTCTATACATTTTTTAGCCGCAATATCATAGTGGCGAACTACTGCACTTATCTACAATAACAATACCTTAGCTGGTAGTAGAACGGCACTGACTTTACCCATCGATTTGTCCTTGCACTTATATGTCACCCAAAGAGACACTTGATAATGTGACATATTTGGCACTGTGAAGTTTACGAATTAGTGCCCGCTTACTTTGGTACTGCATTCTGTGAGGAAAAAAAAAAAAAAATGGGTGCACTGTGCACGGCAACGATTCCGTGAATTTGGCATGTGTTGTGTAGGATTTTACCTACTATAAAATGAATTTGTCAAAATTTCTCTGCATTCATTCCGAATGCATACGGTGTGCTCCAGTTTTATAACTGCAAGTAACCAGGTGCAACACGATTTCGATGTCATATTCAATAAAAGCCAGTGAGAAACGTGAAGCGCCGAAAAAGAAAACGACGAGACAGGCTCGGTGGCCAGTTTCGTCATTTTCTTTCTCCGTGCCTTGTGTTTTTCACTGGTTTTTAAAATTTGACAATCGCATCAAACTAGCCTACTACAATGCCTTGGTGTCAATTTCAGTGTCATTCGCTATTTCTTGTGTGCAGCTACCCTGACCTACAGCTGCAAACGGTACTCAATGCTCATCCGGCCAACTGCATCTGCATCGAGTTTGATCCGACGGGCAAGTACTTTGCCACGGGCAGCGTGGATGCCCTGGTCAGTCTTTGGGACGTCCAAGAGTTGGCCTGCCTCCGGACGTTCTCTCGGTGCGTTTACACAATTTATTTTGTTATCGCAATGGTGTCTGCGCTCGAGGAAGTACATTTTCACAAAACGGAGGTTGCGATGCTGGCTGATCTATTTACAACATCGCAACCCTTTTTGGTAAGTGCATACCAGCTCTTAGACATGATGTGTGCCTCTGTTTCTCAATCAGTCGCTCTCGCCAGGTCACTCAAGTAATGACCGCTTCCCTAATATGTGTATGCTTTGTCGCACTATTGCACCGTTGTGCAGCAGTAGCAGAACACATCAATTCTGCTTGAAAACTGGAGCTAATATGCGACACTTCAAGAATGAAAAACAGTATAAGACAAAGGACAAGAAAAGGAACAAATGAAATTCTTTCTCTTGTTTGGTGTCTCACGCTGTTGACAAAGAAACAGCAAAGTTAAACAATAGATCAGTTTAGAATAATTATTTTTCCTTCAAATGCTCTGTTTTTATTGATTTTTCCATTACATTTATTATTATACAAACTAATGAAGGTCAGTTTCCTTTTTGAAGTTTCTTGTCAAAGCTACAGCATCTGGATGTTTGTGTGATAACAGCAATGTGACTGTATATTGCATGTTTTGGCCACGTTGGTGGAATAAAACTTCCTGAAAATTGCCTTGTTAAATCTCTAGCTCTGTGGTCATATAATGTTCATTTTCACTGATAAATAATTATGCAGCTCCCAATGTTTTTAAAAGCCGTGATGTTATGGTGTCCTGATGCAAGAACCTCAGGTGGGGGGTGTCACCTGCGTTTAATTTTTATGTGTTGTCTGGCTTGCCAAGTGTCACCCATGACAGCGGCAGTACTTTTACTATTGTGAAATGGTAATTTCTTAGAACTAGTAAAGTAACTTTTACACCAAAGGGATGCGGAATAAAAATTGTACAAACTGAGGAAACTTTGTTATTTTACTTAGAAGATGTGACTGTTCTGATAAACAGAGTTAATTTCCCATATTTTTGAACAGTTGGATGTATCTTGGATGGATTGTCAGCGTGTGGCGGCTTCAGTTGAGTGACAGCCGTGATGTCAGATTTGCCGAGGCGCAGGCAGGGTTTACGAGTTCCCGTCCTCCTCTTTCTTTTCTCCACCTCTGCTTTCATTCCACTCTCCCCGTTGCGAAAAAGTGCTGATGCTTTGCCTCTGCCGGGACCATTGTTCGCAACCGTTGCTTTTCATACCGGTTCTGGGAAACGGAGGGGGAGATCAACGAGTCAAGAGACGCAAGCGACGGCTGGCATTGTTGGCTTCTCCATTTCGGGTGGGTTTGATGTCACCAAACGTCACCTCCTGCAGTTCACGGCGTGGCCGCTAGAACTGGCAGTTTGTAAAAAACGCATTAAATTCATTATTTTCCTGTAGTTTCTACCTGGCATGAAAGTTGTCTCTGTCGATTTCAGGAACCAATCTTTCAATTTTATTGAAAATCTTGGCGGCAAAAATTTTGTTTAGTATCCTTTTAAAGACATCGTTATGCATCAGTTTGCTTCTTTTTCTTTTCATTTTTGTTCTTTTTGCCTTAGGTTGGAGTGGCCAGTGCGAACCATCAGCTTCAGCTACGATGGCAAAATGTTGGCATCTGCATCGGAAGATCTGCTTATTGACATTGCCGACGTGGAAACTGGTAAGTGTGCACGCTTTTAACGGATAAGGCCTTCCTTGGAGTACGCCTCCGTAGTATGGGACCCTCACACAAAAAGCAATATACAAAAGATAGAAAAAATTCAGCGCCTAGCAGCCCGTTTTATTTACAGTAGGTATAGACGCCGCGATTGCCCCTCTGCGATGTTGCAGTTGGCAAATCTTGAACCTCTTGAGGACAGACGACGAGCTGCTCGACTTAACTTACTCCGTCTAATATATTTTTCTAAACTCGAAATAAAGCCAGACAACTACATGGTAAGGGATTCTTCCAGGCCTTCCCGTCACAAACACAGCTGTAGCATCAAGCCAATTTTCGCAAGAACTAATTTATACAAACACTCTTTTTTCCCGAAATCAATCTCTGAGTGGAACTTGTTGCCCCGAAACTCTACTCTTCTTTCCTTTTCACCATAAAATGCGCCTTGTGTTTCCTGGCTTTCACAATACTTGTTTGATTTAACAACTTGTTGTGTGCCTAAGAGTGTGGTGCTTTGCTTATGGATTGTGTTGCAGTGGGTGTACTCAGCCCTCTGGAAACGAGTATAATTTGATGGTGATTTCTATGTTTTTCTTACATTTCGTGTATACCAGTATCAATTTTGTTGTAACTTTGTTGTACCTTTATTTTACCTTCGAACTTGCTGTACCTTTCCTGCTTGGACCTTAAATGGTTCGCAGTATATGATAAATAAATAAATAAATAAATAAAATAGGGGCAACATTCTTATAACTTTACTTGAGTTTGCAAGTGGAATTTTGTTGTAAATTCGTACTACTACTGTAAACATGTTCACTTCTTTCATCGTAATATCATGACCATCTATATTCAAACCTCGACATAACGAACCCTGATGTAATGAAATATCAGTTATAACAAAGTCAATCAGGAATAATCTTACAATTGATAGTGTTAAGAATATACTTTTATAAGAAATTTTCGGTTATAACAAACTCATTTTTGTGTAAGACACAGCTTCGCTATAGTGAGGTTTCAGTGTACGTATAACAATAAGCTCAATGTCCATTCCTTCTGTAATCTCCAACCTCATAGGCATTATCATGTCTTAATAAGTAAAAGTCAGTTTCACGAAAGGTAGAGCTTTTGCAAATCAAGTCAAAGTGTTTTTTTTTCCTCCGATAGTCTTCTTTCATGGATGAGTTATAGTTGGGCAGACATTTCGATCAATGTGAGTAATGTATTCTTTTGCCTGTAGCGCACAAAAGAAGGCTGGGACTGGGCAAAATTTCGGGATGTTTACCCAGAAAAAAGAGACAGGGAGTACCTCTGTTGACGAAGACGCTTACCGCCTCGTTGTGCGGTAACAGGAAACTGCAATTTCTTCGAACTCCTCTAATAATGGAATGATTTAGAGAATAATTTAGGTGAACTGTTTTATAGCAACTCCATATCTAAAACCAAGGTGCGCGATGGGGATTGGCGAGGAGGTGCAGTAAAGAATTTAGCATTTGATTCTGTATAGATATGCATGTTGCACTACTGCTACGCATAAAACGTGCGAATAAACAGTATATATCATCATTATTATAACTACGGATCAAGGACTGATAGAAATGTTGCAGTAAAACAATGTGCATGATGAAAATGATGGCAGGACGAGGCAGCTGGGCATTGGTTAACTCGCCACTTTGATACATAAACATTGAACTCAAGGCTATACAATTTTGAGGCTGATCTTTTTTGAATAATGTCACAACTGTGCCTTGCATTGCGACTCAAGTTGTTGTAACTGGCATATGCAGCTCCAGCTGTTGTCTTATACGGAACAAAAAAGTTATTATTTTGTACGGAGACACGATTCTTTCGTATTTGTAGGGGAAAAGATCTTTGAAGTACCCTGCGAGTCGCCCACCTTCACCATAGCATGGCACCCAAAGCGCCACCTGCTGGCATTCGCCTGCGACGATAAGGGGGAGCGCGATCAAGACGCAGGAACGGTGAAGCTCTTTGGCCTGCCCAGTTCGTCGTGAGCGATTATCAGCGATGTGTCACTCGGTACGTCATTTGTAAATAAATAAAAAAACATTCACATTCACACAAAGCAAGCTATGCGACTTTCGTGAATTGTTTCTATGCACGGGTTTGGGTGCCATTGATTCATGCCCGACACAATCTGACGTTTTGCCCCTAAAGCGCGCTTTTAGTTGAGAAAGGAGAGAGAATGTTTTATGCGATAATTCTGTTTACACTTGGCCACGGAAGAAGAAATATTTAGGAGGTAACACTCCCTCTAGAACAGGCGTCCAGATAACGTCACATAAAATAAAAAAAATTATGTGCTCCAAGAGAGACATTTCAGTTGGCGGCGCAAAGCCGCAACCACAAAAGGCAGAAAAGGAAACGCTGCCAGCTGAGCGCGCCCGAACACACTCGGCAACTCCGCTCTGTGACTGCAGCGGAAGGCAAGTAACGTGCGCGACCGGTTCGTTCAGAAATCGAAACACGGGCAATTACTTTTTCTGCCACAAGGCGCCTCCACCATGAATTGGCTGCCCAGCAACGTGACATTATCAGGTCGCCTCAAGGAGTGGAGTTGCGATTCCTAAATGTTTCTTCCTCTGTGTACTCGGCATGTCTGGAAAATTTTTGCGGTAGGATATTTGCGAGGCAACAGAGACTAATAGCAAGGTCATTCTTTGATAGCTTGGAAAGGTATTGCCTTTGATAATATGCATCTACCTAATCGAGCATCACAGCTGTCCTATCCAAGACGCACATGTGCACCACTCTTGCGATACCTTCCATACTCAAAGGTATTTAATGTCCACTAGAGCAGATACAGATGTTTAAGCACCGACAGCTTAGTATGTCATGACTGCAGTGCACGAGTGCCAACGTCCGGTTTTCAAAACGTTGTTTTACTTCTCGCACTTTGTGGCTCATATTTATAAATGTCCATCACAATTTGTTGTCTGCCACTCCCACATTGATTACAATGAGCTCGTCATGATGCCACAACAGAAAGTATGGCTCGCTCCTTTTTCGTCTTCCTCTTTTTCCTCTCCTTGAACGCTCTCGTCGCGTCCGTAAAGAGCGCCACTTCTTCCCGCGCGTCGATCTCTCGCTGTAGAAAGTCAAGGCCAGCCAGGTTGAAGCCGACTTCGTCTCTGGCTTGGTCCAGGTGGTTGAGAGTGCAAAGCCGCAGCCTATCCACTGTCGACACGAGCGCTGAGGTGGCCCCGATCTGTCCGCTGTGCACTCGCAGCAGGAAAAACAGGCAGCGGCAGCACAGTTCTGCCTCCCAGTTGCGACTCAGTAGTTCGGCGAGTGCCTGAAGGGAATGGACACACAGTTGTATGCATGGTCAGTGCACATAAATTGCACCCTTGTCAGGTACTGCAACAAGACAAACGATTGCAGTGTTTCAAGATTGTACAGACTATGCAATAAGTATATTTTCTGAGCAATGATATGTAAAGTCAGTTATTAATGTTTAATTGCTTTTCACAGTACCACCATCCTCTCAATGCAAGAGTTTCATTTTTAAAAGTACTACCAGCACAATGCATACAGGTAATTCTACAAAAAACACAATGGACAAAAATCTGACGCACTCGACTAAGACAACAGCCATACAGCGAGCTTTTTTATTATACGCGTTATTATGGAAATGCCGTAAAGATAAAGCAAACAAGCAGCTGGCGCAGTCATGTGGCAATTGCTATTAGGTCTGCTTTTATATCTTTTAAATCATACGAAAACTGAAGACAAAGTGAATGTGCAGCGTACGCACCATGATTAACGAGGTGCGTGGGAGTTCATGTTGCTTATTGTTCAAAGCCACATCAGCATGAGAAATTTAATGCTTCTGCCTTAATAAATCATGAACATTTACAATACAAGCTTAAATCAGCCCATCCTTCTGTCGATCTCGATGACTAATTTTCATTGCACACAAGTGACCATACATCGTTTGGACTTCATTATCTGGAAGACACTCCTAGTGCATCAAGAACGCCTTGTCCTTGCCTTACTTATTTTTGTTTGAGCACGTTCTATGCAACACACCAACCTTGAGTAGGTCGACGACATATCCAAATGGAAGAACGAGCAGCGTTTCTTCAAGTTCGCTGTAGCGTATCCTCCTGAGTGTCTCTAGCATGTACCGTTCCGGGCAGGTAGTCTGGTAGACCGTCATGAGCGGGTGTGGTGCGGGAGGAGCGACCGGTTCCCCCGACGCCTTCCGCTCAGCTTCGTATTCCCGCAGCTTCTCTTTGTGCTCCCTGTAGACGTCGATGGCCTCCAACAGTCGCTCCGCGATCTTGACGGTCTCGGTTGTCTTCTTTGCGGCCAGTCCCAGCTCGTCCTTGCCGCCCTCCCTCGGGATGACCGCTTCCTCGAGGTTTGTGTTAGCCTCGAACTCGGCCTCCCTCTCGTTCTCGCGCTCCTCCTCGAGTACAAGGGGTTCTTCGGTCTTGAGCCAGAGGCGTAGGGACCGATCGTGCGAGGCCGTGACGACGTGCCGTCCGTCGGGGCTGATGGCCAGCGCCCACACTTCCGCCTGGTGGCCCTCGAGGGTAACAATCTAAAAAAGACAATGTAATTAAGACATAAGGGCATGAGATTAGTGACCGATACATCACCATCTGATGCCATACAATGAACACATTTAGCTTTTGCTATAGTGTTTATGTACTTGACGTTCTCTGCAAAGAGTTCTAGAAGAGGGTTCACCATTTCGAAGGTTCGCCCACTTGCCACACACTCAATATTTTGCCACTCGTGCTTTGTCCGAGATCCATACGGTGACATGGACTACGGACCTCCAGAAGATCTCTTGCATGCTGATGCATGAACAGCGCAGGCATCACATACAAACGAACCTACAAAATGGTATGGCGATAGTGGTGCCGCCATGCAGATCAAGGCCCAGTGCATACCCGCACTAAGCGTCCCCACATCTTTTGACCCAAGATTGTATCAAATGAAGTACCAGTGGTAGTAGGAAATAGCTTGGGAATACCTTACAGGCAAGAAATTCAGAAACAAGCCTTATCATTTCTACAGTTCGTATCTGTCAGTGTCATCCACAACTTTTTTTCATATGGTGCTCGATAACCTGAACTAAATAAATGTTTTGTGATTATATTGCACCATCCAGAACACTTTCCCTTTATCTGTGTGTCGTTGGCACAAGTCAAAGGTACACAACCGTCTCGTGCTGGCTGTGGGCAAACCACGCAAAACAATAAAAACTTGTTTTCCATAGTTTTGTTTTCATTTTCTTTTCGTTGTGCTCTGCGGGGCTGCCAGCAAGTGCATCGCCATAGGCACGGTTGTTTATCGATCCAGCATATGACAGTCTGATGCTTGGTGGCATTGCAGTTCACTACACCGCTTTCCCCAAGAAATATCAAAATAAAACATGATGCTGAGAAATTTGGTTGTAGTCTAATGATGACATCTGCCCATGGGATCGCAAGTATAGCGACACTGCGCTAGCGCCCCTTGCGAACTACGTCACTTGAATACCTCCTATATGAACACAAAGCTTGCAGCTGAAAACAATGCAAGAGACACTAATCATACCCGTGCTTATACTATGTAACTTAATGTCAAGATAAGGACATGGCAACACAATATTCTACTGGTGTATTCAGTAACCAGCGTACTATTACATCACTGTTATTACAACTAGTAGAAGGGTTGACAGGCAGGCCAGTTGGTATATATTCATGAAATATTGAGAGTGCAAAATAATGCGACGCAAGAGAGGACTGAACTGGTAGCCACCTTCTGAAAGTTGTCTGCATCCCACTGCTTGATGGTCGAGTCTTTGCCTCCAGTGAAAAACATGTGTGTCTTGGGTAAGAACCTGAGGCACATCACACTGTCATCATGCGCAAGGATAGACCGATGACAGTCGCCAAAGTCAAGGCCCCAAATCTTGACGCTGCGATCAGCCGATCCGGTTGCCAAAAGGTTGCTGTCGTAGCTGACATCCATGCAGAGCGCAGGGAACTTATGTCCGTACAGGGACAGAAAAAACTTGAGCGTGTCCATGAAGAAAACTTTAATGGTGCTGTCCATGAGGGACACTGCAAGCAGCTTGCCGTTGGGGGTTACACGAACGCAGAGAACGTCTTCTCCCATTTCCAGAGTTCTCGTGTGGACCAGCGTCAGGGACTTGTTGCTGTCCCTGCTGATGAGGTCGAAGTCCCAGAATTTGACGGTCTTGTCACCACTACCCGAAACGAGGCCTCTATGGTCCGAGTAAATGTCCAGGGACCAGACAGGACCGGCGTGTGCCTCGACTTCCTCGATCAGAGTCTTGGCTCCGATGTCGAAGAGCTGGAGCTTTCCGGTCTTGGTGCCCACGATGCAGTGCCTGTCCCCGGGCAGAAAAGAACAGCAGAGTCCGTAGTCGCACGCCATGGTTCGCAGGCACTGCTGACTGGTGCGACCCCATACCTTGATCGTCTCGCCGCTGACCGACAGGATACCGGTATTGTCGGAACTGAAGGACAGGGCCCTCACATCGCTCCTGTGCCCGGCGAGTTGAATGCTCTCGGCCAGCACGGGCGCGACAGTCTTGTCTGTCATGTTAAAGACGTAGAATTCAACTTGGTTGTTCTTGAGACCGACAGCAGCTTTTGCCAGACCGTTCTTGGCGGAGAAGATGTCGAGGCAGCAGGGCTTGCTGGTGCACTTGAAGGTCTGCAACCTTTCGACCGTGTCGGCAATGGTGACGTCGACTTTTGGCTCCTCCTCTTCCGGCTGTTCCTCCGAGGCTAACTTTAGGCGTTGCTTTCGCAGCTTGCGCTGTCGCTTCTGAAGTTTGATTTTGATCTCCGCTTCATCATTCAACTTGAAGACTTCGACCAAGGAATCGACGCCGTGGCAGAGAATGGCCCTCTCCGACGAGTCCACGGCCAAGGAGCACACCCTGCCTCTGCCTTCCCGCATGACGCTGCCGAACTTGGTACACGTCAGCGGGCAACCCGCCTCGTCTTCCACCTCTTCGTCGTCCTCGACGTCACCGCTACGCCCCGTGATGATGTCCTCAGCGGCGTCCGGTCGGCTCTTCTTCGCCTCCGCCGTGTCTCCCGAGGTGTCCTGTCCCGCCGACGGCTGCTTGTCGGCGATCGCCCAGACCCTCAGTTCGCTGTCAGCGCTGCCCGTCACAAGCCAGCCGTCGGAGCGCACCAGCAAGAAGTCCCACACCTCGCCGCGATGGCCGACGAGCGTCTTGAAGCAGTGCTGCGTCTCCAGGTCCCAGAACTTGACGAAGGTGTCCTTGGAGCTGGAGACTAGCACGTTGGGACGTCGGCGCATGAAGCGGCATCGCGTCACCGCTCCCTTGTGGCCCTTGAGCCTGAACATACCGGCTTCGCCGACGACGTCCCAAAGGATGATCACCGCGTCTTTTCCCGCCGAGGCGAGCCTCCCTTCGTCGAAGTCCAGGCTCGTCACGGCCGCCTTGTGGCCCTGGAACGTGATCGCGGGTTCTCCGTGGTCCGCCGAGACGTCGAACACGCGCACCGCGCCGTCGGCGTATCCGACGGCCACATGCCGGTGATCGGGGCTCGTAGCGAGGCACGTCGACGAGTGCTTCTGGCCCGAGAAGGTCTTCACCTTCTGCTTGGTCTTGGTGTCCCAAAGGAGCACGTTCTCGCAGGCCGTCACGGCGTAGTAGCGGGACGCCGTGTTTTGGTAGCGCACGAAGGCGACCCTCGCCTCGGCGCTGGCCAGGACGCCGAACGTGGGCCCGCTAGTGAAACGCAGGTATTGGTGAGTCAGCGGCATCTTGGTGGATCAGTCGAACGGGCCCAGGTGCGGAATTCGCGTCGGTTCAAGGCTCAATCGCGTCGTCCCATGCTTCGCGAAAATGAAAACTGGTGCCATGTGCTCGCCATGATGCCAACTTGCCGCTCTTTTAGTTTTGTTTTTCTACGAGTGGTGGCAGCACTGATAAAACAAAAAAAAAAGTGTTCTTGTATATTGTATTGTATTAAAATTTGTTTTATTTTATTTGATACTATTGTATTAACATTGTGTGTAGTGTAAATTTTATATATTAACTCATAATAACTACAAAATATTTATACTTTAATTTTTAAACACTAGAGGACAGAAGTGAACATGCCTAATCGGGGAACGTATGCAATGCATAGAAATATCGCGAAGGAGGTATATCAGAAGTCTTTGGCTGTGCAAAAGCGTTTTTTTTCCATAGTTTTGTTTTCGTTTTCTTTGCGTTGTGTTGCGCTCTGCGAGGGGGGAGGCTAGCAACGAAGAGGGGCAGGGAGCATCACGCAAGCGAGGACTACGGTAGCAGCGGCGGCCAAGCGGTCGGCCGTGCGTGCGGCGAAGGCGACCGGATCCCAGCGGCAAATTATGGTATTTCGTGTTCCCCGTTTTTGTTTTCGCCACTCACGTTGATCGCCACGGCTACTCGCACTGCCGAGGTCCCGTTCCGGCGTCGCGATGGGCGCACGGATCTGACGCGGTCAGCTGTTGTTGCGATCCGGCCTGGCGACGACGCTGTATTGATTGTTCCTCTCAGTTGCGATAGTAACCCGTACAAATGCATCCCGGGCTGCTTTAAATGCCGCTCGTTACAGACCGGCGACTACCGTGCGCATCTGGCTGACAGGTGCGCAAGGCCGCGGGTGTCCGTTCCGAGTCGCTTGTTGCGGAGATTGGCGAGGAATCGCTACTCGTGGGGCCGGGCTTTTAAAGCGGCGGGGCACCGTTATGTTGAACGCGCGCCTGCGAACGGCGCGCGCGTTGAGTTCCTCCCGACGTCGAGTCGCGCCCCCCCCTGGAGCGCCGCCCTGGCGTGCCTTCGGTGCCGGAGATAACAACGGGAGATACAGCTACATCGGTCACGGCGCATATCGCGGGCGCAGCCCTGTCGTCGTAGTTCCTCCTTTGTTTTCGGGTGGTTTTTGTCGCAGACCGCCGCACCGAATCTGAATGCGTGCGTCGCTGCCACCCGTGCGCTGCTGTGACGTGCCACCACTTTTTCGTCGCTCTCGGAGATTTGCCGACGCAAAGGTCAGACAACGGATTGCCTTTCTCTTCTATGCCCGGTCGCCGCCGCGTTGGAAGTGCCCCGTCTCAAAATTTTATGCTGGAAAGAGCGGCCGTGTTTACAGACTTGCAACATCGCTATTGTATGTCTAGCGTACAGCAATATATCTTTGAGTTCCTTTGTCGACCTGTCGTTATCGCATCCGCAGCACACAAAGAATCGCTTAGTTTCTATGCATAAAACCGTGCAATTCTGCCATGGAGAAACAGTGGCACTGATGCATGTGCATGTTGTCGCATTGGTACGGCTTCTTAGCCCGGCCGTGTTGCGGTGTTGATACAATGAAAATGCGGGCAGTCATTTTCGATTTCAATTATAAAGTTCTTCTCTTAAAATAACAGAACAATATATGAGTAGAAACCTTCGTTATCTTATTATGCGATTCGTTATATCGCGCTTATTAATACCTCTTTGCAAAAAATTACGCGCTATTGCGCAACATTTCCTGCCTCGAATGAGTTGCTTCATACCTTCATACAGGCTTTGTCGGATGTGAACACAATATAAAGGAACAATTGTGAACACAATTGTAACATTCTGTGCATGCTGCGCGCACCACATATATCTGCAGTAAAATTAAGCCATTTTGTAAAAAAAAAAAGTATACGTTGTTTTCAGTTTGAATAAGCTCCCACAAGCATAATTTGTGTTGTGTCAGCCTCTCTTCAAATATCATTGCCATCGTGGTATAGAAGCCTTGTTTATATAGTGCCACCACCTCAACGTGTGTGCTGTGGCATTTTATAAAGAAAACAAGCACGAATGACATTTTAATTGTTATCCTGTTTCGAGAAAATGCATGTTGCTTCTCCCATCCTTTCTTTGTCTGTTGTGAACTATCTGCTTTTCAAGCAACATTTAAAGTAGTGTCCCTCTGATAAGATGTCAAACTTTATCTGTAGGTCATGCACATACGCCAAAGTAAAAAAAAATTGCCGTGGTTTAATCGTTCCTTGCCCCATTGTTTTAGTTGAGCTATATGTGTGACACTCATTTCCGAGTTTTATGAGAAACAGCACTGTTTCAGAGGAATAATTAAGGTCACACAAAGTATACGCGTCAGAGCACCTGTGCTTACCATGTACAATTTGATTAGCGTTCACAGCATCCTTGCTTTAGTTTGTGGCATTGATTCGCCCATGCTAAGCAATTGTGGGCGAATGTGCTTTACTGGATGCTTCAGCATTGCAGAAAATGCAACACCAGTGCAAGAGTATGGCGGCCTTTTGAAAGTTGGAAGTACTGGCGATTATCACTGAAAATGCTATACTAGACACAGAAATGTTACTTACGTAAATGGCTTAAGCATCTCGGCCAGCATAACATTCGTAAATGAGTGAGGGTATACGTTGAAAAATCATCTTTTGTGATGTTGCATTTATGGTATGTGCTAAATTATTAGGAACTTGAGGAGAGTTTGTGTTACAAGGCATCATTCTGGTTAATTTTTATAGCCTGTATGTGTTTCACTGTTCTTAGTCGAATTTGACAGTCATAGATAGAAGAATCGTGATATTAGTGAAGGTGAGGGTTAATTGACGTAGCTGTTAGCATATGGCATGCCACTATTGAAACCAGACATAGTGCAACATCTGTGCTTGTGGACTTGGATTTCAAAAAATAATACCTACATTTTCTTTGTGATAGGAATCAGCCTCATCACATGGGCGTTGTGTATATGTGTAGACTTTTCCACCTCTGCATGTACAGTTAGCGAAAAGGAGTGTGAAATTTGCCAATGAACACTTCAGTACAAAGGCACGTTAGAAGAATAGAGCAAAACGTACTTTCTTCAACTGTTACTGTTTTCTAAATCTCGATATGAAAACTACCAATTGCTAAGTAAAGGTAAACCTTGTTGGTAAAGATGTGGTATTAAGTTCATTGTTGCCTTTAAGCTGTATCTGTGAATGTTGCATCCGTGAAATTGTACTATAAAGGCTACTTTTGTTGACACCACTGGAAGATGGCCAAGGTACTTGGCTGCTGACCCGTAGGTCAATCCCGGCTGCATTTTTGATAGAGGCGAAAATGCTGTAAGCCTGTGTGCTTGGATTTGGGTGCACGTTAAAGAATCCCGGGTGATCAAAATTTCCAGAGCCCTCCACCACGACGTCTCTCATAATCATGGTGGTTTTTGGACGTTAAACCCCACATATTAATTAGTCAGTCACCACTGACAGATAGGTTGCACCTGTCACTACATAGCTATAGGTGCGTGACTTTGGAGGCACTAAATGAAAAAAAAAAAGGAAGAAAGAAATAGTGTTCTTGAAAACAACATAAAAGTTGTCAAGATGGCTTCCTTGTTGCGTCTTCTATGTATGCCATGAATTTCCTGCCATATGCTCAGCATTTAGTTAACTGGATGACCTTATCAATTAATTAAGAATATAGAGAAGGCCACTTGCACTCTTGCTATTTGTGCAGCAGAATGTTAATTGCCCACATTAATTTCTCATTGTAATTAGCATAGGTCAACCTTGGGCGAGATGACGAGGAAAATTATTCTGGCAATTCTAGTATCCTGATAGATTATCGTGTAGCTTCTACCTTATTTTCAGGAGAGGAGCTATTTTTTTATGCTGATTGATGGCTAGTGTTACTGAAATCTTTTTCAGCAGCTGCGAGGTTGCAAAGCTTACAAAACGGGTCTGTCTAATTGGACTGGGGCAAACTGTCACGGGATATGCACACTTTCGATTATGGTGAAGTGATCCTCAAAACCTGATTCTGACATTACGCTGTATTTTTAACATTAATTTACAGAAACAATGTTAAAAAAACACTCAAGTTCCAGCATGTTTCAAGAAGAGAAAGTCTAGACTTATAAGTGTCAAAACCAAGGTACGTCTAGACTTATAAGTGTCGAAACCAAGGTACGGATATGAGGTGCACCATGATGGGGCTCTACAGATTAAATCTGGCAATTTGTGTGGTCAAATTTGCTTTTTGACCCGCTACAGATTAAATCTGGCAATTTGTGTTGTCAAATTTGCTTTTTGACCCGCTGGTCTTTAATCTGTGCCTATAAATGAATACACGGGTGTATGAACATGTTAGCCTCTTAGCTACCAGTCCGTGTGTATAAACATGAACATGAAATGTACAATCATGAAAACGAATTTCTTCTTCTTTTATCATTTGCGTAAGCAAATGAAGACTCGTGTTAAATTCTTTTTTTCAGCTGGAAAGTGTTACATGTTTTCATTTAGCTTACAACCTCACATACAGCTGTGCTAGTTGATATAAAATATAGCGTTTTTTTTTCCTCAGAAAGAGATGTAAATAGACCTCATTTCCTGTTATTTCTGTTGAGGGAAGGGTGAGGGGGTTTGCACTTACTCCATCTGTGTTGACTCGATTCTACATTGTCATTCTAGTATGCAGCTACATCTGCTCCATGACCTTTGGCGCGTAGCTTCTGATATAGCTGCACGATTTAGGAAACAGCTGCAGTGCTGGCTTCGTGTGCAAGTGCTCCAGTGCTATTTCTGTGATGGTTGTGCATCCGCTCTAGTTTTGGCAAACACTGAGTTTGTGCCAGCTTGATACTACGTTGCTGTTCCTCGTTCAGCGGCCTGAGGGGTTTTCTGACTGTAGCTTTTGCCTGGTGCGTACGATACCCACTCTTCCCTATTGCGATAGTCGTGGCAAATCCTTTAACCCTTCCTAGTTAGGATGTTGAAAATGGAGTAGTACTGAGGATATTAGAGCAAATGATAGTTGTGTCAGCTCTGTATTCTCTTCTCCTCTCTACTACTTTTAATGCGACAGCGTTAAACAGCTCGTTTTGCGAAAATTCCAGCATTAGCCAAAAAAACCATCATCTCGTGCATGACCGAAAAATCATGAAATATGCAAATGTGAGTAATGAGTAAAAAAATTATGGGTGCGAGTTTCAGATGGCTGTCTTTGAATCACTGAAAATCAAATCCGACTGCGAATTAGTTATAGCTAGCGCTATTGCCGCTTCCTCTGCAGTTTCCGAGGAGCTGATTTTGACCGATCCAGAGGCGACCAAGCGTCCCCGCCTGTCCACGACCACAATCACAAAAGCGTCTTTGTCCTTATATTCCGCAACATCTGTATAGACTGCCGCTTTGTACTCGCCGTACTCAACGTGTAAAGCTCTGGCTCTTGCCTGCCTGCGCTGCGTATGGTGAATCTGATGCATATTTTTGGGCAAAGGTTTTATGTACAGGGCCTTATGTAGCTCTCGCCGCACCTGCATTTTAGTGTCCCCAGTGGGAGCCTCTGCTCCAATGCCAATCCTTTCCAATATGATCCTGCCCGCTTTGGTTGTCGAAAGCCTAGCGTGCTGCATCACCAGATGCGCCTCCCATAATTCATCCAGGGTGTTGTGTACCCCTAGTTTCAACAGCCTTTCTGTAGGCGCGTTGTTAGGCAACCCAAGCGCTGCCTTGTAAGCTTGCCAGATCATAGCCTCGACCTTACCTTTTTCTGCAGCATCCAATTTCATATAAGGTGTCCCGTAAGTAATCCTGCTGAGCACAAACGCCTGTGCCAGCTTACAGAGTTCTTTTTCTTTAACCCCGCTCTTACGGTTAGCGATTCTTCTGATTAGCCTGACAGTAGCAGAATATCGGCGACCACCGCACAATTTCTGCATGAGGCCACGGGACGAGAAATTAGAGAAATAGAAATTGTCTGGGTACCAGCACACTCTGGGAACCCTGGGAACGAGGCGGCTCACCTGAATGCTCGAGGTTTCGTCAGGCGGGTAGGCGAGCCGCCAGTTCCGGGGAGGTCCGCGAGAGATGGGCTGGTGTCCTTTCATGACATAACGAATCATTATTAACTAGAGCGGAGGTTTTATCCGCCCCCGCACAAGCGGTTGACTAAGGCGCAGGAATGCATCTGGAGAAAACTGCAGACGCGATCTTTTCCCAACCCTTACGTGTTGAACAAAATGTACCCAGAGGAGATTAAGCCGCAGTGCAAATGGTGTCAGGCTGTGGCAACATATGATCACATGCTTTGGGAATGTAGCATAGTGCCGCCATAGTGGTGGATATGATGCGTGATCCCTCTCTTGAGCACTGGGAGGCCGTGTTGACCAGCTCAGACCCAGTCGTCCAGTTAAGGGTCGTGGAGTGGGCCACACAGGTCGCCGCCAACCTTGGGTTGATGGCCATCTAACACGGAACCATCCTCAGTTGCTTTCTGACGAAATAAAGTTTTACCATCCATCCATCCATGGGTGCGAGTGGGGATTGAGCCTGGGTCGATTGCGTGGGAAGCGGGTGTTCTGCCGCACTGCCACACGTGTGCTTGTGAATGCAGTGAAAATAACTTCCTCTGCTTGGAAATGCAGCGAAAATGACTTTTATGCTTTACACACACACACACGCGTCCTGTCCTGCGTACATGCTTCACAATAAGACATGGAATACTGCCATAATAATGCGTGATACAAGCGTACATTGCCATCGTTCATCAGAACATGATTATCGTGATGGCTTCATAGTTTAAAGCTGATCACCCTCTACAAAAGGCACACACAATACTGCACTGAGGACAACATATCACTATCGTGTCGAACTCTTAAAGGCGAAGCTTAGGGGTTTACCAGTTTCTTTTTTTTTTACTATTTATTTCCTTCTCAAGTCATAAGCTTACTTGCGTAACAAGACACTTCACTACTTTCCTAGTTCATGTTCTGTGCTTTCTGGGTCTTCAACATTTCCTTTTTTAAAAACCGTCTGGAGGCAAGGTAGGTGTCGCCAGTAAGCATGACCGTTGTCCATATTGTGAGAACTCTCCGCTATGGGACCTCGGAAAAAAGAAAAACAAAGCAGAGCCATAAAACATAATGAGAACATACAGTGAACATAGGGAAAAAGTGCAGCAGACAATAAAACAGACACATTGTGCACAGGTTCGTCTTGCAAAAAATTAGTCAGTTTCAGGTGTAAGGAAGTCTTACACGAAAGTCTTGTGTATTTTTCATGACTCTGCCGGCATTTTGATGGCTTTGTCAAAATCCACATTACCAAACCCATTCACTTACTTCATCGGCACATCGACTACATCGATACTTCTCAGCACATCAGGCTGGAACATTACCAGAGCGACATGTGAAAAGCACAATTCTGGTACAGTGGTATCTTCAGAGTGTTCGCTGGGATGGTACGCCAGAAACGTTACACGCAAGGAGCGTGTGTAAGTGAGAGGCATGTGAGCAGGGTTATACTGTACTCTTGTGTGGAGTCATGCAAAAATAATGTCCTCCTGATGTCAACATTTCTCAACTGGCAGATTAGCTTGTACATATAATGCGGCAGTTGTACTGTAGGCAGTTGTGCTGTAGTGCTCTCAACTTGTGACTTTAAACTTTGTCTCTTCCATTACTAACATGAGTAGTATTTTAGCATTCAGCAAAGTTCTAAGTATGAGTAACATGTTATTGCATAAATGTGCATTAGTTGTGGTTGTGTCCCTAGGAAACTATCCTTATCTTCATTTTGCCCACTTAAATGATCTGCTAATGGTTTTCGTTAGTCTTAGGGTGATCTAAAATGTTTTCTCCATGGCAGATGTTGTTTTGGGTGTTTTTCTTCTGTAATCAAGCATGATCAAGTATCCTTTGTACTCTTATATCACTCAGAATTAAAGCGTTATTTGAAGTGATAAAACTGGAAATCTAGCTTTCAAGGTTTTTCAAGTCTTAATACTGGCTACTGGTTATTGATGTAAACATTTTTTGTGTTATGAAAAAGAGAGGAAGAAAAAAAGAAGAGGCTTACTTTGAGAATTCAAATAAACAAATAAACACTAAATTGTAATCAACACCTGGAGCACTTCTAGCAAAGTGTGGTCTGGGATTTCGCTGTTTGACCAGTAGCGCACCAAGGTCTCATTAATGGTTTTGCCGTGTCTTTGGTATTGGCCCTCCTTGAACGATCCAGTCAGCCAACTGTGTAGGTCAGTCATGCGGGCTCTTTGTAGTGCTGATAGTCCGGAGTATCATATGAAAAGGCATTATCATCATCGATCAGCTGCCCAGATATACTTGCCCAGATTGTCGAAACTGCCTTTTGCCTGGTTAACTGTTTGTTGTCATTGTATTCTTTCTTTTTGTGTTGTTTTTCTGTATGTTCACCTCGTACGTACAACCCCCTAAGTGAGGTCCTTGAGGTGATAAACTGGAAGTGTAAAAAATTGAAACCAAACCTGCGATGCAGGTGAGGTCTGCAGGCTGCTCTGCAGGCACGCCCCGTGCCGGCCAATGGGGTGGGTGACTCGGCACGTGCGGAGGGTGCGGCCCCTCCGGTTCCTGGCGCTCGCCTGCCTGGTCACCTTCGTGTGGCTCCAGATGCGCCTCACGCTGCTGGGACAGGTCCCCATCGAGGAGGGCTCGCCGGGATCCTCCGCATCCTCCCCGCCGAACCACACGTGGACCCTCTTCAACAGCACGCGGGAAGTTGAGATCCTGCGCGAGTATGTCGCGCAGCTCAACCAGGCACAGGTTTGTTGCTTTCTCGAATTCATCTGGCCACATTTCTGCTCAATCTAGACAGTTACTTCTTTGCTTTTTTGGCTACTCTGTAAATATACCAGTGGTTATATTTTCAAAGCTGGAGGATCCTTAAAGTTTTTGAATTCACCTAGGAATTGCATAGCACCTAGAAATTGCATAGTACGCTGTGCAGCTCAGTTGCATAGCGCACACTTGATATTAAGCCTGGCCTAGGCTACATTAGCCGCTAATAATTTGTAGATATGTACACGTCCATATGAATCTGTCTTATTAGTTATCTTGCCTTCAACTTTTAAAGAGGAGTGATAGGCCTGTGTATGCATGTTACATGCACTGGTTCCCTGTCAACAAATGTTCTGGATCTATTCTTATAGCGATTCGGTAAAACAGCGCACACGGCACTGCTGCATCGCTCCCTGAGAGTGTAATTAATTCAACCAGCTTTAGTAGGTTCTGTATTATGAGTATGTTGCTGTGCCATGTTGTTCCAATGTGCCCTGGTTTTCTGGCATGCATCAAGTGTCTGTTTTAGTGGTACTCTATACATTATCGACAGTGCCACAGTGCATTCAGGTGACAATTGATTCTTGCAGTAGTAGAGTAGTAGCAGTAGTGAAAGTAACAGTAACGCTTTTTTTATAATAAACAGGATACAGAGCTCCCTGCATGTACAAGAGTTAAAGGGAAAAATAGCCTGACAAAGGCATATGTCCCACTGCAGTTTGTGACAGTTCTTATGCTTCAAATCAAGATAAACACACTCTAAAATGACTTCAGTACATCGATTTCAATTTATAAAATTCAGCACAAGGTTTTAATACATCAATGTCAGTACAACTTGCAGGAGTGCCTACACAAAAAAAGTTCCACTCAAACAAAACGGTGCTGTCTTTGTTGTGCACCATTATCGCAGAAATGTTAGTGCACCAACTTTACCAGTTTATTGTTTCAACTTTGGGTTCGCCACTTGCTCAAACAGATGGTCCACAACCTGGAGCTGTTTGGACCGCTGCAGCCCGACGACCCCGTGATAGTGATTCAGGTGCACAACCGGTGGCACTACCTGGTGGCACTGGATCGATTCACTCCGCGCCGCACGTGACATCAACCGCACCTTAGTCATCTTCAGTCACGACGAGTACAGCCCTGTTGTCGAGAGCCTGCCATACAAAGTCGACTTTTGCAAGGTATGTTACACATGTTTATTGTGGGCTACATAGATAGCAAGCAGAGGTCGCTAACATTGTAGGTGACATTAAAGGGACATTAAAGGCAAATAACATTTCATGCCAGAGTGAAAGGTCAACTCTTGAGAACATCTAGGAAAGAGACGCAAGTCTTGAAGCAATCTTTTTTATTATTGAGGCAAGCTTAATGAAATTTAGTTAACTTATTCAGTTTTTGCTGGCAGATTCCAAATTTATATATTTATAATAGCTGCATAGAACAAGACATATGCAATTTCCAAAAGCTTATTTCTTTAGATGCCTTTTGGCAACCTTGCTTTGTCAAATACAAAGAGCAATCGTGTGGTGTGGTACGACTGCTAGAGAGAGCTTCTCTAGCCGGTAATGCTGATGCAATCGTTTCAAATTAATTTCAAATGCAAAATGAATATATACTAATATGGCTGAAAATTTTTTTGCTGCATACTATCTATAATTATCAAGAATTATAATTTAACAAAATGCATTATAGGAAAATAAATAGTATCACCCAATAGAGCAGCTTTCTGTAATTTTTCCGCATACTACTTTGTTTTTGTTTGAGGAAGCCAGGTTCCCAGAAGTCACCGTAATAATTGCTGCATAATTCCTTGCTGCCGGCGCCTCTCCGTGTGGACACCTGAGATCTCTTCACTTCACTAACGTGCACTATTGACTGGCCTTTCATAAATCTGCCATCGCCGTTTGAAAGTGCAAATTTTTGGCGCTTTAGGAGAGGTATCGTGAAACAGAGCAAGATCAGCGGCTTCTTTGGATAAATCTTGGTTCTGTGAATTAGGCTATTGGCGTGCATACTTTTGTCTTTTCGTGATCACGAAATTCTCGCGATATTGAAGAAAAAGCGCTTTCCTGGTGATTCCGTTATTTAGAAGCTCGACTGTACCCGAAAGTCAGTTAGATTGATTATGTGGATACACGAAGAGACTAAGCACGTAGCGAAAGGATGACAGAGGTTTAGATAGAGTGACTGAGTTGAAAAGTTCACAAGCATATAATGAAATCTGCTCACACAACATGGGGTGCATTTGAGATCATTGGGAGAGGCCTTAATCTCATTTTGCTGAGGACATTAGATAGGCTGACGATGATTACAATTATGAAATACTAAAGCTTGTGTTGAAACTTGAACAGTCCAAGCAACATGTAGCACTTCCACATTATCATACTGTTGGTAACAATATGTCTTATCTTTATTATATGCACGGTAGTTGTTGTGTAGTTTGGGACATTCGAAATATAGTACACTCAGACCTTGATGTAACGCACATGGATATAACGAAATATTTGTTATAACGAAGTGAAATGAAAAGTAGTCTTGCAATAGATACAGAGTTAGGAATTACCTTTATAACAAGTTTTTTGGATATACTAATGGAAGTGCACCTATAATGTAGTTTGAGCGTGTCTGCATAAATGTTCAAACACTGCTTCAGCTGAACTATAATGCGTGAGGCCTGCAACCTCTCTAAATAAATGAGAATGGACTACAGGCAAGTGTTGTCTGGCACCTACACCTTACTGGGCATATCTCACTTTGCAGATGATGCAGATCTTTCTGCCCCACTCCATCCAGCTGTACCCGAACCAATTTCCCGGCCAAAACCAGAACGACTGTCCCCGAAACATTAAGAAAGAAGAGTAAGTTCTCTGCTCTGTTGCAACACATACTGAGTACATTCTTTATTGTGAGGTAAGAGAAACAAATCATCAGCCCACATCATAAAAATATAGCAGGAAACATATGAGTTCAGATTGCTGTGATAGGTATTGCTATTGCCTAAACTATGAGCGTCACAATTCTCTTTTCATGGGATTAGTAAATCTCCTTCGAAAAGACTCGATGCGGCGCTCTTAACAGTTTTCCTTCATTTTTTTGAGCCCTTGAAGTTGTTGTGAGAGCTGTAGCTCAAAGCTGTGATAGCGACTGTCCTTATCAAAAATGATAGTTGTTCGCTGAAACCTCCCAACAGTGTACAGATATAAAAAAGAAAGTGTAAAATAAAGATAGGCACGTTCATAACGGGAGTGCAGAGAGTAAATGAAACGGCACCGCTCTATTGCTTTATTTTCACATTTCACTACAGCGCCGTGCAACGTGTGCAACGCAAGGCTACTTGCCACGCGCTTGTGCGTTCCCTCTTATAAAAGTAACGGCTGTACATGTCTTTCGTTCTAAAGCATGCTTTGCAAAATAAATGTGTGTTTGATTGATGTTATGTTTCTAACTGCAGTGCAATCAAGCTGGGATGCAACAATGCCTTGCACCCGGACAGTTTCGGCCACTATCGAGAAGCCAAGTTTTCCCAGACGAAGCATCATTGGTGGTGGAAGGTATGAATACGGCGGCACTCCCGCAAGTCCTTCATTTATTTTGTAGTGAAAGCCTTGTGTGGCTTGTGTAAAATAAAAATCTAGTGTCTTGTGCTGTCAACATACTAAATGGTACCAGAAGTCGCAAGTGTCACATGCTCACATTCTTTGGGTGAGAATGAAAGGTAATTAAGGATAAATGAAATGTGAATTAATCGGAGTTTATGACGATTGATCACAGGTGACCATTATGTGCACAAGGTGAATCAAATGTGAGAGCGCAGGGTTTTGCCTCTGCTTTTATTAGCACTAGTGAAAGGGACTGCCATTTTTTAGTTTTGTTAGTATTTCCTACTTAGATTTAACGGATTAATAGTATGTACTACTTTCATGGCCTCTAGACACTGTAATTACAAGGTAAATATGTGCATAAAGAAATGGGAACAACAAAAAAGAGATGGTGTGATGAGTTGCTGGACTAAATGAAGAGCTGTCCAATATACGAATGACAGAAATGGGTAAGTGGTTTCAGACAACACTTTTGTGGGATCAAAAAAAAAAAACGGCCACGTTACCAGTTGCGGGCATGTCACCAACAAAATGTAGGTGTTACAGTTAGAGTTATCTGTACCGAAAACTAACCCTTCTAAGTTACAAGTTTACACGAAGTAAAGGTTGCTGGCTGACAGAGTAATCTTATTTTTCCATTTCTCTAAAGACGGTAATTAAAATGTCACGACTACAAAAATGTTTTTTGTGTTAAATTTCCCTTTAAGGCAAAGAGACATCATCAACTTGTGCACAATCAGTATATAGATCGCCATTACCCTTGTCTGTTTTTTTCTTTTGTTTTTTTTTTCTCTCATCCATAGAAAGTCGTCATTTGTTCAACTTTTTGTCCATTCTCAACATATTTATCATGTGAAATTTAACACTTGTACTTCTAATCGTTAATCAATAAAAAACTCGAGTGCCTCCTTTTCAGATGAACCGTGTCATGGATGGCCTGAATGTGACGAAAGATCACGCTGGACCGTTCATTCTTTTAGAAGAGGACCACTACGTCACTCCCGATTTCCTGCACGTACTGCGACTTATGAAAGCTGAACAGCAAACCAGGTGGGCTTTTTGTGGCGCTTCCATCAGGCTGTCTCATTTATGCCAGGATAGCAACTGAGCTTTTAACTTGCTACTATCGGATGCAGTTTTGCATCAACAAAATTTCGAACAAACTGTTTCCCGTTATATTGTGGCCTTGTGATGAACATTTTGTGCAGTCAATCATTCACTCAATCTTTTTTAACATTGCCCCATAAGCGCTCGTGGCAAGAGTTGGGTTAAAACATTGATGCATACTCAGCACATTGACAGTGTTGGTAGTGTCGAGTGTCTGTAGCTGTTACGCATTCCCTCATTGATAGAGACCTCTCATTACTAGGCAAAATAATATAACATTTGGCTACGTGAAGGCATAATCTTTGTCTAAATATATCACTGCTCTTGTCAATAGGGGCAATGGTTAGAGGGGGACATTTTGCAACCTAATGTAGGTAATATAATGATGAGTTTCTGTTGAATGTAAACTACAGTTAAAAAAAAAGTGAGGCATTGAACCGGACAACATGGCTGAAGAGTAGTAACATAGTCGATCCCGGTTATATCAAACTCAGATATATTGAATTATTTACTACATCGTACAGTTGACTCATCCCTTTGAATTTCCCTTTAAGGCAAAGAGACATTATCAGCTTGTGCACAACGAGTATGTGGATCGCCATTGCCTTCGTCTGTTTTTTTCTTGGGACTGTTGCACATGTATATCGAACTCCCGAAAAGCGTAACATTTGATATATCGAACGCTGCGCCGGGTTGAAGCCCAGGAAGTGCATTTATTCTGACAGATTGCTCATTTTTCGGCCGTGTTCTAACTAGCTTCGATCGCTCCTGGCTCAGGTGATGAAAAGACGGTGTAATTTGTTGGTTGCCCAGCGTTTGTGAGAGCTCCGGCAGGTTATGTGCAATCGATTGTAGGTTGTAACGCGTGGACACAGTGTTTCCAAAGGGAGCAATTGCCGAGGACACCAAAATCACATCAATGCGTCCTCGTTTGCTCAAGCATGATTGCATGCGGGCACAAAATGTATGGCTTTCGAGATCCGCAACCTACTGACGTATTTTTGTTGTTTTCGGTTGTAAAATACGAATCTCGGAGGCTACGCTTTTTCTTACTTTTGGCTTGCCGCTTCAAAACCCCTAGTGTCATCGCCATCACCAAGATATCAGTAGGGGGGGGTATGTGGTCGTTAAGTTTGTTGTTTGTGGAAAGCGTTGCCACTTTCGGCTTGTGCACTTCAGTAGTTCTCACTTGTTACAGCTGAATTTTCCATCGGAAGTCGAACTAAACATTGTGTCACTCATAGGAATAATACGATGACTCGCAAGGCACCATCGTGCACAGTTTCATCGGGGGCTTTGGTGACAGGTGACGACCTAGTGTGCATCATGTTAGCTAACAATGGTGTACGGTTCCTTGGTTAATTTTACTACTTATTAGCATTTCCCGGTGCCACCTTGTACAGAAGTACAGAAAGTAACTTCATCTGTGCATATGGCAAAGTCGCTCTTTCTTACTGCACCGAGGCTGATATCATGGCTAACGTTGCCCATGCCCCGGAAGTGGGCCAGTGTGGTTATGAAGACGCTAACGCCACGGCTAAAGATCTTACCGCACTACCGAGCTTGCATCGGCGCTCACTGTCAATCACCGCTATTGCCGCTGAAGGGGCTGAACTTGCTTATTCTGAAAGCTTTATTGTTCGATTAACGAGGATGACTTGATGAACACGATGGTGTACAAGAGCGAGACACGTCTACAGTCTATTTTCATGCGAAATGAAGGTGGTAACGTGCAAAAGAAGTTGTCACCTCTACTTGAGCATACTGTGAGTGAATCGTCTTATTAACACTTATTACGATTTCCAAAAGCCGTTTCTGAGCTGCAATGCATTAATATAAGTCTTAAATATGCATATTTGTTATATTGAATTATCTATATATTGGAACTATTTCGCAATCCCCTTTGAGTTTGATATATCCGGGATGTACGGTATTTTTGAAAATGACCAGCCAATAATTAACAGATGTTAGAGTTAAAACTTGATTAGTAATCAATTTGCTCAACCACCCACCATTAAAACTTTCTTTCAACAAATACATTTTATTTGTACGTCATGCTTCAGCTCTCAATACTTAGATCCAAAACTTTCATTATTGTTATATTTTTATACGGAACTTGTTGCACTCCTACTGTTTCAAAGCTGTGCTTATTTCAAAAAGAAGAGTTGTGAATTCATGTTTGTGACATAGAAATATGGCTTTATAATAAGATTATTGCGTTCTTGTGCGCTTCATCTCTAATACATTTTATTGTGTATTTTTTTCAGTCACAAACAGTGTTCCATGTTGGTCCTGGGAAGCTACGCTAAGTCCTTCAACTATCACATTACCGGAAACCAGGTGCGTGCTGCGTGTACAGCATTCTTATGCCACACTCTCTCATGCTTTTAATCTTTCATAATTTCTTCTAACTTCAAAACTGTCGGCATCACATTCATGATTTTCTAAACCTTTAAGCCTAGACTAGGCTTGCGTGAATACGATGTATTGAATTTCAGGCTTAAAGCAAATAGTGATCTGGTTCTAATCATTTTACATTGAATTCAAATAGCACATATCAAGTATTATAAATAAAAATTAGCATATTTATCGTGCCCAAACAGACCTTCATGATTTGTTTATAAGTTTGAAAGAAGGCATGCACAAATGTCATTCTTCTTGGTTCAAAGGAAGCGGAAGCAACTTTGAATAGTAGCAGAATTTAACTTTCGACAAAAAATGTCAATGATGATCTGTTACGCTTTGAAATTTGCTATACTTGGAGCATATAAGCTGGCATAACAAGATTCTAAACTTAAAAAGAGAATAATCGATGCGAGGGCAATATGTTTTCATTCAACCTTGAAGAGGGATGGATTTCCCCTGGATAGTTGTTTGTCATATGCGCAGCACTTTTTTCACTGCAGCGAAACCACCTTTACAGGGTGTTACATGTGAATTAATGTATACCTATTGGTTAATTTTAAATAGTACTTCGAAATGTCCTGTAATTTAAGTTTGTATCAAAGCAAATTTAAATACGTTAGTACTTGTTCGAATATTTGAAGTGCTCGAATATTCGCTCGAGCCTAGCCTACACAGCACGTTGTGCTGTGTAGGCTAGCGGCATGATGTACGTGCTTGTCAAAAGTGATTTTTGTTGAATCGAATGTTAATTTAGGTTGCCTCAATCAGAATGAGACAATAAAGAGCATTGCTGCTGCTAAATGAACATGAATACTAGTACCATGATTTTCATACAATCTATATTATGAAGCAGTCTCACAATTTCTGTCAGTGAAAGTATTGGTCCTTCGTGCAGATATTTGAAATTTTTATGGAATGTTTCCCTCTCATTCAGTTCTATTTTCTGATGGCATCTCAATACCGTAACTTTATTTGCCAGCTTAAGCTTTTTGTAAAGCAGTGCCATGAGAATGTCTTTTCTTGTACTGCATTTACTTTTCTACTGCATTTGTCTGTGCTTTCCTGTCGCACTATGGGTGCAAAAAAAAAAAACAGAAACACTTGCACTGTTTTAACGGCACTGCTATGCATTTCCAAGATAAATTGTGATTTATTCCAGTTAATTAGGCTTATTTCAAAGGCATTGTAATGTGTAATTTGTTCATGTGTCCTAAATGTGAGGTGAGTTGGTGTCTCTGAACATTGATGTGAGAGAGTCGCATCGAAGCTTGCAGTATTTTCTAGTACACATGGGTGTAGCCAAGGGGAAGGTGGTTCAACCCTTCCCCCCTGGAAAAAATTTCTGACTACGCTCTTGCTAGTTGATGGTCGCATTGTAGAGTGTCTTGTTCTTAGTGCCGAGTTAAATTGGTCACGATTGTTGAATAAACAGACTTCAAATGTGCTCATTTTCTCTACGAAATTTCTGACTAGGTTGAGATTCTCCAGTGGTCTTCCAGCAAGCACAACATGGGAATGGTCCTCTACAGAGATCTTTGGGCCACAATCCGCGACAACTGTTCAAACGTGAGGATTATGATAAGCTTAGTTTTGTCTTTATTTGCCAAATGTGCAGTGTTCCGGGGCCGATTTAGAGATTTGTTGTAAGCTTTTCTGGTATTTGCCCATGGAGAGAATTTAGGGGTCCATGAACGAAGGTAAGGATAAGTTATTTACTGAAGTTGTAATGAATAATAGTAAACTGTGCATGAAAATATAAAGCCTGGAGAAATTTTAGAGAAATAAATCCAGTACCCTTATAAGTTTTCTGAATAGGTTATTCTAAATAAACATGCTTACATTTGGGCATAATTCTGCAGTGAAATATGTGGTGCAACTGCACAAGCTTAGAAACTTAGAGTCGCATTGGAATATGTGCAACTGGTTATTGTTATAAATGGTAATAGATACATTGATTTGATTGATTTGTGGGGTTTATTGTCCCAAAACCACCATATGATTATGAGAGACGCTGTAGTGGAGGGCTCCGGAAATTTCGACCACCTGGGGTTCTTTAACGTGCACCCAAATCTGAGCACACTATATACAGTTTTAGGAGTATACCTCTATAACAGCCTCGCCGCGGTGGTCTAGTGGCTAAGGTACTCGGCTGCTGACCTGCAGGTCGCGGGATTGAATCCCGGCTGCAGCGGCTGCATTTTCAATGGAGGCGAAAATGCTGTTGGCCCGTGTGCTCAAAGTTGGGTGGTTTAAGAACCCCAGGTGGTCTGAATTTCCAGAGCCCTCTACTACGGCGTCTCTCATAATCATATGGTGGTTTTGGGACGTTAAACCCCACATAGCAATTATACCTTTATAACAAATCTTCAGATATAACGAACTATACTTTCGTGTATGGTGCAACTTTGTTATAATGAGGTTTGTATGTATAGCGGATGTTGTTAGAAGTAATTGTAATGTGCATGAGAAGAAATAAAAGTGCACGAAAACATTTTTTTTTTCGACCACTTTGTGGGGTACAGTAGACTCCCTTTAAACGAAACTCTCTTAGATGAAATCGCTGTTTAAATGGAACAACTGCCACAAATATGTTTGGTTTCTTACTTGGATATTATACACCTTTTTCATTTCTCAGTAAACGAAAGTCCTCTTAAGGAAAACACATTTTCCTCGTCCCTTCAGGTTTCGTCTAAAAGGAGTCTACTGTATATATGTGCATTTAAATGCGGGAGTGTTGGTCAGTGCTGCCAGTAGCCACTATGGCAAGAGGGGACCACTCTTTTTGCCTGTTAGTGTCGGGTAGCACGTGAGCTCGCAGCTGACCAATAATCTCTCGTATATTACCTTCTCGTCTACCTTTTCCTCCACTTATCTTTTTCAACATTTACATTACAATTGCTAACACCCCCTATATTTTCTTTGGCATTATAGTCTGTTAACTCTCGTTGAGGTAACTGTAATCATTTATCAGTGTAATTTTTATCTATCTTACTTGGGATGTTGCTGGCATGGTTAGGATTCGGTCCCATGATTGTACACGCTCAGAAGAAAAATGTAGCTGTGATGTTTTGGTAAACTGAAGTCCAACTGTGTAACATTCAGAGGGTGCCTAAGCTTTCATACCCTACGATGCATGCTCATGTTGCGCCGTGCAGATGTTCTGTCACTTTGATGACTACAACTGGGACTGGTCGCTGTACCGGGTCAGCACGATGTGCCTCTCGGCACCCATCCAGGCCATGGTGGTCAAGTCCACCCGCGTCTTTCACACCGGCGAGTGGTGCGTGCTTTTCTTGCCTGCTTACCATGTCTTCTTGTGCTAACACTAGCCATTGATGACTGCTTTCCGAGCCTTAGTTGGGGTTGTATCTGGGCTCGTTTTGTGATAGGGGGGGGGGGGGGGGGAGGTCATGCTTTAGATTTTGTACATTTTTGAACAATACGTTTGCAGGACAACATGCCTCTACAAGTTAGATTCCCATCGATATGTTGCCTTGCTTTTGGGGCAGTCTTTTCAAACTTATGTGCTAATTGCAACTAGTGCAGAAGGGACTGGCCACCTTTTAACTTTCTTGAGGTATGCATGCATGCTGCGATGTAGCATAGCTTATGGTAGTTTTTTTTTTTGCACTGAATACTGCTACATAGTCTGTTTTACTGTGTGTGTTTGTCATTGATTAATTGGTAACTGTTAAAATGCATCAGCTTTTCTACATACAGGAATGAACATCTCGATGATATGACTGGTGGCCACATAGATTTTAGAATAAACCTGACTACTCATGTCGCACGTGCAACCTTATTAAAAGCCTGCAACAATCTTGAAGGTTATCAGACATTCCAGTGTGGTCTGCACCAAATGGTAATTTACATGATAGTAGAGAATGAAGTGCTTGTGGCAATAAAATTGACATAAAATTGACCTGAAGAATTGGCTCAAGCAGAATCCTTCTGGAGTTACCCCTGCAGGAGGGGTTTTCAAACGTCGCTACACTTCCACAGGCTCGAAAATTTCCGGATTTCCAAAAAGAGCTGCAGGGTCGATTGCATTGTCAGACAAGCTCATAGTCACTGGCAGTGTGGGAAACGGCTTCTTTTTCTTTTGTTTGCATTCTGCCTTCCTGCTTGTTGCAGTGGCGTGCACCACCGGAGTAAGAACTGCTCGAGTCAGAAGATGGTGCAACAGGCGAGAAATGTGATAGGCTCCGCCCGCTCGTACTTGTTTCCCAAGGGCATTCAGGTAAGTGCTGCCTTTCTTGTACATTCAAACAAAATTGCATAGGTCCTGGACTTCATTGAAAATGAGCTAGTTAATTTAGAGATATCTGCACGCACTGCGTGCTGCCTCCCAGTATTTAGTTGCATACTACCAACACCTGTCCTTTGGCAATGGCTTGCACACTGATTTTGAATTTACTTCTCGCACAGGTTAATGGTGGCTAGTGCTGTCAGGTGTTGGCTCATTGGTGGTTAGTGTCTGCTGGTGTTTGCTAACGATGGCTAATGTCTGCTACTGTAGCCATATGTTAAGGTAAATGGTGCAAGTCCAAGTGGTCTTTATGCACTATGTGACAATCCTCCAGTTGGAAGTTTCTGCTTCGATTTTTCATTATGGTAACAATTATATGGACCTTCTTGGCAGACCTTGGCTGTCGCCATTGTTGTCATATTCTGTTAAGTCCAAATCGATAACATAGCTCCGTGCAGCCTATGCTCTAAATAAAAGTGAAACAATAGTAAAAGTGCATGGGAGACTACTGGGAACAAGCGGGGCAAAAGTAGAGATTAGACCAGACGGCCATCTCCGTTGCACAAAGAGCGCATGCGATAACATTGCCCCTCTTGCGAGGCCTTGCTTGACGGCTCCTCAAGTTGAGAAGAATAGCCACGCCCCCATCCTTCATTGGGCGAAGGAGCATGAAGGGGCGCCATTAGGGGAGGCTGCATCTCTCGAGCAGCAACTGATAGCTTTGATCCAGTGGGCTTGGTTGTGAGTGATGGCATGCACTTTATTTGCAGACATTATTAGATGGCTTGTATACCTTTGTACGTGCTGTGCTTTCACTGCTTACTATGCATAGAGATGAGACAGCACAAAGGGGCACTCCACTTCCTGAAGTGGCCATATTTTCCTTACAGCAGCGTTTTGTAGAGTTTAGTGAAATTTGATTCGAGGGATTTAGCTGCTAGCTTTACTTCGTGTTACTTACAATTTTACCTGTTGTATTATTGCATCACCGTTGCGGCTAAACTGCGATATCTAAGTTTTTTTCCCTCGTTATCCTTCGCGTTTTACTTTCGCGCAGGTCAAGCGCGGCATGCAGCGCAACCTGAAGCCGCCCAAGGGTAACGGGGGCTGGGGTGACGTCCGAGACCACCAACTCTGTCTTAGAAGCAGCTCTGTCTCCACTGTGCACAGGTAGCACCCGCAGCGTTGTGGGTATCCACCTCCACTCTTCCAGTCGTCTCTCTTCTGGTACGAAAGGTATCTTTCCAGCTCGCGTTGCGCCGAGGTTGCTACACGGCAGCGTGTCTCGAGGGGAAGAGGCATCTCGGCTCTGAGGTGATGCTTTCCTTGTTCATCTAGTGGTGTTTTATGGAGTGTATGTGTCATATGATGGTACCTGTGAAGTTAGGTCTTGTATCTCTCGGATTTGCCTCTTCCAGTTGCGCTGCAGTTCTGAGTAGTCGGCCTCGTGCAGGAATTGAAATACGGGCGAGTTTGTAGAAATTTGTTTTTTACAAGTAGGGGCAAGACTTGAAGGAACAGGAAGCACAAATGAGTGGTAAATTTGGACCAAAGGTTATTCTTAAAAATACCACCTATGTATCGATCAACACTGATCCCAACAGTACATCGTCACACATTTACACCTCCTCCCGCGGTCATAGAGATAAAGGTTAATGTACTTTATCGTTACGAGCACGGGATGGCTGGAAAAAATGAAAGTTCCGGGCAGTAAAAATAGGTGTTTTTTGCCACTTGTTAAGCCCTGTCTTTCTCTGCTTCGAACTCTACCACAACTTGTGCAGGTAAATTGAAGAGGCCTTTCTTATACTAACTGATGTCTCAACTGAATGTTGACAGTATAAAAATAATGAGAGTACACTCCACAAATCGCACACGAATGTTGTGGTCAGGGTCTACTACCAGCTGTTTTTTCGTTGCACCCTAAATAATACAACTAATTAAATTTTCTCTCTTTCTCGTGGCAATCCAAGTGTTAATCAGAAATTTGTTGGCTGTTTGTAAAGGCTTGGATTGGCCTATTCATCATGAGGTAATAGTTTTTTACTTAGAGAAGGACTGCATTCAGAGTGCAGCGGAATCGGTAGCTGTGTCTTTTTTCTTATCTCGTAGGCTTGCTTTCCGTGCTTGTGAAAAACTGGGCAAATCTCGTGACAGCTACTTGACTGATCTTTATCATGATATGATGCTTTCCGAATGACACCTTGGCCATTAGGTGAGCTACGCAGTAAATCAGGTGATTTTATGAAAGCCAAGGAGTTCGTTATCGGCAGAATAGCTCTTCTTTTAGCTGCTTTAAAGGACTATTCAACATTACCACAAGCATCAGATGACGACACTGCCGTGCTTTCTTGCTTCATGGCAGCTGCTCTGAATTGTCTGCGAAGTGTCACTTGAATATCAACAGTACGTGTTAGATTCCGTTGTAGACGTCTGTAAAAATTACTTACTACTTTTGTTAAAAGTACATGTTGGTGGGTTATGCATGGTATTACTGGTTATGTTTATCTACGGAACGTCGTAGTGAGCTAACAAATGTGAGAAAGCTGCACTGATACATATTTTTGTTCGAAGGAACAGTTTTAGCTTGTGGGTAACGTTCCTGATGAGGATATCCATCTTTGGGAATTATTCTTAGCCAGCCCCCGCAGCTCTTTTATGGTCCTTAGAAGCAGTGTTCCTTTCAGAATTGGCCATCTTCTTACACTTTTTTGGATGTCAACACAGTTTATTTATTGCCTTACGAAAGAGTTCATTGAGGTGCACAACATATTGCGAAGCACTTTCAAGGTAGGCATTGTCTTATTGCGTTTTAGTGGAAAAGCCCAACGGTAAATGTTTGTTGATTCTTTCGTTGGTTGTTTGATGCAGCACTTTTTAATTATTCGAGGCACTTTGAACATTGTGAATGTGGGTTAATTAGTTAATGCTTTGAGGTCTGTTGCAGTTTGTTTTGTAGCACTTCGCTGCATTATCTTGTGGCACCCAGATGACCTACAACTTTTGTTTTGCTGGCTTGGCCATCTCGGTTTATTCTGCGAGTCATTCTTATGTCGCAGTCTACAGTTCGCTGCAACACTCACTAGCGGGCGGTTGCTGTTTTTGAAATGCCCAAAAACTTCCTAAAGTGTCGTCCTAAAACCAGTTGCTTTTTAGATGCCCAAAGATATTGTTTCCAGTACTATATTGCCTTTTTATGCTTGTATATAGATCTGATTATTGTCGTTAGTTCTTTATTCTCGTTCTGTTTTCTTGTTTGCGTTTCATTGCATTTGTTGTAATATCTTTTTACACCTGCTGTTTGATTCTTTATTTTTCTTGCTGGGACAGGGTGATTGCGTTGTATGTTGCCATATTTTTCTGCGTGGTGTATAGCCCGGCGAGCACTACGCAGCGATTTGTGCCAGATGTGTCTAATTCATTTTATACCAGTGTTCTCGTGCAGCATATCAATCCTGTACACACTTAAAATTTTTTAATGTATGTTTCTTGCTGAAGAAGGAACTGAGCGCAAAGGCAGCGACATGCCTGTCGCCTTTAAACCCAATGTCGTTACAACTTTCGGTGCTTTTTTTAACCAAGTCATTTTATCTTACTTAGTACATGTTGCAGCAAGAGTTCTCAGGATCTATTTCTTCAGGAACTCTATAAGTGTTTGAGGGTGAAATTTGTGAACGGGCATACTGCCTTGGGTATATCTAAACTTATTTCAGTGTGCACTTAAGCTGGGCAAAGCTTGTTCTGTAGTACCTGTTGAAGATTGTATATAAAACGACCAAGTATTTTTTTCACAGAAATATTAGGGAATTTCAAATTGGGGAGTTTTCAAAAGCCCTTTGCGTACGAACGCTTTTGGTCAAGCAGGAGCGATGAGTTTTCGAATAGTGTCTCCGGCGCCTTGGACATTCCCTCTATTCTATGTCACTCTAGTCCTTGGCCGATAGCTGTCGCTTTAGTGGGTGCTGTCACGCTTGTCTGACCCAAAACGTTAGGGCAGGCTTTGGGGCTTCTGCTAAATTCGAGAAATAGTGCCCCAACCCAAAACCCAAACGTGGTTTGGGTTTTGCGCATGCTCAGTGGCCTTGACGATATTTCCTTGGGGCCCCTATTCGAAAACTCCCTATCAACTGTATCTTGAAGGCAGAAAAGCGAAGTTGAAGTACTGGCTGGCGGGTGTGATGTAAAAGTCTGTTTTTTTGTTATCGCCAGTCTCGTAAGAAGGCCGTTTGTGGAAATTCTAGTTCACGGGATTATTTGGCCCTTGCATACAGTGATACATTGGCAGTGTTTGCTTCACACCGTGCGGTCACGTAAAGTCTTAAAAATGATTAAATATACTTATTAAAGCTAACCTATGTAAGATACGTAGCTTGGCCAAATTTAACTCGGAGTGTTCACAGCAACCTGCCGTTTTTAACCTGAAAATTGAATGTCAGTTGAACTTGGTAACATAAAATGCAGTATTTCTGTGTGCTTGTTTAAAAAATTTGGTTGTGGCTGTCAGGCAAGACCACCTTGTTTGCATTGACATCATTGAACGGTGAACAGCTTTTAAGCTGCTCCTCCATCTGTCTATAAGAGATATTAGCAGTTCATGAAAAAGTACACTTCCCAAACCTTTGTATTTTGGTACAGCAGGAAACCATACAGAAAGAACTTTAATGAGGTCAGCTTTGCCCAGTTTAAGAAAAAAAAAGAGCAGAAGAATGCGAGAGCCCAAGAGAAAACAAGTGCAACGAAAAAATGCCCAAATTTACGCTCTTGTAAGGAGTGGTGCTGGCCACCTTTCTGCACATTCAAAGCAAAGTTTACGATTGATTTTATTTATTTTAAATACTTTTCATTCAGTGTACATACATTTCTTCAGACTTTCATACAGCTAAGTCATTTAGCTTTTCAACCTTGAATACATTTACATTATATGCTTTAGTCTGGGGCACTTTTTGTGAACGCCACTATTATGAAATAACTTTGGTGTCACCTAATTGCATTACAAGGAGTATTGCTTGATACGTAAGTGCAAGGCTGTTTGGCTTCACAGGTTAGCACCAGTGTATTTTGTGTGTGTTTTTCTAAGCAGGGCACCAAAGTCAGTTTTCGTGTAGCAAGTGCTTCACTTTATGAGTACGTGCTTAGCAGGGTATTATGCTTTCGTTGCTAGACCATGCGGTATTTCTCAGGCCCGAAAGCACTTCCTCTGAAACTTTGCATCTTTCTGCAGCAAGGGCACGGTGTTGTACGCTTCTGTATTGTGTAGTAGACTACTGGCATGCGAAAGCTGCCATGTGCAGCAGCATAAGCTTCAGTGCAGACAGTACTGTCTTCAGGCTTGCGCATGCTTCCTTGAAGTTGTAGTGGTGTTCTCTCGAGATGACCTAATACTTCAATTTGCCCCAATATGCTCGTCCAAACTCGTTGGGCGGTTGGCACAAAATTTTGGTTCGCCGTAGGTGATAATAATCTTGAGTGTGGGCAAGTCATACATGGTTACGACTTGAGTAAGCCCAGTATTAGTTCTGAAATGGAAATCACACAAATGCTTCGCAACAATTGCTCTCGAGTTTTGTGGTGTGCAAATTGTTTTGCTGCCACTGTGCATAGTGCACAAGTATGTGGAACTGCAGTTTCACCATTCATGTGTTTCGTGTTTTTTGTTTCTTTAGTCACATACAAGCGAATACTTCTAATGGTAGTTATTAACGAAAATGAAAGCTCTTTTCTGCAGTTACATTCATAATTCTCGCTTTTTTTTTTCTTAACAGTCTTACCTGATGAAATTTACAACATTAATTTTGTTTACACTTGAATCGAAAAATTGTGACGCTCTGCTGCCAAGTTGTGAAGGGATGCAATTGTAGAGTGAGGCGTCGCTTCCAGCTTGTGTAATTAACAGGCTGCTGTGCCACATTTCGGCAGGCCTATCAGCTTTTGACCTGCCAGTAGTCTACTTCTATGTCTTACAACATCGGTCCTACCAAAGATCCTCGCCACGGGCAGAGTATGGAGTTTACCTGCCCTGTCTGTATGTTGTTGCAACTTTGCAAATGTGATCCAACTTGTGTGCCACATACATCTATAGTACGGCAGCTGCGTCCCGGAGACGTCTGCCTTCCCAACCAAAGGGTTTTCCGACCGGGCATTGCATCCTGGGAATGAGTGTCACGAGTTGTTGCACTGTCATCCCCTCTTTTTTGTACATAGCGATGATGTGACTGAGAAGTCCTTGTGAAATCGAGCGACGTTTTCTTTTTGTATGCACGGCCACCCACCCGCCCGCTCAGTGTGCATCATCTGTAGCTACAGTCGCGTAATAGCACGGAGTGACATATGTCATGCGTTGCGCACACATATTTTTGTTCTCTGGCATGCCGGGGAATTTCGTTCGCGGCTTTCTGCTCCATTGCTAAATTCCACTGTGCCTTGTAGAACAAGAGTTATTAGCGTTACAAGTTGGTGTTCTCACTGGGTTGTGCCGCGGAATATCAAAACTCTGCGGTCATTCTAGATGGGCAATTTTTTTTCCTTTTTTTTTCATGATAGACGTTATACTCCATTTCAGTGCTGCGTTGCATCCACAGAGGCATTACGTGCACCACGTTTTGCATAGAGCGATTAAGCACATCTTGTGTATTCAAGCAGTCAACTGCGGAACAGGTAAAAAAAAAAAATTGAATTGAGTGTCAAATCAACATTCCCGTTTTGTGCTCAAACATCTCACTGAAGCCAGATTTGAAATCAATCGTAAGCTATCTTATAGGTGCACAATGTTTCGTAAATGTTGCGGCAAATTTTGGTTTGAGACAATTGGTAAATACTTGATACTACTACAGTGAAACCTCGTTAGACCGTAGTTGGCCGGGAATGACGTTTTGGTACGCATTAAGCGATGTACGAATTAACCGTCAGTGCCAGTTTAGCGGCTACTTACCGGTCAGAAAAGAAGGCCACAATCCTCACAAACACGCGCGCGCACACACGCCGGCACGCCAGCTTTATTTATGGACAGGCAGCAAAAAAATCTGTGATCTTCACTTGCCGCCGTGGTGGCCTTGCCTCGACGACGGCATCTTCGAAGTCGGTGAGGCCGCGAGCCAGCCGGTCCATTAGGCCACGCTTCTCGGCGAAGGCTCGCATCACAGTCACAGCACGCGCAGCTTCGGATAACGAGGGGCCGTCGTCCACTTCGACATCGCCCTCCTCCTCACTTTCGCTTGAATCGGGACGAGGTGCGATGGCGGCAACAATGTCGCTGTCGGAAAAGTCCGGGGATGTAAGGACGTCTCCGTCCACATCTCGGAAAGTGCCGAAGTTGAACTTGTCGACTCCCTCTCCTTGCCGCTCGAGCACCTCAACAAGGAGGCTCTCGCAGTCTTCGGTGTCCTCACCATCCTCGTTATCCTCCATGTTCTCGTCGTTGCCTTCTTCTGGCATCTTGAATTGTGCTCGCGCGAAACAGTTCCGTATCGTTGCAGGCTGCACCTGCATCCATGAGTGTGCAAGCAGGTGTATAGCACCCAGGAGGTCTATACTGTACGTTTTGGCACTCTCCATGGCGATCAACATCCGCCGCAAAAGATTTTTGCGGTAAATCTGTTTGACAGAGCGGATGATGCCCTGATCGAGGGGCTGGGCGAGCGCTGTCGTGTTGGGCGGCAAAAACAACAGCTTAATAGCCGACAGGTTACCCACATCGACATGCGCCGACGCATTGTCAAGCACTATCAAAATGCTCCTTTTCTTGGCAGCAAAACGGCGGTCCAGCTGGCGCACGTACTCCTCGAACAGCTGGGCTGTCATCCAGGCTTTTTTGTTGTGCTTGTAAACAACACCGGATGGCAGCCGAGCGCCTTTGAAGCACCGCGGGTTTCCATACTTGCCAATGACCATCAGTGGCAGCTTCTCACTACCGGTCATATTTACGCCAAAAGCGACCGATATGCGATTTTTGGCGTGTTTCCCGCCGGTGCACGTCTCATTTTTAAATGCCAATGTCCTATTTGGAAGAAGGCAATAAAAAAGTGCCGACTCATCAAAATTAAAAATGTCGGCGGCATCGTAGGCTGTCAAGGCTTCCTGCAAAACGGTGTCCTGCCATTCAACAGCGCCTTCTTTGTCTGCTGCAGCAGCCTCACCACAAACAACCTTCCCCACGATGCCGTAGCGGGCTTTAAACCGCGACAACCAGCCGTTGCTGCAGGCAAAACCGGGGCAGTTCAGCTGATCTGCGAAAGTTAGGGCTTTTTCGGTCAGAAGGGGTCCGCTAACCGGCAGGTTCATGCTCCGCGCCTTCTTCAGCCAGAGAAGCAGGGCCTTTTCCACTTCGGGATAAGCTGAGTCTCTCATGCGGCACCTCTTCAAATCGCTGTCTGTGCCTCCCGTCAACTTTTCGCGAGCGTTCCAAATTCCGCATACAGTAGTCAGCGGCAAGTTCTTATCGCGGGCTACCGCAGATTTCTTGGCCCCATTTTCAATAGTGCGAATGATTTCAAGTTTTTCCTTTACGCTCAAGACGTGGTACTTCGGCATAGTAAGAAGTTTTAGTGTGCGAATTTAATCGCACCACTCGCGCACAACACAAGAATAAAAAAAACAACAAAAAAAAAAAAACACAACACGCCGCACAAGAACGTAAGTAACGCAACACCACCACACCGCCGCCACGACCAACACTGCGGGAAAGTGAGGACTAACGACCGAATAAAGAAACGAGCTCAGCCTGGCTCGACGCTGTGGAGCCGTTGAGAATACGTACTTGGCTTGGATTGAAAGCGACAGCGAATTTGCACCCCCTACCGGGACCAGCAATCGAGAATTCCTAGGTTACCAAAAACCGATCTTGAAGGCCATGCTCTTGCACAATGGGATCGGCAACAGACGTACGCGCAAAAAATACGTCATCGTGGCCATGTTGTGACGTCACTATCGCTGGTGGTTGTTGTCCGATCGCCACATGGAGTGTATCGACCGTCTGTGCGCACGAAATTTTGCCGATTTTCGGCCTGTGCATGGATAAAGAGAACGAAAATAGTACGTACTAACCGTACATAACACCACAAGCGACTACGGCTTAAGCGGTCAGCCAATACATGGGGTTCAATGGAGATAGGGCGGGGGATTCCTCGCTACTACGTATAAACCGCAGTTACATATTAAGCGGGTACGTATTAAAGAGGTTTGACTGTAATGTGTTCAAAACTTGGATTTTATGGACAAATACTGCTTGATTAATCATTCTACTTCTAAGTCTCTCTTTTTTTAATATCTTTTTATATTTTTGTGTTTTTCATACCAAATTACCGTGCAATATGATGCGATGCCGTGAGTCAAATCTGCATTCTAGTCGCTTGCCAAGCTTCTGATGATGCATTTTTCATCATCATTTATCAGAAACAACACCACTTTCCTATATTGCTATGGTGTAGCCTTTATTTTTCATAATATTGCATGTGCAAATAGCTTTCACAACCCAGTGAGAAGTGGAGGAGTGTGTTTCTATGTCATTGAAATTGTGTGCCATTCACTTCAATTGCCATTATCTCGAAGTCATTAATGTCATCACACCTCGTATCTTTGTAAGCCACCGGCACAGAGTTTTGCCAGCTGTGTTGTGATTCACCTGCTTCTTGTAATATCGTCGAACGTGCGATTCTTTTTGCTCCACTTTTGAGAGTTGTGCAGTTTTTTTTTAAAGTGCTGCAAAACTTTTAAAATGTGTGTTTCGAGGCTAAGTTTGTTGCTAGTTTTGTTTGTTGATATTCACTACGTAATCTGTGCAATTTGCTCAAGCCAAAGTGTCTAACAAGGTGATTTTGTTGAGTGCTCCCATCGTGGAATGTTGAACGATTACGAAAAATTTATTTCCAGCATTCTTTCCGGTGGCATTAACAAGTTTTGCGCAGGATGCATTGTCTGCTCCACAAAGCATAGAGTTTCCTGTAAATACACTAGAGAGAACTCTGGCACTAGTTCGTACGGGATCTGCAATGCACGGTGGTCCGGTCAGCATAGGAATGATGGATAGTGAACAAATTGGTCTAATCTTCGTACTTGAGGCTCCGCTTGGCTTCGCGTGTCATGGAGCTGCTTTGTCACGAAACAAAAACCGGCACTTGTTCAGCAGTTGCACTTTACCTTTTTTGGCAAACCAATTCAAACCGGCTTACCAAATTCATAATGGTCCATTCTTTTACTATTTCAAACAAAACCAAAACACAATGATATACAAAGCCACAAGTGCATTCGGAGCTCGCAAGCATGAAGACCCTGCAAATTTGTGAACTACCCATCATTCGCATGATGGCAGAACAATCGCAGCGCCAGAGTCCCCTGTAGTTAGTTTTTGGAAACTCCATGCCACAAAGGACACAGTTACGTGGCCTGTTTGTTTTTGCAGTGGTATATTTGATTCCTTGTACAGCGGATAAACTTTTTTTTAAAATATAACATTTGATGTGTTTTTCATGAGCTTAAGCATGAAATTACTGCATTTTGCGTGGTCATAAAATATAAATGAATAGTCTTACCTTAAGTGAAGTGCAGTTTATATTTTGTAGTGTAAGCACGATCTTGTACTTTGATCTGAAAACTACATTTCAGAGAGCGTCGAGCAATTGGGGACACAACTGGGGACACATTGGGGACGTTGGGACACATTGTGTTGAGCAAATGGGGACATAATAAAGCTTGCAAACATAGGCAGCTTAAATATATTACAGTTGCTTATTCTCTTCTCACTGGTGTATCAACATTAAAAAAAAAATCACATGCAATTCATGGACAATATTCTGGCACAAGAATCCGGCTCACACTCAAGCACACTGTTGTGGCACATCGAAATTATAAGTCGGTGCGAAGATGCCGTTCAAGCGCGAAAGCTGGCAAAGTGCATAGTCATTGTAAAAGTGAACAAAAGACTGCTTTCTACTGCACAGGTTAAATAAGATGCACAGTCCTTTGAACAGTCAGTGTAAATGTTGCAATTCATTGAATCAGTTGAGTGCAGTGCAAGTTTCTTGGTGAAAATAAAACAGCAGGAATAAAATAAGCACAAAATTTTGTGCGAGAGTAAAATAGTATAACTAAAAACAATGTATAACAAAATAAAAACTTAACAATAGGCTTTCACCTTCAGAGGCCTGTGAAGCGTTGCGGCCTCGATACATTTCGGCATCGACACGTAGTTGACGGCGACGTTTGCTACCTTGCTCAAAGGAGTCTAATGGCAGAGGACGGCATGACTCCGTTTTATCAGAAACTAGGCTCGACTCTCTGCTAACAGTGATAGACTCATACCTGCATAGACATGAAGCAGGGGTGTGCAAATACGCAAAAAATGTGATTATCGAATCAAATAATCTTCACTTCAATATGTGAATTAAATGGAAGACCAAATAGTTACAGTTCGAGAGTACCAAAGTTTTTAGAATAGTTTATAAATATTTCAAAAGTGTCAACTGCACCTCAAAAATACATAAAATATTGGTGCAAAAGTATCCTTAAGTTCACCCTCATAGGAATAAAAGCCTGCATGGTGCGAGAAGGCTTTTGGAACCAACCTTCCATTTATGCTGTCTTGAAAGATACGTGTATCGGAAGAATTGGATTATTTGTTGCTCATACTCTGTGTGTACTCCAATTCAATTCTGCTAGAATGTGAATATATTACATGTACAAATAGATGTTAAATATTCAGAAAGTGCCCAATTCTCTTTTGGTACTATCCGATTTTTGCACACCCCTACACTGAAGCAATCGTGAAGACACTGAATGGCCACAATACCATACTGTAGACTTGCTGTTTCCTAATAGATATTCTAGATAGTTATACCATGTATCATGTGACAAACACATTCTTCTGCGCACTATGCATTTTAGCTGTTATCATAGCTGCAAATTGCAGACTCGCAGAAAGGGGCACTGTGTGTTGCTGTTTGTCGGTAGAGTTTAAAGTAGCACGGCCTCAGTATCATTATTAGGCATGTTGTAGTAGATGACTTGGGACCGACTCTGGCCATCTGGGGCACCTTAACGTGCACATAAACTAACACGAGTGGGTGTTTTTCATCCCCGTAGAGACGACTTCTGTGGCTATAAATTGACCCTGTGGTCTTCGCACAATAAGATCGTAGCCACTAGACCATGCATGGTGGGGTATAAATGACAAGCTTGTATATTATACGTCATGGCTTTGAAGTTATTGTATGACACGCATTAAATGTAGCAGTACAGATACCAAAAGTAGTTGCATCTGTAGCCTAAGGTTTTCCCACTTTTTTTTTCATTTGAGAATTGTAGCGAAAGCTAAGATCTGTGTGGTTTATCAGTTCAATAAAAAATAAGTAAATAAATGTGATTAATAAGGCCTGAGGACTCTTGGCCATCACAATGTTCGCGCGCATACGTAAGTGCAACACCTGAAATTCTGCAAGTTCTCTAATTCAGATGTCTCAATTAATTTACAAAATAGAAGTGGAAGCAAAGTGTGAATACGAGATTTTATCCTGATGTGCTAGCGGCAGTATCTTGGCTACATCCTGGCTAATTGCTGGCCTACGCTTGGCTCAGTGGTGCTTGGAGCGGCTGGCCTGCTTCTAGTATTTCGCATATCCCATATTACACAGGCCTGGGTAGCAATGAATCTTTGTAAAGCCAATTGTAGCCTCTTTTAAGCAAAAAAAAAAAAATAATAAAAATCTATCTTGTAAGTTGTCTTTGAGTATAACATAAAAGATCAGAGCACTAACTAGCTGTGAACTAGTGTGAGAGTTGACCCTGCAACCCCTTCACCAGTCACCAAAGAGAAAGAAGAAAGGGGAAAGGCAGAGAGGTTAACCAAGAATTTGCTCAGTTGGCGAGCCTACACGTGTGGAAGGGTCATAATAGTTAGAGGTGGAAAAAAGCTAGAGATGGAAAAAAAAAGATAGTAGAGAGTGAAGAATAGAAGGACAAATAACAAATGGACAGTTAGTGTGTACAAGAACAGTAACACGCACTTGTACAAAGGTTTGTGAAGTCCACTCGACTTCAGGAAGCACAGTAGGGTCACCAGGGCTACAACAAAGCTTTCTGGGTCGCAACCGACACTGTTCATGTTCTAAGAACCAGGTGGGGCAAGTCGGCAGTTCAGAACATACACTGCTAGTAATATTCCAACGCAGCTGATGGGCTGTACATGTAGAAAACGTTCTCTGCCTATGCAGCTCACAAGTGTACAAGTAAAAAAGGTGCTGTGCCATGCAAAGTTGAAAGTTGTACGTTGACCACTAAAGTTGGAAAGGAAACTAAACATGATCTTTCAATTCTAAATTTTATGGTCGACGTTCAACCTTCAACTGTATACGTCTTCTAGCGACGACGAAGTTTCTTGTAAAACTCTTGATTATAAAGAAACCTTATACCCTTGTTACATGATGCACTGCTGGTTGCGATTAAACCACTAGGATAAATTTTCTCGACAGTAAATTTGCTCCCTACTGCAGCTTACTCTGAGGACCCTAGTCAGGATTCAGAAATGCAATCTGCATCGGGCCTGATCACGATCGAAAGCGACCGCGTGATGCCGGACACCGGTAACATTTCGTAATGATGCAGCCATACAAAGCATGCCATGTCGGCAGGGGCAGCGCCAGGGAGGGGAACATGTTGGAGAAGAGGGGCTGGAGCTGCCCCACAAATTTTGCCCAGCTCCCCTTTGCTTCCCTTCCCCCAAAAGGAAGGAAACTTAGTCCAAATAACGCATAACTTCCCCGTCTCAGTGACCCCCTGAAGGAACTCTCTCGCTGTCAGTATTCTCCCAGTAAGAATATCTTGTGCAGCCCTTGCTTGTCGGTGCCTTGTGCAGCCCTCAGCGTAACTGGTACAGGGGCATCGGTATGACACTGACTGCAAAGAGCCAGCTACAGTGAAGGAGCCACGAAAGTGGCGACGTCTGCGAGCTGGCGCCGTCTTTGTCAAAGGCCAAGTAGTAGACATTGCCTTGACCACAGCCGGAGTGCTTCGCCTTGCAGTCGATGGGCTGCAGCTGCCAGTCGAGGCAGAATCGAATCTCGGCCAGGACGGGTGCGGAGTAGTTCTGCCGCGAAGTGCATGCAAGAGGGAACAGAGTCTTGAACGATGTATGAAAGTTCAGTTTCAGTAATGTAATTTGCAGTAACGCTGACAGTCTCCAAACTGAAAGTGCATAATACTTCATTATAACAAAGTTGCATCTTATGCAAAAAACAAGTTCGTTATATCTGAAAATTTATTATGAAGGTTTATTCCTAACACTATATATTATGAGACTATTTTTTCATTTGCTTAGTTATAACCAGTATTTCATTATATCCAGGTTCGTTATATAGAGGTTTTAGTATATTTGAATGCGATAACTATAAACTTGGTTACGACGTTAGAAAAAATGTAAGCTTCCCCCTTAGAACAGCCGTGCAACTGCCTTCACCTGTGAAAGACAATCGTTCCAGCTAGTTTTCGCTCAAACCGTTAGTACGTTTTCTCAGCTAATGGAAATGCTGCACTTATCAAGGGCTGCATGTCTTCAATTTCGTTGCGCTTAAAAACAATGGAAAAAGCAAGACGAAGACAGCACGAGCGCTAAACTTCACACCATGTTTTTCGCGAACACGTGAATAATATACTGACTCAAATGATAACGATCCAGTGTATCACGCTCGCTCAAGAGCCACAACCAAATAACCTTTTACATTAGGTATTTATGTGCTCTGTATTCGAAATCTGGCATCTTTATTGACTTGGCCAGTTTGCAGCACTTTTCAGTGTTTAAAGATAGTCGTTACTATATCCAGGGGTTGGCAACCTTTTGAGGCGAAGGGCCAAGTTGCATGAAGCCAACATGACGAGGGGGGGGGGGGTCACATGAAAAATGGGGGGGAGGGGGTGTCTTTGTAGGCAAAATAAAAATATGGCAAGGTGACACTAATTTGCAAAACTATACCAAGCATGTCGCAAAGTTGTGATCCTACTTAGGTTACAAGAATAAATCCCACTTTTGGTCAAAACTGCCTCGTCTGCCTTCGTTAGGAAGCGTCAAGCACAAGGGGAAAAAGGGTTTTACGCTGTTGCAGACAGAATTCGATAGGACGTCAACTTTCTGCTCCAAAAGTGTCTCAGACATATGCTAGGAATGTCTGTTATCTGAAGTGCTTGAGAAGTGCTCAATGTCACGAAAGTGGGTATACATCAATAGATGTAGCACTGACGTAAATTCTTTAATTCCCTCTGGGATAAACATCCATGGCTACAGGGGGTGCTGCTTTTTTGTTGTTGTTGTGACTGAGTGCAGTGCTGGTTCTCCCTGTGGTAATGGATGACATGCAGTTAAACTGCACAAGCAGCATCAAGTTCAACAGCACGATCAGGCACAAATATAGCTTGCAAGTCAGTCTTGTTTACCCATAACCAGTTGAGCTTTTCGGAGAGCGAACACTTGGGAGAATAAATCATTTTATTTAAGGCTATCCTCGCAATGACAGCCTCAACAGTAGCTGCCACAATGACTCACTTCAATGTTGTTCTGCTGAACTGCAAATCTTCAATTTATGCTGAGGCATTTAATAACCAACCATGAAGAATTGAAAGGTAAGCTTACCGATTTTTGGACGCTATGTCTTTCCATGTAGCACAGACACAGTATACAGAGTATCAAACATGAACAAAACTAACACACCAAATGAACACGTCCCTGCCAAAGGCCACTTTGTACCCTCTCTGCATCCCTTTCTTTCACTTTTTTGCTAACCACCAGCCTACTCGTCTTATTGAGGGAAAATTTCAGGCTCCAGAACAGCACAAGAACAAGAAGCACAAGGAAAGGGTGTCCTTGTGTAACGACTTAAGAAGTAAAAAGGTAGGGATGATACTGCCAGTAGGTATGCAATCACTTCAGTGAAAGCTAGTGTGCTATTGCTATTATTATTACTAAGAGTGCCATCTCTGCTCGATCACATTCTTTTCATTTGGATGAAATGAAAGGAATGGCTACAGGGACATTTTTTCAATATGAATCTAACGTAAAATTGCGGCCACTGAAAACATAAGGATTGTTGCTTAATAGTAGATTTTCATTGAAGCGTGGCAATCGTGAAAATAAACATAAATTAAACGGCCGCAAAGAGAGAAACGTACCGCTGGAGAGGACCGAACTCGCCACAGGAGCGGCGCTAAGGGGCGGTCTAGTAATTTACACCCCTTCTATGCAATGGGGGTGCACCCCCCCCCCCCCGCCAAGATATAGCCAAAACAAAACGCATGAATTGCCCTACAGAACACCTATATACTACCATTTGGTTACCTGTCTTTCTGCACCCCGTAGAAGTTGCCGTGAGTAGGTAGGTCACCCTGGCCGCGAGTACCCCTTTCCGCTCAGTAAAATACCCATGACCCACCAACTCCGCACGAGCTGGCGAAAAAAAAAAAAAAAAACTGAAGCACTAAACTGTTATCACGTACAAAAAGTAGCTGCTCCAGAGGATAATCTCGGGCCCCAACAGCGCGAAACTTTGGCAACGAGAGGCGAAGAACGAAAACTATCGAGACCACAAATCACTGTTGGCAACAATGATCATCTCGTTTGCTTTTTTTCTTCAAGCGGCGCTTAGTTTCGGATTACTACGAAGCAGCCGGCGTTTTCACGTCTCCGCTGTCTGTGAGTCTAGCCACTGTACTGTGAGAGGGTGAGCCGAAGTCCAGTAGAAACGAGCGACAAGGTAAAGAAAAACCGTGGCCCGTGCTGAGGTGGCGTTCGTTTACAACGCCGCGATGATGATTCAAGCAAGGACTGCGAGTGTGTGGATGAATCGCTCTGCTGCCCTCGTAGCAACGCGCTGCTCGTCAATGAACCAGCGCGCACAACACTCAGTCTCTCGTGACTGAGTCTTGTCACGAAGGAAAGGTGCGAGGAACGGGCGTCACTAGGTCGAGGCGGCGTTACCACTGTCTGCGCGTATGCCCGTGATGCGATTTGACTACCTTTTGCTGCAGCGGGGTGAGCAATGGAAACACGCCGCTCAAGCTACACGACGCTTCCAAAGGGAAAGCCGGCTCTTCAGGAGGTGAGGTCTCGTTTTACGTTTCTGCAGCGTCAACTGTTGTTGGCTTGCAACGCAGCGTTGGTCATCGAGCGCGGGTCGGAAACACGGACCCTATTACCACGTGATGTCATGTAATCCATTCGTAACTGATCGTACGAAAGGCGTACAATACTTTTATTGGACCTGCTCCAGCAACACATAACCAGATGCTGGAGGAGTGAGATAAAACGATGTGACGCATTTGTTTCAGGCTACAGCAAATTGGGGCGCAGACTCAGCAGTGGGCATGACGATAGTTATAGCGCGAGAACAAAACGACGACACAGAGACAAAAGGACACGAAAGACTTGTTTCTGTGTCGTCGTTTTGTTCTCGTGCTGTAACTATCGTCATGCCATGCCCAACTAGCCCAAGCTGCCACACTTCTCAGCAGTGGGGTTGCTGAATATTTTTTTTTTTTCGTTACTCTGCGTGTGTATGATGCAATGGCTTTACCGCCCCTCCCCCAGACACTGACGTAGCCGGGGGAGGGGGTGGAGAGTTTTCAGTTTTGCATGTGTATAAATGTATACAAGCTCGCACACAAAAACCGCGAACACGCATAAAGTATGCTTAACCCCGCCCCCTTCTGATAACATTGCCCCCTTCCCGATTTAAAACCAACAACAACAACAAAGAACATCTGCTACGCCCATTATCTACTGCTCAAGGTTTCGAACCATTCTGGATTGGCCACCAGCACAGACCTTGAGTTGCATGCACCGAATGTGCCTTGTAATAAATACTACAGAAGCGCTATACGTATACAGTTTCGACATGCTTATTGCTTTGGATGTTCTGTTAAAATACCTGTATCTGTCACTCGGTTCAGCTCTCCCACTTACATGTACCGACTCTATACATAGGGCATCTACTTTGACAGAGCTTTACAAAATTATTCCTGAGATAATCACATTGTTCACTATTTCTAAAAATGTAGCTCTATCAACGATGATGCTTCAACAGATGCCCATTTGGCATAAAAAAACAATTAGTGTCTCTACATGTAAGATCGATTAACAAAAATAAATTGGCACTGTTTGTGGACACAGTACTTCGAAACGCAAGCTGCGGTCAGTGATGTGAACAAGCCTTACTATCGGTGAAAACAGAAATCTAAGAGAAAGTGTGGACAGCTGTGGTTAATAGCAAAGTAAATTAAGTGTGCCGAATCCACTTGGCCTACCAGACTAACTTTGCTTACCAAAATAACTTTTTCAAGCATCTGACCTTGATATGAGAGTAAGGTCTTATGCTTAACTTATGATACTTGAGGTATGACAGCAAGATGATATCTAATCGTTGTATGTGTGATTAGTGAGTATTATAAAGCCTCTAGGAAATTTAAGGTCAATATATTGAGGCTGGAATGAACAACCATATGTAACGGTATGAGAAATCGTTTGCCAGCCAAGAAGGGCAGTAATGAAGAGTTGAACACTCGTAAGCAGATAAGTGCAGCAGTTTCCCATATAGCCAAAATCATGGCATCAAGTTTAGTGATACAGTTGCCAAGCACTGACATCATAAATTTGTCCGTGAATGACATCATAACCATGCACTTACCCTGCTTGAGTAGCACACGAAGTTAGCTGCTCCTTTGATATCATCGTGCAGGGCATTTTTAATTGTTTGTAGCTGTAAAAAAAAGGGGGGGGGGACACAACATACTAAGTCGTTTGCATATTGTCTCACGGGTGCAAACTTTGCATGGTGTTCCGCGGGTGCACACTGTATTCAACACAACCACCTTACCTGGTATGTTTTCTCGGAGGTTGGCACTACACCACTGTTCAGTAGATATCTGAAATGTGCAATGACAACGGCTAAATTTGTAGGGTTCAAACATTTCAAAGTAGCTTTGATCACAGTTCCTACATCGATGGCTTGCCAATATATCTTCGGTTTATCTTCACTGTGCAGCAAAGGAGTAAAACCTGTTCTGAAGATACTGGAACTGTTAAGGCAGCAGAGCTCTGGCTCAGAACAATCATACGACCTTCTTTGAACTACGTACTTTTGAATTATGCCATACTTGTGGTGGGCGCTGAAACTTGCTGGCACGGAACGTTCCTCAAGCTTGAATAATCGTGATTTTGAGTTACAAAAAAAAAAAAAAGCAAACAAAAGCTAACATGCTGTAGCAAGTGCAATAGATTCTCAGTAAATTAAATCTTTTAGAGAAAATTCATGCTCAAATGGAACAACTGCATCTAGTGTGATTAATTTCATGCTTTATTTCTGTAACAAGACAATTTCTGAAACCCTGTTCATTTCTTTGTCAATTTAACTCTTATTAACTGGAATGTATTTCCCTGGTAATATAGTTCAGTAATATATACACAACCAAAACTGCAGGCAAAAATTAGGAAGGAACGAGATCTGCCATGGCTACTCAATTTATGTTACTGCGTTGTACTTTGCGTGAAACTGGGAGCTTTTTCTTTTATGCTTTGAAAACTCTGGGAAACAGCTGTATGCTGCCAGCCAAATAAATTTACGTGAAACTCACTCAGTGATATTGTACTTCAGATACAGGGTTAGAGTTTCATTGAAAAAATTGTAGAGTCCATCCAGCTCGGGCACTATGGTGGCACAGGTGCCATGCTTTTGCCATTCATGTTTCCTAGACGAGAGAGAGAGAACAAACGTAGGTTAGATAAAAGACTGCCTGCATAGTCTTGCTGCTAGTGCACTTATATAGATCACAGACCTCCTTTGATGATTAAAATGGTGTTAGTACAGATTTAATCTTGTAACTTTCAATACTCAATTTATGCCAATTGTTCTTTCAGTAGGATGGCTATTAGATGAGAAAATGAACATCAAATTTAAACTTTTCTTTTTAATGATCATATATTCAGCATTTCCCGCGCTTGCACGTGCCGTCTCCTGAATCTGTTAAAGGTTACAAGGGAATCTAAATGGCTAAATGATTATCTTTGGTTTTGCACCGCTGTATTGTAGCCTGGCTGTGCGATTCTGTTTTTGAAGAATGCACTTTCTTACAAAATTGATAACTCACCAAAATATATTATTGTTGCTGCTAGTCAGAGATGGCCAATACAGGTCAAGTTGTGGTACCAGTGGCTGCAAGGGAAATAGATTGAGTCACCAAGAATGAATAATACGTGTGCTGCACTTCTAAAAATTGTGAACACACGTGAGGACAGGGACCTATATGCACAGAGCAGAAATTGTGCTTTCTGTTATAATATATTATATTTATATACCTTTTTAAATAATTACCTTTCATAATATCTCACTGGCCTGGACTTGAGTAATAGTGTTTAAATACTTAGGAATGCAGACAATTACTCATGTGTCATGCTCATAAAAAAATGGATCTAGGCAAACAGAAAACTCATGCACAACAGTGTTAAAATGTGAATATATGTAACAATAAATTGGTAGGCTAGCTGCTCTGATGCTTCACATAGAAAGCACAAAGATTATGTGGAAAGGTGTTCTGTTTTTTTCTGCACTGCTTCTGTTCTCCCCCTTCTCACTATTATGCACAAGATCAACTCGGATATATGTATCACAATAGAGGAGTTTATATCACATCTGGCAAGCACACACACCAACATTGTATGGCTGTGGCAAAGGTAGAAACATGCTCGATTCATTACAAGAAGTTTCAGGATAATGAAAAGATCTAGTGTGTGGCCTTTTCTGTTTTTGCTTTTCCGTACCATAGAGTTTTCTAAAATTAACCAGAGGGGACTCTGGCGCTATGATTGTTCAGCCACCACAGGAATGATGGGTAATGCACAAGTTTGCCTAGTATTCATGCTTGTGCGCATCAAACACACTCGTGGCTTTGCTCATGTCTCAGTTTTGTCTCGGCTAAAAGGACAAACCGTTGCGAACACTTCATAATTCGATTTGAATTGTGAGCTTATATAGTAAAGTGGTGAAGACGAATTACTGAACATTTGCCGATTGTGGTCCCGTGACAAAGCAGCTTCAAGCCACGCGAAGCCAAAGAGAGCCGAAAGTACGAAAATTAGACAAATTCGTGTACTACCCATCACTCCCGTGCTTGCCGAAGCCGTGCGTTGCAGCTTCCATAGACACTAGCTCCAGAGTTATTTTTAGTGTATCTATAGAAAGCTCTATGCTCTGTACAAGCTTAGGCATTCCCAAAATCCATTTTAGTGAGGCTGCTGGTTCCACCGATAACACTGTAGTTTATCTGTCCTCACTTATGCCTATCTCGGATAGACATCGTGAAAAGATCCGGTGCAAACAGTTGTACACTCACGCCAAGAGCAGTTGCATTGTAGCGAAGCGTTCGATTGCAGAACTCTGGAGTTGAGGAGTTTGAAGAAGGCCTGCAAACGGGGAAGACGATTGTAGTCATACGAGTCACAGTGGCAAATGTTTCCATTACACACTGCATCAGACGGAAATGTAATCCAAATAATGATATTTCCATTGATGTGTTGTACTAGCTTTATTGTCAATTGAGGGATTATATTGAAGTTGTTGAATGAGTAAGGCTTAATGCTTTTCACAAGATTTTCTGTGTACTACTGTTAGAAACATGTTTTTATGTAATGTTAATTGAAAGAATAAAATACAGGTGTGGGAGGGGGGTGAGAATCGCACCAGACTCAATACTAACCTGTGTTAATCTGTTAGCATCAAACATTTCAGGTCACTTTCATAGTACAATGCAATGCCTAAGCTAAGTCAATATATGTGATTGATCCATTTTTTAATGTAACCTAAAGATTCAAGCTGTGGGTCCAAGTGTCTCGTTCTGCGACATTGTATCTGTATTTAACAGGCAAATCAATGTAATAAGAAGTATGTTCATAAGTCGTACAAATTTTGTTCTACAATGAAATTATTTTCTCGATAACAAAACCTCTGTGGCCAGTGAAGTGGAAGCTCTGAAAAAATTGAAGAATCTTTGTACTACAAATCATAAAGCTTGTGCATTTTTGTGAGAATTGTCAATATTCTTACCATAGTCCGTGTACTGTCCAGAAATTCCTTTCATTTTCCTTGATGCACTGCGGGGCATAAAGCACAAGAAAAAAGAATAAGGCAACACCATCAGAATGTAGGAAGGGGTGCTATTTATTGAGGTAGACATTAGCTGTTACACCCATTTATGCTGCACACATTAGTTATTGCTGCTTAGACAGTATTGTTTCCCAGAAACAGCCCACTCTAGACTCTGTAGTAACTGCAGCTCTTATCACATAATTGTACTCAATGTGGATGTGCTTATCACAAAGGCTTGGAGATTGTGTTCAGAGGCAATCAATATAGTGATGGCCACATTCATGTACAGTGGAAGCCTGATCACTGACTGCACTCTGCTATGTCCAAATCAAGCTTATCACATTGCCAAGAACTTGTATGATAATAATATGTGACGTAGCAATTCATGGCATGCAGGACAGGGCGACACTGAAGTGCGTGTACAATGGAATAAAAAGCATGGTATATGAGTCGCAGCATGTCTCTCATTAATAGCGTCGTAGATGTAAGTTGGTATAGGTTCGAAAGCTGGAGTGTAATAGAACCCACAGTTAATACAATGGAACACACTTGTATGGGGTTATGACATCTCTTCAATCAAAATAATTTGACCATAGAGTTTGCTTATAATACACTAGAGAGAAATCTGGCGCTAATATCTATGGGAGCTGCATTGAATTGCGCTTCGGCATGCATGAGAATGATTGGTAGAACACTGATTTTTATAAGCTTCGTTGTTTTGACTCTGTTTGGCTTGGAGTCCGCTTTGTTGCAAGACGAAGCTCAACGAAGCTTCACCAGCTCCACCTCACCACCGGGACCTTTATTTAGGCCTGCCGATTTGATCTGCTCACGTAGTTCACAATGATCTATTCTATTTATTCAAAACAAACGGCAAAACACAACAACCAATGCCACAAGCGCATTTGAAGCCACAAGCACGAAGATTAGGCAAATCTGTTACCCATCATACCCAGCGTGGTTGAACAATCGCAGGCCCAGAGTTTCCAGTAGTCAATATCGCTGAAACTCTACTTCCACTACAATGGCTAGAATATATTCTAGCCACTTTATTTTGACCCCCATGATGACGATCAGGGGATGACGATCACGCCGCGCCTGGTTCCGATGCGCATTAAGCGTAGTGAGGATCGCTCTGATATTTTTTTGTACCATATTGACATCAAATGAGACGCAAACAGTGGCAAGCATTCGCAGTCGTTTAGCACATGCTTTCCAGTTAACACACCATGAAGAGGTGGGTATATATGCACACTGCTACCGAATGGTATGCGCGCGCTTAGCGATAACTGGAAAGAGACAGGTATTCACTAAGGTCTTCCCACCTGGGGCGCCGCCTCAGCCGTAGTACAAGGCATATGACAGCGCGTTGTTTGGTGGCACTGCACCTCACTAACCCGTTTGTTTAGAAGAATATTAACGTAACACGCGCTGCCGAGAACTTTGGTTGTGGCTCGACGATGATCGAGCACGAGACCACAAGTATGGCGACTGATGTGCTAGCGCCCCTTGCGGATGACGTCGCGTGAATACCTCCTGCACGATTGCTAATGCTAGCCGCTGTTCGGTTTTTATTGCGATAGCAATTCTGTGAACAGTCCCGGCTTTATTATTATTTTTTTTTTGCCGTCGCCGCCGTTGTTATTCACCGTATATGTTTACCTATCTATATATATGGACACTCAAGAAAAAAAAAAGAAAGCCGCCTACGTTCTACGCCCAGCTCGTCGCGATGCGCTCTTATCTCCCACGCGTACTTCGCCACACATATGGGGGGGAGGGGGGTTCGTGCGCACGCGCTTATCCTTTGGCGGGGAGAATTATGTGCCGGGACGATTTCGTCAGTTTCCCGGCCCAACACAAAGGTCCCTTCGCTGGCTGCACAGGGCCCGTTTGCGAAAAGATCGCGCTTTTCATACACAGCGAAGTATAACAACTGGGACACTTATTAGTTTGCACTCATCTACGTTTCGCGGCCCCGCCGCGGTGGTCTAGTGGCTAAGGTACTCGGCTGCTGACCCGCAGGCCGCGGGTTCGATGCCCGGCTGCGGCGGCTGCATTTTCGATAGAGGCGGAAATGTTGTAGGACCGTCTACTCAGATTTGGGTGCACGTTGAAGAACCCCAGGTGGTGAAAATTTCCGGAGTCCTCCACTACGGCGTCTCTCATAATCAAATAGTGGTTTTGGGACGTTGAACCCCACAAATCAATCAATCTACGTTTCGCGCGTCGTTACGTGTTGAGCTGTAAACGTTGTTAATTCGCTCTCGTCCTGTGCGTGTTGTTTTCGCGCGCCATTTGTGCGTGAGCAGCGCGTTGTACGTTTCGATCTGCTTGCCGTTATTAGCGTTACATTTCAAGTTGTTGCTATCGCATTCATCACTTAGCTCTTGCAGCGAAACTGTGACTTTCTTCTTTGACGCCGATAGTACGTTTTAATTAAGTAATAAGGGTCGTGACGGTACAATATGTTTTATCTTTATCACGCACCACCGTTTTAAAATCGCGTATCGTCCGGCCAGCATCCGCATCTGTGTCTTATCACTTACAGATGCACGGTTTTGTAACGGCAGATAGCGCAGTTCATTCGGACGCGACACGTTTGATAGCGCTATTGTGCCATCATAGCGCGGCCGGTGTATTGAAGTTGCGTCTCTGCACACAAGCAAGCATACATACAGGGGCCAGGGGGGGGGGGGGGGTCAAAAGTTCCCAGGCCACTATTCCATGTATTCCTATAGGAGCGTGGCCTGAAATTTCGACCCTCCCCCACTATGTACGTCGCGCGCTCTACGCTGCTTTCTTTTGTTTTGATTCTGATTTTTTTTGCGGACCTTGCTTTTAGGACGCGTACCAAAAAAAACAAACAAAAAAACGTCGACAGCGGCAACTTAGAAGCTGCTAAATTAAATGCTTCCCACTCAAAGGAGGTATTTGCTTTAATTTTGACGCTTGCGAATTTGATAAAAAAAGAATTTCGCAGACCTCCCCCCCCCCCTTAATACATCAACAAAAACGAATTTGGTCGCGCCCTTGTAATCCTACTTTTTGACTAAAGCTAGCTGTCTATGCTGTGTTACCGTAGCTGTGTCATTTTTCTTGGCCGAGATTCGATACAGCGACATTCGGGACAGCAATCAAGCGCCATGAGCCACCGCTGCGGGTTAGCAAGTTTAGTTACTTTTTACTTCTCTTCATCTACATCGTTTATTTTATTTTTTACTTGGTCACGCTGGCCTTGGCGTCTCTAAACTACGGTGATCGGGGGTGCTATCCTGTATACACCTTCATATACTGCCATCGAGTGGTGGATTTAGAGGGGGGGGGAGGGGGGGGCGATCGCCCTTGCTCCCTAAAGTCTATCAGCGCCCCTCCCTCCTCACTTCAGTGCTTGTAGTCCACCTGCTATCACCAATTAGGACAAGTAAGTGAAACTAGTGCGAGCACGCATGAGCATATTTATGCTAATAAAGGATTTTTCAGCTAGTAAATGCAGGTCATGGCCATGCCCCCTTCTCCAACGTTACTTCAGACCCCTCCCCCCCCCCCCAAACAAAAAATGAGTGGCTGGATTCGCCCCTGCTGTCAACTTATCGAGTTTCGTAATGACGGCATTTTAATCCAATCGGGGAGACCTTAGCAGAGCTCCAGTATGGTGAGCCATCATAGCTCCAGGCCAGTCAGAGTTGACCAGTGGCTGAATTCGACGAAATAGCGCCGCCGTAAACAGGGGAAGGTCACCATCATTGTCACCATCATCATCATCATTATAGAGAAATGTCAACAACAACAACAAAAAAGGTCTTGTCACAGTAAATCCTCACTTCCACAATATTAAAAAATACCGTTGCGCAGAACCGAGCTAACGTTTCGTGAGCCAGGAAATGCAGAATAATGACGTGCAGCTAGCAAAAAGGAGGGTCCCATAGCGGACATGACGTCACATATTTTTGAGGACGCGCCGTGACGTCACATATTTTGAAAACGTCAGCTGGAGCTTATTACACATATTCTTTATTAGTTAGAAAACGGATTAAGTTGTGTTTTAACGAAGCCCGAAGCGGGACATTACACGTTTAAAACCAACTTTGCCAAAATACGACGAAAGGCACTGAAATCTGTGACGTCACGATGACATTTAGGTGCTGCGATGTGGGTGCGCAATTGAAAAAAAAAAATCGGAGCATATCCACGAGGTGAACGATGACGATGAAGCACGGACGGACTGACGAACGCTTCGCCCCACTCGTCATCATTCACCTCGAGGATATGCTGTGAAATGACCACTTTGAAATGACCTTGAAACTGGCTACTACGACGACGACGACACGGGACGTACGATCCACGGCGTAAGGAGCTTCGCCCCTAAAAATGAAACTTTAATTTTTCTTTTTTCTTGTTTAATACGAAGATACGATCGCGATATTAACGACAGTAAAGCTAACAAGGAATAATTCATCCCTAGACACTGATTTAGTTGCCGCTTAACTGCACAAGATAGTCCAAAAGTGTGCCACGGTCATGAGTTTACGCACCTTCATGAAAAAAAAAAAAACCCTTATTAAATATGCTTGTGCACCGTGATGTGAACGAGGAACGTCAGAAATACTACTGATTACGGAATTCAGATTCTACGGACCGTGAATGTTTCTAATAAAATTAATTTCTCACCTTCGTAGTAGCCAACATCATTTACCCGCAGAGATTTTTCGGTGATCTCGACTCGTATGTAACTTGATGGATTGATATGTGGGGTTTAACGTCCCCAAATCCACCATATGATTATGAGAGACGCCGTAGTGGAGGGCTCCGGAAATTTCGACCACCTGGGGTTCTTTAACGTGCACCTAAATCTGAGCAAACGGGCCTACAACATTTCCGCCTCCATAAGAAATGCAGCCGCCGCAGCCGGGATTCGATGCCGCCACATGCGGCTCAGCAGCCGAGTACCTTAGCCACTAGACCACCACGGCGGGGCGACTGGTATGTAACTTTCAAGGTCGCAAATTGTTGATTAACATTATTATTATTATTATTATTATTATTATTATTATTATTATTATTATTATTATTATTATTATCATTTTTGGAAACGGCCTGGTGTCAGCACTGGTAAGCACGAAGGCGCGGGTTCTACTCCAGCGATCACGGCGCCCGAATTTCAGATGTGGGCGGTGGTCGAAAACGCCGGTGTACTTATATTCGTCCCCTGAAAGCTTACCTGATGCTTTGACACGAGAATTCCCGGAATATAAGTCAACGAATGTTCGCAAGTCTACCGCGGTTGCCACCGTGGATCAGTGGCGTCTTGGTGCTCTGCTGCTGACCCAAAGGTCGCAGGTTCGAGCCCCGACCGTGGCGGTCGTATTTCGGTGGAGACGAAACGGTCGAGGCTATAGTGTTCTGTGTGACGTCAGCGCACGGTCAAGAACACCACATGGCCAAAATTTCCGGAGCCCTTTCACTACGCGCCTCTCATAATCATGTCCTGGTTTCGGGACGTAAAATCACATGGTATTACTATTATAACAAATTTTTCGCAAACTTACTGGAAATAATTACTGGAAAGTCTATACTGGAAATAATTACTGGGATTTCATTGTGTTGGTACGACGCATTGAGTTTTATTCCACTTTTTTAAATCTTTTTTTTTTTTCAAGTGTAAGACTTGTGTATTTGCAGTATGTTGAGTCAGAAGGGGAGACAAATGGTTAGGTGGGCAGATGAGATTAACAAGTTTGCGGGTATAAATTGGCAGCAGCAAGCACAGGACCGGGTTGACTGGCAGAACATGGGAAGAAGACTTTGTCCTGCAGTGGACGTAGTCAGGCTGATGATGATGATGATGAAGTCAGGGCTGTAGCCAAGAAGTAGCACACCGAACCCATGCCCCCCCCCCCCCTTTTCCCAGATATTTTTTTCCCAATAGCATAGATAACGAAAAATGGCCATTTTAAGGGGGTACCCTTCCCGAAATGAAGGTGGTGGTCACCCCCCCCCCCCTCCCCTCGAAAACATTTCTGGCTACGCGCTTGTGTTAATTTTGTATCGCGCGTTACCTGTTTTTGTTTGCAGTATTCCCTTGTTACCGCGCATGTGTCACATGATATGTCGAAAACTTTTGTTGTTTGTGCAAGAAATGTTTATTGGTCACGGAACTACAGGTACAGAGGCCTATGAAACGCCCTTTGCCTCTGTTTCCTTTTTTTGTATGACAAGAAATGAAATGAAGATACCACGAGTAGTAGTAGTAAAATTTCGTTGCTTGTGCAAGAAATGTTTGTCGTTCACGGAACTACAAGTACAGAGGCCACGGTGTAAGACTATAAACTATTCTTACACCGTGACAGAGGCCTATGAAGCGCCCTTTGCCTCTGTTTACTTTTTTGTATGACAAGAAATGAAATGAAGATACCACGAGTAGTAGTAGTAAAATTTTGTTGCTTGTGCAAGAAATGTTTGTCGGTCACGGAACTACAGGTACAGAGGCCACGGTGTAAGAATATAAACTATTCTTACACCGTGACAGAGGCCTCTGAAGCGCCCTTTGCCTCTGTTTACTTTTTGTATGACAAGAAATGAAATGAAGATACCACGAGTAGTAGTAGTAAAATTTTGTTGCTTGTGCAAGAAATGTTTGTTGGTCACGGAACTACAGGTACAGAGGCCACGGTGTAAGAATATAAACTATTCTTACACCGTGACAGAGGCCTCTGAAGCGCCCTTTGCCTCTGTTTACTTTTTGTATGACAAGAAATGAAATGAAGATACTACGAGTAGTAGTAGTAGTAGTAAAAAAAATCGCAACGGTCACAAAACCGAACGCAACCAGTGTGCCAGACTGACCTTGTCATGTGCAGCGCTGCAGTAACCCGTGCTCCACTGTTGACTGAACATAAAGTAAGTGACGGTGGACGCATCTTTTCCGCATGCTGCAAGTCCCCTACAATTATAACAGTGAGTACAAATAGGATATCAAAAAGAGCGAATTGAGTGATACAAAAAGCAAACGAAGATCATCGTATGTACATTTGTAACGTTTTTTTTTCTTTGTAATGGGCGCATACCTAGGCATGTGAAGTGGTCGTATTATATGATATATGCGGTAAATATACGCAAAAAAGGCCAAATATGTATACACTTGTGGTGGGGCAGCACTTTTTTTTTTCTCGCGATTTTGACGGGGCGGCCATTCAACATGTGTAAGATTTTTGTTTAATTTTCGATCCACTTTACGAAAAAAAAAAACCCCGTTTATAGCCGCGCCTATATATTCCTAACAATAGGATATATATAGTAAGCTCCTGCAAAATGTGTCATATTCGAAATGAGACGATACAGCCGCTTGCTGGCTTTTTTTTTTTCCCTAGAAAATTTGGGCTGTCCAAGTTTGGGGAGCGGCCCTTCTTAGTCGAGCGTATACGGTATAGCATCGTATTGCTGTTTCTCGTGTGTCGAGCTGTACAATTTCACTCGCGATTGAAACTTATAGGCCGGAAGAAATGCCGTATAAAACGTGAAATCCTGCATATGGTGCGCCAGTGTAATTATGGAGTAACGAGAAACATTTCAAAAACGACTCGACACATTTCAAACGACTGTTTTTGAAATGTGTCGAGAGATCGGCGGGCTCGTTTCTGCGCATCTTTACCCTCGAATGAACCGCATGTTTTTATTTTTTTTTCGTTTTGTTTTCTTACGTAGCGCTCCAGCCGCTCAACAGGTTCGCTCGTACAACTGACGCGCAGATGCAAGGGCACACCACTTTACGAGCCAAGTCAACATCGCAATAATCAAGCGCTTCTTTTTTTCTTTAATCGCGTAAAACACTGATCGCCAGACACGTTATGTTCAGAACAGGCGTTCAAAACTGCCCTCGACGGTGTCAACTTGCCGCTATTTCGACATTCTTCTTATATATTTATTTTATGTTTTCTAGCTTCTCGGGCTGGCATAACGCCCCGACTCACGGGGTCACACGAACCACTTTCGCAAGACGTCAGAACGAGTGGGCACCTGAGCCAAGAAAAAAAACAGAAAAAAAGCGCGAGCGATAGTGCTTGAGGCGCCAAGAAACAGCTGATCGCGGCTCGATCCTTCTTATCTTCGAGTTGAAGTTCGGCGAATGGAAAAGAAGTTGAGCGATCTACTTGCCCGAGGTAGGCCAATAGCAGGGCTTGCAGCGTCAGACAATGCATCATCACCGCTCCACTGGCAATCGCTCTTTGTGTTCGGCTGCCGTACGCTGCTGACGGCTTCGTCGTCCTTACAAGCGCCAGGTCGTCGATACGTCGAGCAAACCGTCGCAGCTCGCGCGTCTCGTTCGGGGATACCTGTGACGTTTCATGGCTAGGCCGGGACTTTCCTGCAACAAAGTGCGAGTGTGTAGCGGGAGAGCGCGTCCGATATAGGGAGGGGTTGAAACCCCGACGGTCTGCAGTCGCGTCAGTTTTGAACGTCCGGCCCCCCCGTGTTTACATTGCTTCCGAGATGTGTGATTGTGTGCGCGTCTTGGCTTGGCTAGGTTCGCCTTGCTACGATTTCTAGCCTTTAAGATTGACCACGCCGTTGGTAATTTTGACGGATGTTTATCAAGACCGTCGTTGATGTTGAGGCTTTCCACATTTCTACGTTAGCACGTGGTGGTTGTGCAGGCAACCGGGGTTTTCTTATCAAATCCTCACCGTGACCTCTAATGTGCGATGGTATGCGGGACTTGGCTTGGATACGTTAGCCTTTAAACGCTTTGCAGCCTTCAAAATTGTTGATGCTGTTGGTAGTGTTGAAGGCTTCAATAAAGAACAAGAAGGCTATTCATAAGCGTTCAATATAATGCGTAGTGGTCGTAATAAAGCATAGTCACTTTTTGAAGTTGAAATTTTTCACGTTCATACGTTTGAACACGGCGGTAATCAACTTTGGGCATCTGCAGCCAGGTAATAAATAGCCTTCGAGATCGGCAATTATTACTGAGATGAAGCTGTCGCTGGTGTGCGGTGCACGCATGAATGCAGGCAGGAGCCGCCTTTACACTTTGGTGTACTAGAATAGGGTAGCATGCCGTATTCATAGCAAACCAATGCGGTCCTATTTGCGATGACGCCACCAGTAGGGCGCCACAATCGAACGCTGTGCACGGCGCGCGTAATTTAAATTTGCAGGCTCGTGTCAAGAGCTGTGAAAGCGGCCGACGGCGGCCGCGGTTTTTCGTGCAGACCACACAGTCATGCCTCTGCTTGCGAATACAGCGAAAATAACTTCACCTACTTAGAAAGGCAGTGAGAGTTGCTTTCATGCTTTGAAACATACGCGTCCTGTATTCGTGCTTCACAATACGACACGAAATATTGCCGTTATAATGCGTGGTACAAGCGTGCATTGCCATGGGGCGTCAGAACATGGGATTATCATAATGACTTCATAGTTTGAAGCCAGTCACTCACTACACACGATACGGCACCATTAATGGCACGTTGGGGGTGCATAGCGAGTTCGAAAAGATACACTAAGTCTTCGAAGTGCGCACTTGGAACAAAATATCGCTGTCGCGTTCAACCATTAAAAGGCGAAGCTTCAGGGTCCGCCAATTTTTTTTTCAAATAATTCATAATGTTAGTGAAACGTCAGTTGTTGCAGTGCTGACTATCCAATTTTATAAGAAATGATCTGTACCTGTGATAGATTCGATTAACGCCAATTACATTACACATGTACTTCTGTGATACAGCCGGTTAATGTCAATTGTAGTTAGGTGCCATGCGTCGAATTTGATTTGTATAGCAGTGTCCAGGGCACGGTGTTAGAATGAGCGTGGCGGAGAATAAATAGAAAAACAATATTTGAACTGGGCATAAAAAGTTGATCCTATATGAGTGAACCAACCGTTCGTCCGGCGAGGTGCTACTGTGAGGACTAACGGTTGCCCGGTAAGGTGTACATGTGGGGACTAAGGTTTGCCTGATAAGGTGTAAATGTGAGGACTAAATGTTAGTCTTTTGAGGTGATTTGTGGGACTAACGGTTACCTGCTGAGGTGTAAATGTGAGAACTAATTGTTAGTCCCTTGAGGTGATCTGTGGGGACTAACTGCCAGACCCGCTGCCGTTAGTCCCTAAATGAAGTAATGATTGTGGCAGCGCCATTAGTCCCCAAAAGGACGAACCACACACCCTTTTAACACCCTTTTGCCTTATAGTGTAGTGGGCAGTTTACAAAGGCGGAACTATAGGCGGTCACGTAGAAACAAGGGATGGACACAGTGGGAAAATCTATGCTTTTTTAACGCGCACCTGGATACTAGTACACGACCATCTTGCATTTCATATTGGCTACTTCTTCAACAGTATTGGCTTTATGGTCGCTGAAGTGGAGTATCGGTGATGGGATGTAGTGGGATGTTTGCATGCAAGGTGGCTACATACACCATCGGAGGAAGGACAGACTCACACCCTAAGGAGCTTCGCCCATGAAAAAAAACTCTGAGTAGCACGTTCAGGACTACTGTGGAGCTTTAATTGTTAACAAGTTCATCGTCAAATTATATTGGTCGCAAAACTTGGAACGAAAAGTGTCGAAAACCTATTAGCACAGGCATCAACGCCCGCTGACGATTAAAGCGCGATATTTATGTAAATGTTAACTCAAGTTTACTTGAAGCTTTATCTGACACTTGAATAATGATTGATTGCCTCATTTTTCGGTCGACTTTCATAAATGGTGGGCGTATCCAGGCAACCTGCTATCGGAGCTTGTGTTTAGTTCGGTGCATTGCCGGGTCAGCGAGGCATCGCTTACTTTTGCGTGGCGGTTTCGTGCTTATCCATAGCTTATTTGCTTATTTGCTCTTCACTGGCTTGCCATTTGTGCCCCGCCGCGGTGGTCTAGTGGCTAAGGCACTCGGCTGCTAACTCGCAGGTCGCGGGATCGAATACCGGCTGCATTTTCGATGGAGGCAGAAGTGTTGTGGGCCCGTGTGTTCAGATTTGGGTGCACGTTAAGGAACCGCCAAGACGTCGAAATTTCCGGAGCCCCTCCACTACGGCGTCTCTCATAATCATATGGTGGTTTTGGGACGTTAAACCCCACATATCAATATCAAAGCTTGAAATTTCAGAGCTGAACTAGCTCACATAATGTCGCCTGTGAGTCTGCCTTCGCTGTCGCATGGCCGGCGTGGCCTCGCCTTTCGTGACGGTGAATGCGACACGCTAAGGGACGCAACGCCATACTTAAGGCTGCTCAAGAGATAGTCTCAAGGCTGCTGTCTCGCTGCAGGGGCTCTGAACGATTTGGCAATGCGAGTTTTCGAGCCATTGCACTCGCGAACGGTCGTATCACAATTTCTCCACCGGCGAAGTTTTTGGTGTGTATTGCTAGTATATTTCTAGTTAGTCTTTTCTCTCGCGCACGTGATCGGGCAGCAACAAAGGCGCAATAAGATCGTCATAAATACGCGATTGGTTGTGACGTCATACGTTATATTTGCCTTTAGTTGTCCCCTCCATTCGTAGATGGCGACGGTGACAACCATGCCGCCGAGTATACTGGAAACATGGGCTTCTGTGGAAGTTACGCTACCAGTTTACATACACCTTGGCAAGCATTTGCAACCCCGCCGCTGATCAGATAAGATATTGGCTCGCTTGCCGTGTTGTCCGTTATCCTTTTCTTTCGTGCTATCCTTCGATTGGCTGCATAGCACTAAAAAATGCGTCGCGAAGTGAATAAACGGGCATTTGTCTTCCTGGCACTGCGTGGGTCGTCTGTTCCTTTGGCTGGTGATCGTCCTGCCGCCGAATACACGACAGCTGGTGGCAGCGGTGTGGAGCGCACGTCGAAGGCGGCCTTGGCGTCCAGTTTGGTGAGAGCACGACTTTCTCGACTTCACTGGAAGCCTTAGTGGCATTTACGTTTTGTTAACCTCGCTAATTTTAAGAAGTTGATGTCTGAATGGTGCTTGCTTACAACATTAATAGTCCTCACGTCGTTAAGACAACCAAACCCATGTTGCTAGCCAAGGAGCATCATGTTTATCTGCGCGAGTCGAAAGCTAAAACCATGGGAGTAGGCCTAAAGCACAACAGAAAAGAATGTACATACTTGGTCTGTGAGCTCCCGTGTCATCTAAAAGGTTCTTCCTTTGTTTTTCAACCTGATCGCTCCCCTTTAGTGTAGTTAAATTTAATGTCGGACAAAAACGGTTGCGTGATGCGGTGGAGTTTAGCGCTTCAACAACTAGATTTCTCAGTGCGCCACAAGAAAGGCAAACGGCATGCCAACGCCAACAGCCTTAACGGAACTTGCTGATCTTGTTTCGTTCGTGTGCATGCCGTCAAGAGCGGGGCTCCGCAGAGCCTCATGGAGCTTCGACGAAAGGGTCGTGGCGTCAGTGTGTCTGTACTGTGCTGGGCAATCCCACAGCATGTGGGGAAGCGTAGCCGGGTGAGTGCCGCAGCACCGGCAGTGGGAGGTTGTGTACACGTCTGGGAATATGAGGTGAAGGCGGGCAGACGAGGGATACGTGTTTGTTTGAAGTAGACGCAAAGTGGTGGCCTGTGCCCGATTGAGCTTGGTGTGACGTGGCTTTGCGCAAGTACTTCCGTCTAAGCTTTGCACTGTCACGGACTGCGGAGGGACAAGGGCCTTTGTCAGGCTGTTCGCCTATAGCCCTTTACCCTGCAGTGAGCTCTGTATCCGGCTTACCGTAAATAAAAGTGCTACTACTACTACTACTACTACTACTACTACTACTACTACTACTACTACTACTACTACTACTACTACTACTACTATCTTTTTATTCTTGTGTTTCGGGTTTCTTGTGATCTAGCTTCAGTGAAATGCACTGTCGGGATCTCTTAAACACTAGCGCCTGGTTGCATCTGTTACTGTGTTCCTTCTGCTCGTTCACTGCTGTTTCAGATCCTGTCGTACCGGCTGGCGAGTTCAATCCTGCTCCAGGCGTCTGCTGACATCTCCTGATCGGCAGTCAAACGACACTCGGCGGGCGGGGCGCGTTCTGAGCGTCTTCTCTTCCTGGCCCTTCCAGGCGATTCCTGCGGGCTTACTCCAGCCGGAAGACGCACAACGCCATCTGCGGCCTTTCAGTGGTAGCTACCTCGACGGTCCGCCCACCGTGCATCCCGGTGTCTTCGCGCCATGTGCAGTGCACGAAAACGAAGTCTTGTGACCGTGCGAAACTTTCAGTACCACTAAAATACATTCAGTAGCATAGGACATCAATTCCAACTAGTACTGAAAAAAAGAATAGTGAGCACTTCAAACAGTGGACAAGAAAAAAACAGAGTTCGTCAGTTCTGAAGACAATAAATAACATTCGAGCAGGGATGAAAAAGTTTCCAATGATTGACTGTTTGTTATACTGATTGGCAAGTTATTCCACTCGCGAATTGCTAGTGGAAAAAAAGAATATTTCAGACAGTCCGTCCGGCAATGATATTCATTCAGTGTCTGAG